CCAGCTCCTTGGAACCTCTTCCCAGCCCTGGCACTCCCTTGGAGGGCGCCTCGGCGGCTCTCTTGCAGTTACAGAAAGTGGAGTGATGCCCGAAAGGGGCTCAACTCACTATAACGTGAAGCAGAATTCCTGCGGCATCCTCCAACCCACCTCCACACTCACATAACTGCATCTGCGCACGCTGGAGGGCTGGGCGTGTGCCTATTGGGGGTTGTGCAAATGGCACATTTCATACCGGGGGCTCATGCTGCAGGCTGCCGGCTGCCGTTTCGCCCACTCTGATGTATTGTGAGATCCTCCTGTGCTGGGTGTGTGTGTGTGTGGGGGTGGGGAGATGTGGTCCATTCCTCCCCACATGTCCACCGCCCTGTTCATAGGCATGAACCGTGGCCTGCCATGACGAACAGAGCTGCAGTGGCTCCATGGGGTGGGGCTCCCGCTGTGTGTGTTTGAGTTTCTCTGGGCCACACAGACACGGGCTATTGACTTAGGAGATGTCGTTTCCATTTTGCTAAGTTCCTCCTTGCTGTTCTGCCCTCACAACTCAGGGAGGGGCCCCGAGTTCCCACTTCCCTCCTCCTCACCTACGCTTGCATGCTAATGGTTGCCAGCCAACAGATTTATCGTTTTCATTTGCGCCGTCCGATTATTGGGGGTCTTGAGCGTCTTTTTAACGCTCTGTGTGGCTTCTCCAGGTGTTATGAACCCTTAATGCTCCGGCCAGACCGTCAGCTCCTGGGGAAGAGGCCGGGTCTCACAGCTGAGACCTTCACGGGGCGCCCCCGGTCCCACCCAAGCCCGGATTCTCTATTTTTACCACCTGACCTCTGTGCCCCACCTTGGAGCCCTAACACCTCCCACTCCCACAGCTCCCACATGCTCATGCTGGGATCCTCCACACCGGCCCTCTGTCTGGAAGGCAGAGCCTCTCCCAGTCCATCTGAGTGTGCCAACTCGTGTCCCAAGACTTAGCTCACAGCCACCTCCTCTCTGAGGCCTTCCATGGCCTCCGGCCCCTGTCCCACCCAGGTCCTCGGTGCTCCCGCTGGCCCCGTGTGAGTTTCTCTCTGCGTATGTAAAACCTCCGAGCCTCTGCTTACTGGTGTACCTCCCCACCAGACCGGGCGCCCAGAGGTCAGGTGCCGTGTCTTATTCATCGCAGAGCTCCCAGCTCAGTGGTCAGGGCTGGGCAGAGAGGGTAAGTGTCTGTTCGTCTGATGGATGGATGAGCCTCAGAGCCAGCTTCTTCCACATCAGTCCTCTGCAGACTGTCCCGTCCTCGAGGACAGGACTGTAGGAGATTCGCATCGCTGAGTAGCTGGTGAGCAGCTACTCAGCAGCTACTCACTTGGTGCCTCACAGTACCAAGTGTTCGTGGCGCTTCGTATATATTTTTAAATATATTTTTATTGATTTCAGAAAGGAAGGGAGAGGGAGGGAGAGAAAGAAACACCAATGATGAGATAAAATCTTTGATAGGCTGCCTCCTGCAAGCCCCTTACTGGGGATCAAGCTCACAACCCGGGCATGTACCCTTGACTGGAATCGAACCCAGGACCCATCAGTCCATAGGCTGACGCTCTATCCACTGAGCCAAACCGGCCAGGGCTATTTATTGCCTTGCCTGTGTGATTGCCTGGTTGTATAAGAAATGGCTTTGCCTAGAAATCCTTGGATTTTCAACCCCAGCTTCCTATTGGTAGAATCTTGGGCAATTCACCTGGTCTCTCTAAGCCTCCGTCTCCTTATCTTCATCACGAGGGTGGGACTAGTGGTGAGGACTGGCGTAAGGATGAGAGAAGGGTGGAGGGAGCAGCACTTGGCATACTGCAGTGCCTACATCCAAACGGTGTGGGCTTTGCTTTGGCTACAGTGCTCCGGGTGGCTCATCTTTCTCAGCTGCCATAATGGTGAGCAGCTACTCAGTCAAGTCTGGTCTTCCACAGGAAGAGCGTCTTGCAGAAATCAGGTACTCGGGGAGGAAGCTGAGCTGAACTCAGCACCTTGCACAGAAAGAGGTATTTAACACATATTGTCAAGCCGAATTCAGCTCCCCGTCCAGCACCCTGCTCCAGTCTACCTCAGAGCGTCGGAACCCAATCCTTATTTTAATAATAGACAGCTGCAGACAGGGAATGCAGAGGGCTGGGCAACCTTAATTGCTCTAAAGGGTCAGGGCTAATGACTAGATATGGATAGTTGAAGCATCCCCCCACCTGTTAGTCCTAAATTCACTGATTGGCTTTTTAAAAAAATATATTTTATTGATTTTTCACAGTGAGAAAGGGAGAGGGATAGAGAGTTAGAAACATCGATGAGAGAGATACATCGACCAGCTGCCTCCTACCGAGAATGTGCCCACAACCAAGGTACATGCCCTTGACCGGAATCGAACCTGGGACCTTTCAGTTCGCAGACTGACGCTCTATCCAATGAGCCAAACCGGTTTTGGCTGATTGGCTTCTATTGGAGTTTCCTGCCTAGGGCATATGAGTGTATCCCATCATTTTAATCTTAGTAAAAGGGATGGCATAGCCGAGCGAGGAGGAGTCCTCCCACTAAGTCGGACTATCACCTGGCCCCCAATTCCCAAATTAATGCTTTTTTTTCTAAGTCTTTTTTCATTTGTGTACAGCCTTCTCCAAAACCCAAACCCTGAACCGGAACCCTGAAACACGCGGGACGTGAAAGGGGTTCCCATATCAGAAACGTCAGCTTGTGAGGGAAAGGGCAGCCCCTCTCAGGGATCTTGTTTGATTTTTTCCTAAGCATGATCAGACTGTTATCAGTGTGGTCCCCAAGGACCCAGTCCTGCCTGAGGAATGCTCTAGGGCAGTGGTCGGCAAACTGCAGCTCGAGAGCCATAGGTGGCTCTTTGGCTCCTTGAGTGTTTTAACCCCACTGGACGTGCGCGCCTGCCCGTGGTATTTTGGGGAAGGACCACACTCAAGGGACCAAAGAGCCGCAGGCGGCTCCTGAGCCGCGTTTTGCCGACCACTGCTCCAGGGCTGTCTCCTCCCACTGCAAGGCTGGGCTTACCCATGTGACCTGTACACCACGGTGCATTAACCAGCCAGGGCAAGGCTGAGGAGCTCTGGCACACTGACTCTTGTCCCCTGGGAAGGCTCCTTCCTGGAACCCGGTCGCCATGCCAGGAAGAAGGCCGAGCTAGCCACAGGGAGAGGGATGCCGGCCAGCCCAGCTGTGGAGCTCAGGCCAGCTGAGGCGCCTGGTGGGAGAGAGCAGCAGCCATCTGCACAGCAGGAGCCACAGGCAGCCAAAGCAAGCACACCTCCCGAGCCCGCCCACATTGCACCATCCTGAGCAAACACTGGTCAATGATCGCTGTTCTTTTAAGCCACGAGACTTCCGGATGGTTTGAAACACTCAGCAAATTACCAAGAGCAGAGCGTGCTCCCTGAGAGCAAGTCAGTGATCTGGGGGGCAGGGACACCATTGGCTTGGAGACCCAGCAAGTAATAAGCTGCAGGTAGGCCCGTCTAACCTGGTGCTTCTCTGGAGTCCTCTTCCCAGGGGCCCCCATTCCCAGGTCCCTGCCCGGTTGCTGCCAGAGATCCTTTATCAGTGAAGGGTAAGGTTCGCTCTCTAGACAGACGCCCAGGCTCACGTTATCTGAAATCCAGAGCTGGGCGGCTCTGGCAGGCAGATGGAGCAGCTCAGTGAGGTCCCTGGAGGACCAAGATTGCACGGGACCTGGACTGTGTCTGCCAGGAGCAGTCTGGCGGAGTGTATCCTCACTCAGTGCAACACGAGAGAGCAATGATCCCCAGCTCTCCTAGGGGAGAAAAGAATCTCCCAGAAGGCCACACACACACACACACACACACACACACTTTCTGAGTTCAATTCCAGTCACGATGCACCTCATTGGCCAAATGGAGCCACACCCATTTCTAAACCACTCCTTCTGTAGTTCACCTGGGGAGGGATCAGAATAACCAGGAGACCAATCAAAACTGCCTCTGGATTAAAGGGGGACATGGCCAATTCCCCAGAAGTCCTTGGGCTCATAGGGAAGGAATGGGGGTCTGGAAATGATAGGGAGGGCAGAGAAGGTGAGATCCACCAGTGTCCGCGATAGGACCCCTCTGCACAGGGTATGAGGGAAAAGCCTGGCACATTGGCCTTGAGACACAGAGACCCACTCTGCTCTCACACCCTCTCCTGGAATTGTGGTGTGTGTGTGTGTGTGTGTGTGTGTGTGTGTGTGTGTGTGCGTGTGTATAGGTAGCAGTCTGGGGGAGAATTGGTGTGTGTGTGTGTGTGTGTGTGTGTGTACAGGTAGCAGTCTGGGGGAGAATTGTGGTGTGTGTGTGTGTGTGTGTGTGTGTGTGTGTGTGTGTGTGTAGGTAGCAGTCTGGGGGAGAATTGTGTTGTGTGTGTGTGTGTGTGTAGGTAGCAGTCTGGGGGAGAATTGTGGTGTGTGTGTGTGTGTGTGTGTGTGTGTGTGTAGGCAGCAGGCTACGGGAGAATTGTGGTTGTGTGTGTGTGTGTAGGCAGCAGTCTAGGGGAGAATTGTGGTGTGTGTGTGTGTGTCGGCAGCAGTCTGGGGAGAATTGTGGTGTGTGTGTTTGTGTAGGCAGCAGTCTGGGGGGAGAATAATGGTGTGTGTGTAGGCAGCAATCTGGGGGAGAATTGGGGTGTGTGTGTGTGTGTAGGCAGCAGTCTGGGGGAGAATTGGGGTGTGTGTGTGTGTGTATAGGTAGCAATCTGGGGGAGAATTGTGGGGTGTGTGTGTGTGTGTGTGTGTGTGTGTGTGTGTGTGTAGGCAGCAGTCTGGGGGAGAACTGGGGCCCTCAGGGCTTCTGTCCTCCCTCAATTGGTCTCTCCAGCATCGCACATTGTCCCCAGCCCCAACCCCAGTGTGAAGAGAGCCACAGCGCAGGGGAAGAAGGGCTTAGATTTGTGCCTTTCTCTTTATTGTTAGCTTTATCGTTAGCACTTCCTCTTGAGTCGAGGGCACCGTGTTCGGGTCGTATCTAGTACTTCGAGACCCTGCTCTTTCCGTATTTCTCATCCAGTGCTTTCTGCAAGTTCATGTTCATGGCATTTTTCTGGTGCCACCGTCCTGCAGAGGGCAGGGCAGGAACCAGCACCGGTCACCCAAAGGACCAAGGGCCCAGTCCCAAGGGGCCCACGCCCCTCCCAGGCCCTCCACTCGCACCCAGGGCTCATACTGCTGCTCGGGGCTCGCCCTGCACCGTGGGGCCAGCCCGTCCCCCCAGCTCCCGCATACCCAAATCGTCCGTCTTCCTGCCATGCCAGTGCTCGATGTCCCTCACGGATTTCTCAATCACTTCGGGGGTGTAGGAGGCCTTCATGAGGCTCTTCATCTCCTCGGTGGCCCCTGTGGGACCCCAGAAAGAAATCCCCAGAGGCCACAAGTCAACGGAGGTCAGGTGCCCTGGGGTTCATACCTGGGATGTGAGTTTCCCCTTAGAGGTGGATTGTGGGGGGCGGGGGAGTAGGGGAGTGGGGAGGGTAAGGCAGAGGTTGGCATGCCTGGGTTCAAACCTCAGCTCCACCATTCATGGAGGGCGTGGCCTCAGACACGTGTTTAACCTCTCAGAGTCAGACGTGGTCGGCAAACTCATTAGCCCACAGAGCCAAATATCAAAAGGACAACGATTGAAATTTCTTTTGAGAGCCACATTTTTGAAACTTAAACTTCTAACACCACTTCTTCAAAATAGACTCGCCCAGGCCGTGGTATTTTGTGGAAGAGCCACACTCAAGGGGCCAAAGAGCCGCATGTGGCTTGAGAGCCGCAGTTTGCCGACCACGGTCTCAGACATTTGGCCTCTCCGTCTGTTCAAAGGAGGAAAATGCACTTGCTTGGGGAAGATTACATTATTGGAAATCCATCAAAAGCCTGTGGCTTGCGGCAATGACGCCCTGTATTTTCACAAAATGTATCTCTAGGTGGAAAGGTAAAACGCACCCGAGGAAATAAGGTGCCATAAAAAAAGAGTCAGCAGAAACATCAAACCGAGGATAAAATCCCAAAAGATAGCAAGGATATTTGAATAACCAGTTACAGAATACAACATCAGTCTATTTAATGTTTAGAGTTAAGAGAGAGAATAAACATCTAAGCAAAAAATAAGAAAGTTCCCGGAAAGAGCAGGTTAGTAAAAGCAGCAAATGCCAAAACCGGTTTGGCTCAGTGGGTAGAGCGTCGGTCTGTGGACTGAAAGGTCCCAGGTTCGATTCCGGTCAAGGGCATGTACATTGATTGCGGGCACATCCCCAACACGGGGTGTGCAAGAGGCAGCTGGTCGATGTTTTTCTCTCATCGATGTTTCTAATTCTCCCTCTCCCTTCCTCTCTGTAAAAAATCAATAAAATATAAAATAAAAAATACATTAAAAAATAAAAGAAGCAAATGGAATTTCAGAAATGACACATGACAATCATTGGAATCTCAGAGACTAATGAGAGGCCTGGGATTTGATGTGAAATAAACCAGGACAGGTGGCAGAAAGCAGGACCAGCCTTGTGGGTTAATAATGTAAACTCCGGCCCCAGGCTGCCAGCTCAGATCCCAGTGGAGACCATTCCTAGAACATGCTGCCTTCAGCAAGTTGTCCTGTCTTTCCATGCCTCCTTGTTTTCTATCTTAAAAGGGGAAGGGGGAGGAGGGAGGGAATATAGCACTCACTCTATAAAGTTCTTGTACAACCGAAAATACACTTAAAATAAAGCAGTGCCTGGCACATGCTACATACCATGCATAAATTCGGCCATTGCTGTTACTAAAAAGAAGCCCCAAAGAATCGATGTGAATTACTAGAATTACAAGGTGAGCTGAGTAAGGCTTCTGGCTATAAGATTACTGTACATGCTGAAGCCAGTTTGGCTCAGTGGATAGAGCATCCGGTTGCGGACTGAAGGGTCCCAGGTTCGATTCCGGTCAAGGGCATGTACCTTGGTTGCAGGCACATCCCCAGTGGGGGGGTGTGCAAGAGGCAGCTCATCGATGATTCTCTCTCATCAATGTTTCTAACTCTCTGTTCCTCCCTCTCTCTTCCTCTCTGTAAAAAAATAATAATAATAATAATCAATAAAATATATATTTTTTAAAAGATTAGTGTACAAAAGTTAAAATTACCTCTGTGCATCTAAGCAGGAAAGTTAGAAAAGGTGACTTTAAAAAGATACCATTTGTAATAAACAGCAAGAAGGAAAAAATGATGCTCTTCCTAAGGAATCCAACAAAAGCTGCATAATCTTTATAGAAAAAAATCAGAAAATGTTATGGATGGGTAGTGAAGAAAGGTTTGAAATGATGGGTCCGAATACCATATTCATGAATTAGAAAACTCATTATCATAACAATGACATCTGCCCCTACACTGAGCTGTAGGTTCCATTTCTTCCAACAAAAGCTCACCAGAGCTTTCCATGGAAACTGACAGTCTGATTCTAGAATTTGGATGAAGGAGGAAGTGACCTAGGATAGCCGAGACACTAGCTGGTGGTGGTGGTATAGGAATGGGGAACGGGGGGTGGGGAGTGGGGGGGAGATTACCCAACCGGATATCAGATGACTAATAACACCTTGGGAATAAAAAGTGTCACATTAGCCCACGGAGCAGAATAGAGAGCCTGAAAAATGATCCGTGCTCTTAGGGAACTCGATGGGGCCAGCCATCGCACTGAGGCCACTGGGGGCAGCGGGACTGTTCAATCAAAGGGCCTGAGCCATAGGTAATCCACAGAAAGGAGGGATTACAAATGACTTCCTGCTTCACACTAAAAACAGAACTCAACTCCAGGTGGGTGAAAGGCTTAAATGTGGAACGCAAAACTAAATATCGTTAGGAGACAATAGGAAACCCTCCCTTGGCCCCTCACCCCAAACCCATTCATCGGCCTATGCTGTCCGCTCCACCTCACTCACATGCCCAGAGTCCTACCACGTCAGATCTTCCCGGGAGCTCCCGGGCCACCATGGCACAGAGGTGCCCTCCAGGGCAGTGCCTGCTGCCTGGCCAGCCGCCCGCCGCCCTCAGTCCCAGCGGGACCTTTGCAGTCACCTCCTCACTGTTCTGCGTCTCCCTCCCAGCTCCCCTCTCAGTACAGCGATCAGAGCCACCCTTTCACCTAGGCCAGACCGTGGCCTCCTCCAGCATACAGACCCGCCCTGGCGTCCCTCTCCCCGAGAGGACAGACCTTCCTCCGCCTTCCCCACCTCTCCCTTTCCTCCGTTTCCTCCCCTCACTCCTTCCAGCCGCCCGGGCCTCGTCCCTGGAACAGCAAGGGCAGAGGCCAACCCGGAGGGTGGGGATGGAGAGGGTGCCAGGGCAGCATCCTGACAGCGGTGCGCTAAGGGTGACATCCGGATTCGCAGCGCCTGCCCATTCCTAGAGTGTAAGTCCCACCACGCCCATGGAGAGATGGCACCGTGCTGCCAGCCAGCCAGCCCAGGGAGATTTCCCAGTCGGTTCTTGGGAGCTGCTAGGCCAGCGGTCGGCAAACCCATTAGCCCGCAGAGCCAAATATCAACAGCACAACGATTGAAATTTCTTTGGAGAGCCAGATTTTTTAAACTTAAACTTCTTCTAACGCCACTTCTTCAAAATAGATGCGCCCAGGCCGTGGTATTTTGTGGAAGAGCCACACTCAAGGGGCCAAAGAGCCGCATGTGGCTCGAGAGCCGCAGTTTGCAGACCACGGTGCTAGGACACTCAGTGGTGTTTTGCTCCAACGGGAAGATGGGTACACACGCTTTTCAACACTCTTCTCTTACAGCATGGAAGAAGTACCAGGTGGGGGATGCTGGTGAAAGGGCTCAGGGGAAGGCTGATGGTGAGGCCCAGGACACAGGACAACCTGAGCTGTATTCTCTCTCCCCTCCCCCAGCACCACCCCTTCTCTAAGCTCCAAGGAAAACCTGGAAGGTTGCGGTGGCTGTCCGGTTCCTCGGGTAACAGGGATAGCCAGGATCTGTGCCAGGCCCTCGGGGCCCTGGAGAGGGCCTGGAGTGAGGCAGGAGGAGGGGGGAGGGCCAGAAACACTTACCTTTTGGACTGAAGCAGAACTGGACTGGGGAGGGGGGGCAGACAGAAGCCCCTGCGTGCTGGCCACGGGCCCCCATCGGAGCAATTCAGTAAATGCTTGGGAACAGAGTCATAGTAGGGAGGGGACCCAGGGCCCAGGGAAGACTCTGGGGTTCAGAGGCAGAAGGAGCACCTGGGTTTGAGCTTCAGATCCACTTCCTACCACTGAGAGGTCCTGGGCAAACTGATTCCGACCTGGGAAAGGGAGCTAGCAGCAACCCCCTGTACCGAAAGGTCCCGAACTGACCCATTGCCCCCGGCAGCGCCACCACCAGGTTTGGGAAGGAAAAACACCAGCTTGCCAGCTACTGAGCACGCACCAAGGGCCTTCGGGGTCCTGCCAACCCAGCGAGGGCCATGTCACCGTGCTGTCTCCATTGGACCAAGAAGGTGACAGCTGAGGCTCAGAGAGGTTAAAACTCCTACGTGAGGCCACACCCAGCACGTTGCTGAGCTGAGCTTTGAGCCAGAAACCTGGGGTCACTGTGACCAAGGTGCCCAGCTCAGGGGTGCCTGGGTCTTGGCAGTCCAGGACACTGGAGGTGTTTGGGGGAGGGAGGAGCTGACAGCCAGCTGGGGTGGATTCCTTGCACGGCGGTCACCCCACGGCTTGGCAGAGCAGGGCCTGGTGGCCGAGAATGAGTACCCCTGGGATGTATCCTAGGGTCGGATCCAGGGAGGCTCTGGGAAGGGGGGTAGACATCCCACAGGCCTTCTCTGCCCCTCGGGGACCGTGGGTGCTCACAGCCCCCACCCTTGCCCTCTGACCTGACCTTGGAACAAGTTTGACCGCATGTTGTAGCCCAGATCGTAGTAGTCTGAGAAGATGGAGGCGATTTCCGCGGGGCTCTGGGTTCTGCTGGGCCATGAGCTGGCCCTCTTCTGGCCCTCAACGACCTCCCCCAGGGCCTTGCGAGCCTGGGCAGGGAGGGACGGAGAGGAGACGGGTGAGAGAAGCAGGTCCAGCTTCTCTTTCTATTTCCCCTTTGCCTCCCCTGCCTCCGGCCCTCACTGTGACTGCTCCACCCTTAGCCTGCAGCCCTCAACCCACCCCTAGGGCTGGGGAACTGATGCTGAAGGCCCCTCCTCCCACTTACCCACCCCACCTCCCACCCAGGCGGGGACCTCAGAGATGAAGGTGACCATAAACCTCTCCCTGCACTGAGCTCCGACTGTGTGCCTCGTCGGGAGAGGTCTCTATGAGGTAGCATTTCTCCTGCCTTTTTAGAAATGAAGAAGCTGGAAGGGACCGGGCCCACAGCCTGGTGAGTCTGGATCTTCCATTAGCTCAGGATGGCCCTGGGCAGATCATAGCACCTTTTCAGCCTTGGTTTTACCATCTGATATAGAGGAAGCAATAGCCAGGCTGGTGTGGCTTAAAATGCTTGAGTGTGGACCCAAGAACCAGGAGGTCGTGGTTCAACTCCTGGTCAGGGCACTTGCCCAGGTTGCGAGCTCAGTCCCCAGCAGGGGGCGAGCAGGAGGCAGTTGATCAATGATTCTTATCATTGACATTTCTCTTTCTCTCCCTTCCTCTCTCTGAAATTAATAAAAATTTATTAAATTTTTAAAAAGCAGCAATAGCTCCTACCCAGCCTGCCACACAATGCAGTTGCTAGGAGTGTGGAGAAGGTGGCTTTGAAAATGTCTCAGAGCCGAAACCGGCTTGGCTCAATGGATAGAGCGTCGGCTTGGGGACTGAAGGGTCCCGGGTTCGATTCCGGTCAAGGGCATGTACCTTGGTTGAGGGCATATCCCCAGTGGGGAGTGTGCAAGAGGCAGCTGATCAATGACTCTCTCATCGATGTTTCTAAGTATCTATCTCTCTCCCTTCCTATCTGTACAAAATCAATAAAATGTATTAAAAAAAAAATGTCTCAGAATGCCAAAGCAGGAAAAGCCCTTAGTACCCGGCCAGAAAATGGCAGCTGAATTTTATCTCAACTTTCAATGGGTCAGTAATAATTTCCCAAAACGGTGTGTGTGTTGGGGGTGGGGGCGTGGGGGGTGTGTGCCAGCATTGATTAATGATGTCTGCCATGCACGCAGACCAGGGCGCTGTGGGATGCACGCCAGGTATTTGCCAGCGGGATCAGTCCAAGTGCCTCACTTTACAGATGTAGCGACTGACGCCCAGAGAGGGGAAGGAACTTATTTGAAACCGCCCAGCACTCGTGGCACAGCCGTGACTCGAACCCAAGACTCCGGATTCCTGATCAGAGCTGCCTGTTCCATGCTGTCTCCTTTGGGTCCCTGTGAGTTAAAAGTCCCTAATTCACCCTAGCCGGCTTGGCTCAGTGGCTAGAGCGTCAGCCTGTGGACTGAAGGGTCCAGGGTTTGATTCCGGCCAAGGGCACATACTGGTTTGTGGGCTCGATCCCCAGTAGGGGGCATACAGGAGGCAGCCCATCAATGGTTCTCTCTCATCATTGATGTTTCTATCTCTCCTTCTCCCTTTCTTCTCTGAAATCAATAGAGATATTTTTTTAAAAATGAAACTCTCTAATTCAAACCTAAGACTTATTTCTGCAGCGTCATTGAGGTCTTGGGCTCCAGAATCTGCTGGCCCATCTTGGGCCCTCACCCTACACAGCTGGGTACGTTTGGCCAACTTCCCTAGCCCTGCCTGAGCGTGGGCCCCTCCCCCTGAGATGAGGGTGACAGCAGCTGTTGGCTGGGCAGGAGAAAGGAGTTGTTATGTGTGTAGCGTTAACACGGGGCACGGGGCCTGGCACACAGCAAACGCTCAGTAAACACTGCTTCCTGGTGACATTATCACAGGAACTCTGTTCTCCAGGGGAGGTCCCATTACACGTCTCCCTGGACCACCCTCCGGCCGCCCTGGGCCTCCTGTGTGCCCTGTGCCGACACCTGCTCCTCGGTGACCAGCTGGTCCACCACGTCGCTCCCAAACTTGTGGCGAATGTTGTCAGGAATGACGCTGCTCTTCAGGTCCTGGGCCCCGGGGTTGGGGCCCTCCTTCAGCCCCTGGCCCTCTTGGAGAGTGGCTCCGCTCTCCTGTTGGGAAGCTCTGTTGTCTTCATTCTTCATCCACCCAGGTCGTGAGTCCATCCCAGAGCCGTCCTGGCCAACGGCTGAGCCTGGAGGCCGGCTCCCTGCCGGGTAGGCCTGCCCCTGGGGGCTGCCTCGGGAGCTGCCTTCTTGGTCCTGGGAGGCCAGCGGGGAGACTGGGGTCTGGAGCTTGACCTTGGAAGTCTCCAAGGGGCTGTGGGCAGTTCTGGGGTCCGTGTCCTGCTGGCCTTCCTCGCTATTCAGACGGGCCCTGGTCAAAGTGGTTTTACCTGAAAGAGGGACGAGGGAGGGCGAGTGGGAGAGAAAGAAGGAGACAGCAGACGAATGCAGAGTGGCAGGCGGGAAGGGAGACAGAGTAGGGTGGGGGGTGGGAGGAATGACAGCCCCAGGGCCCCAGAGATCCAGAGCAGAAAAAGGGGCGGAAACAGAGAGGTCAGGGAAGCACAGGTGAGAAACGTGGAAAGAGACAAGGAGAGAAGGTCGTTCAGCTGCCAGCCTCCCTCGGGACAGGGTCGTCCCAAGTAGATTTTGACAATGGGGGCCGCAGCCCTGGAAGCTAGCACAGGGCGTTCCTTGGCTTGGCCAAGACCCCCGGCTGGCATGGCCCAGAGCTGGATCTGGGTCATGGTCTTTGTTCCCAGTTCTGAGCTGCTCCCCAGCCCTCACTGCCCTCCTCTATTCTCTGGGGTAATGGGGTGCTATCAGCCCAACCTAGTGTCAGTCACCCCACCTCACATGGCACCTCTCCCCTCCCTCCTCTCCTCCCCATCCCTGCTTCTGACTCTCCATCCCAGGGGTCTCCTGCTCGCAGCCTGTGATGTCTCCTCTTCATCCTCTTCTCCCATCTCCATGACAACCTGGTATGTCCCGCCTCCCAGCATTTGCCCAGCTTGGTTCTGCCACCTAGAAGCCCCCCACCCCTCTCCACCCTAAATCAAAGTTCTGCCATTCCTTTCACCGCAACCTTGGCCACCCCAAGCCTGGCCAACTGGGGGACCAGCTCCCTCCTCTCCACTTCACACTCTGTTCCCAGCATGCTCCGCCACTCTCCCCCTGGCTTCTCACCCCTGGGCTTTCCCTTCCTCCGTCCCTGTGAGCTACAAACCCTCTTGTCTCTCCTCCTAGCTGGGGCACAGTCATGAAGGTGGGGTCCATGGGTGAATCAGTCTGGGCCTCCCCCAGCACCCACCAGAGAGCCCCGGGCATCAGTAGGTGGAATCCTTCATGAAGGAGGGGACCAGTAGGTGGCTGCGGGGCCTCAGCTCAGAGTAGTACTGCCCTCAAGTCTAAGAGGCCGGACGTGTCCCCTCCCTTTGTCCTGGGTTCTGCCCCAAGGAGCAGGCAGCTCGGCCAGGGGCACCTCCAGGGAAACCAAGGCTTCCGAGATGGGGATGGGGATGGGGGTGGGGATGGGGAGGGGGAGGGGGAGGGGGAGGGGGATGGGGATGGGGATGGGGATGGAGATGGGGATGGGGGTGGGGATGGGGGTGGGGATGGGGATGGGGATGGGGATGGGGATGGGGATGGGGAAGGGGGTGGAGATGAGGGTGGGGGTGGGGGTGGGGACACTTCTGAAGAGGAGCAGAGGCAGAGTGCACTCAGCACCCACCCATCGACTGTGGCCCCCTCTCTGCTCACGGGAGATCGAAGCCCCAAGCAAGGATATTCCTTTCCTTCTCTTTTCCTTCTGTCTTCAGGGAATGGCCAAGGAGGGTCTGGAAGCCAGAGCAAGACCGAGGGAGAGGAGGGGGTGGTCCCTGCTGCCCCTGGGGAGTTCTCTCGAAGCCCTGGATTTGCAATGAGTGTCCCCTGCACGGCCAGTGCCCAACCTGCTCAGCCCAACCTACCTGCTCGATGGCCCAGCTCCATGGATTCTTGTTCCAAGCTTAATGCTGAGGACAAAGGAACAACCGGTCAGTCGGCTCAGATGTCACAGAGGCTCCGTGAGAGCGGAGCCACCTGCCCCTCCCCCAACCGGAGGCCCCTCCATGCTCCCGGTGCTCCCCGGCACTCAAGGGGTCCCCTGCCCCATCCACCCACCGCCCCTGGCGCTGGGCCTGCCTCCTGGACCCCTGCGGGCTCTGCTCTTTCTAGAAGCCCTGGTCACCCCCACACCAGCGAGTGCCCCCAAGGCCTTTCTGAGGCAGCCTGGGGCCTAGGCTCCTCTTTCCCCTCCTCCTCCCCCATCTGCACCCCCAACACTCCCCTGGATGTAAGGTGCTGCCCCAGGCTCCCCAGGCTGGTGACTGTCTGCCTCCCTGGAAATGGGATTTTGGCCATTTTGCCAGCTGGCTATTCAAGCTCACAGAAAGGGAACCAAGTTGGCCAATGTGGAGGGGAGCCGAGAGCAAACCCCTCCCCCCTCCCCATTCTGTTGTCTTTCCTCCCAAGACTGGCCTCCGGGCCGAACTGGGGGGCAGAGGTGTGTTCCGGCATCTTCAAAAGCCTCTGCACCTTTTAGGTTTGTGTTTCTTTTTTAGAGGTGATCTCTTTTTTATTATTATTATTATTCATATTCTCTTATTTTTATCACTTTTTAAAAAAAGGTTTCCATGGTTTTTTAAATAAAGCAACTTATTATATAACAGATGTTTAGTCCAGCTAGAAGGGATCTTTGAAATAAGCTAATTTTATTAATGGCTTCATTTTATTAATAAAGAAACTGAGGCCAAAACTGGTTTGGCTCAGTGGATAGAGCATCGGCCTGCGGACTGAAAGGTCCCGGATTCGATTCTGGTCAAGAGCATGTACCCCCCATCCCCAGTAGGGGGTGTGCAAGAGGCAGCTAATCAATGATTCTCTCTCATTGATGTTTCTAACTCTATCCCTCTCTCTTCCTTTCTGTAAAAAAATCAATAAAATATATTTAAGAAAGAAAGAAAGAAAGAAAGAAAGAAAGAAAGAAAGAAAGAAAGAAAGAAAGAAAGAAAGAAAGAAAGAAAGAGCCGAGACCGGTTTGGCTGAATGGATAGAGCGTCGGTTTGAGGGCTGAAGGGACCCGGGTTCGATTCTGGTCAAGGGCATGTACCTTGGTTGCGGGCATATCCCCGGTGGGGGGTGTGCAAGAGGCAGCTGATTGATGACTCTCTCTCATTGATGTTTCTAGCTCTCTATCTCTCCCCCTTCCTCTCTGTACAAAATCAATAAAATATATTAAAAAAAAAAAAAAAAGAAAGAAAGGAAGGAAGGAAGGAAGGAAGGAAGGAAGGAAGGAAGGAAGGAAGGAAGGAAGAAAGAAAGAAAGAAAGAAAGAAAGAAAGAAAGAAAGAAAGAAAGAAAGAAAGAAAGAAAGAAAGAAAGAAAGAAAGAAAGAAACTAAGGCCCAGAGAAGGAGAGTGACTTGTCTTAGGTCACCCAGCCAAGTTGTTCTGCCTGCAAGCTCAGAGCAGTGTAAGAACTGGGTTCATTTTATCATCTTGAAAAATCACTAAGCAAAAACGCCTTACTCATGTTTTATTTAATTGTTTGGTGATTGTGCAGGTTCTGATGTAACTGCCAACGATCCTAACACCCTCCTTCTCTCCCCCCAACCCCGTCCTGTATTCACACAAAACGCCCCCCTTAAGCGTGGACTGAACCTAGCAACTTGCTTCAAATCAAAAGAATATGATGAAAGTGAGGGAATGTCGCTTCCACCTTAGACCAGTGGCTTTTGTCCTGTTCACACACGCTCTCCGGCTCTTCTGGGCCTGCCCGCCCTGCCGGAAGCAGCTGCCGTGCTTTGAACTGCCCTATGGAGAGGCTCAGGGGGAAGGGATAGGGGGGCCTCTGACCAACAGCTCGGGAGGAATGGAGACCCTCCGTCCAGCAGGATTCAGAACGTAGCTCATCGAATCCTGCCACTTGAACGATCCTTCCCCAGTTGAGCCTTCATATGAGGACACAGCCCAGCTGACACATTCATTACAGCCTGTGGGAGACGCTGAGCCAGAGGACCCAGCCACCCACACCCAGAATCCTGCCCCTGAGAAACTGTGAGGTAATAATTTGCCTGTTGTTGTTGTTTAAAACACATGGTTTTATGCTGCTTGAGCTTTGTGGTGATGTATTATGCAACAATAGCTAACTCATATTTGGGTACCAAGGATGGGGTGCTGCTGTAACCAATACCTAAATGTGTGGGAGTGGCTTTGGAACCACGCAGTGGGCGGAGCCTGGAAGGGTTCTGAGGAACATGACAGACCAGGCCTGAATTGTGTTAAATGGGCTCGTAGTAGACATCTGGACTTGGAGGATGCTGCCGATGAAGGCACAGAAGGAAGTGAGGGGCGTGTTATTGGAACCCGGAGAAGAAGTGTACATGTTGTGTAGTGACAGAAACTTAGGGATACCCATTGGAGTTCTGTGGAAAGCAGGGCCTGTGACTAATGAGCGGGGTGATCTAACAGAGGAGATTTTCAAACCAAGTACTGGGGGTGCCTCCTGGTTTCTTCTTGCTGCTTGTCATGGAAGGTGAGAGGAACGAGAAAGATTGAAGAAAGAATGGTTAAAGGAAATGGGGCAGGACTTAGTAGTTTTGAAAATTCTCATCCTCTCCAAATGCCAAAAGATGCTAAAATTAAGAAAATGCTTTGGGTGGGGGGTGGGGGGTGGGGGGATGGGAGACATCTGTAATACTGTCAACAATAAAATATAATTTTTTTAAAAAGAAAAGAATGCTTCAGAGTGCTGTCAGGAAAATTTATCCAAGAGGGTGACTATACAACCTTTAGCTAAAACCTTGAAAAGGTGAAAGAATCAGAGTATTATTCAGTCACACAATGGGCCCTTAAACAGAGTTAAAAATACGCCTCACAGACTCTCTTAATGAATTAATAGGGCCTCTAGGAAGCTTGAGGGTGCTAACTCTCAGCAGGAGTGCCAATGAGAAGCACAATGTCATAGTTTTTGGGAAAACTGTATCGGCAAAAGTACTGCCAGCATGGAGTGAGAGGGGCAGAGACAGTACAAAATAAGAGAAACCAGTGGACTTCCTAATTCTACTGACAGATATGGTCTGAAAAAACAACTCAGCTGAAAACATGCACTACCTCTTTTTTTAAGGGTAATTTATTTATTTATTTATTATTATTTTTTTAATATATTTTATTGATTTTTGTACAGAGAGGAAGGGAGAGAGATAGAGAGCTAGAAACATCGATGAGAGAGAGTCATCAATCAGCTGCCTCTTGCACACCCCCCACTGGGGACATGCCCGCAACCCACGTACATGCCCTTGACCGGAATCGAACCCGGGTCCCTTCAGTTCCCAAGCCGACGCTCTATCCACTGAGCCAAACTGGTCCCGGCTTTTTTTTTTTTTTTAAGGATAATTTAGAGAGTGGAAGCAAGAGTCCATAGGGCAGAGCTGAGAGCCATGGAGAATTATTTCCATGCCTGGAAACCTAATAAAGTCCAACATTTGCCTGACCAGATTTCAGAACTGCCATGGACCAGTGACTCCGTGTTTCCATTTTCCTCCTATTTGAATAGGAATGTCAGCAGCTCTTATCCTCTGCCTGCCGCACCATTGCATGCCAGGTGTGTTCAGGGAAGGTAACTTAGTCTCACAGACCTCCTGATGGAGGACTGAACTCAAGAAACAGCCCCTGCCCGACTGGTGTGGCTCAATGGTTGAGCGACGACCTGTGAACCAGGATGTCATAGTTCGATTTCCGGTCAGGGGACATGTCAGGGTCGTGGGCTTGATCCCCGGTTGGAGGGCGTGCAAGAAGCAGCTGATTGATGATTCTCTCTCACCATTGATGTTCCTATCTCTCTCCCTCTCCCTTTCTCTCTCGGAAATCAATAAAAATAAAAAATAAAAAAATAACACACACACATGCCCCATCAAACACATCTATGACCTGCAGGTAGAGAGTTCAAGATCCTGAAGACTGTTGTATTAGTGTTTCTAGTTTTAGGAAAAAAAAAAAAAAAAAAAAAAAAAAGAAACAACCCCTAAAGAGCCTTGTCCACACCTGGGCCTGATTTATGGAAACAGATTCTAGATATTAAGGAGATGCTGCAATGAGGTGAGATGTTTGGAGATCTTGGGAGGGGATGAATGTATATTGCAAGTGGAAGGGACGTGTATCATCAAGGGTGAGATGGGGCAGTTGACATGGCTCCAGTGTCCCCTATTCCTTGGTATTAATTCCACTAACCACTCCCTCTGTGGGCCGGACTTACTGACTTGCTTCTAACAAATAGAATACGACAGAAGTGATGGGATGCCCCTTCCGAGATGAGAGGATAAACGACTGTGACTGTCTGGTTCACTCTTTCTGGCTCTTCTTGGCTCCATCACTCTGACAAAAGCAGCTTCCATGTGATGAGCTGCTCTCTGAAGAGGCCCACAGGGCAGGGAACGGAGAGGCCACCTTCATGGCCAACATGGCCAACAGCTCATGAGGAACTGAGGCTCTCAATTCACCCTCTTACCTTTGTGAGGGGCTTTGGAAAGCGGTCCTTCTCTAGTTGAGCCTTCAGATGAGACTGAAGCCCCAGCCAACAGCTTAATCACAGCCTGTGAGAGAACCTGAGACCGAGGACCAATGGAAGCTGCACCTGCATTCCCGGCCCACAGAAACTTAGACAATATGGTGATCTTAAGCCACTACGTGTTGGGAGGTTTGTTATGCAGTCTAGGAGGTTGATCTGTCTTCACAAGGACTCAGTGAGGTGTTTAGAGAAAGTCTTAACTCACCCTCTTTCACAGATGGAGAAAGAGGGTGAGTTAATAAACTGGGTGGTGTTGAAAACAAGCCCACATCTTCTATGTCCTTCAAGTGAGTTTTCTGCTCTTGTCCTCATTCCCCATCCCCAGTCACCCACCCGAGTGCCCACAGCAGCGTCCCATCTGCCCCCATGGCGCCCCCAGCCCACAGATGGGTGGACTCCCTGCAGGTTCTGACCTGAAGAGAAGGTCCCAAGAGACGTTGGTGAAGGAAGGGAGGAAGAGAAGGTCCAGTTGCAGGCTGGGCACTCTTCACTCACAAGCAACTCTAAACAGGAGAAGGAAGATGAAGTCTGGGTCATGACAGACACTCTCCCCACCCCCCCACCTGGGCAGTGCCTGTCTGACCTCTCCGCTCTCCGTTATAACGTCAGAAAACATGTGAACCGCTCTGGTGTGTGCTGAAGCCCAGGAGTGCAGATCTGCACTGCACAGCTGCTAAAGACCAATGAGTGGTTGCTAGGGAGCAGCCCTTCCCTGCTGTTCATTGGAGTCTCCATGGCAACCCCTATACACAGGGCTCTGTTACCTCAGAGGGCAGAGAGGCCAACCATAGGGGACAGAGGCCATGGAAAACCAGTATTGAGGGACAAAATATCCCCTGAGCACCCACCATGTGCCAGGCTGTGTACCATCAAGTGGGAAGGAAGGTTTGGGATGACAAAGGATTAAGTAGAGAGGGATTCATTCTATCTAGGGGGGGAAGACAGGGCTTAAAGAAGGGCCATGTGAGCTGGATTTTGTAATATGCAGAGGAGTTCAACAGTTTAGAAGGGACTCAAATATTAAAAGCATGGATGTGTTTATGAGCATACATGTAGGTCCAGGGGAGAGGGGAGGGGAGGGGAGGAGAAGATGCACTAACTGACAGAGCTGGACGTGAAGGGCTCTGAAACGAGGAGTAAAATTAAGGGGGCTGGCATAGTGGGGGTCTACTCTCCTCCTCTTGAAACATAAGGCTTCAGAAAATTATATGAGGTTGTGACTTGTGCAGTTGGTGCCAGCACTCAGTCCTGTCTCGCTGCTGCTCAGCGAGGAGGGAGTATAAGGGATACCTCCTGGATGCCCAGCCTTTCAGGGTCTCCCCAGGAGGCAGAAGAGCCCTGTGGTTAAACTTGGGGTGCCAGAGTCTGGGCCTGCCACTTTTTTTTTTTTTTTTTATCAATCTTTATTGTTCATATTATTACAAAGGTTCCTCATTTCTTCCCCCCTCCACCAGGTTCCCACCCCCCCCTCCGTCCCCCCCCCATCCCCCATTGTCCTCATCCATAGGTGCAGTTTATGTTCAGTCTCTTCTTCCCTCAATTTCCCCAATAGTAAATCCCTTTTCAGATAGTAAATCAGTTACTTAGCATTTTCTCATATCAATAATACCTCCACATGCCCAATGATACACTTCACACAAAAGACATTTCCCACTAGGTCAACCAGCCTCATCCAGGCCCCACCCAAGGCACTCACAGATCAACACCCCCAGCCCTATACTAACTCAACACATCCAGATCTAAGCCTTCATCACTTGATTCAGCAGACCCTCAAGTTCCCACGAAAGTTTCCAGCCATGTCTGAGAAGCAGCCGTGGGGCAGGGGCAGGCAGGGAGCGAGCTGTTCTGGGCCTGGCTGCTCAGGGCCTGGCCTCTGTTGCTCTGGTTCATTCCACAACCAGCTGCTCCGGGTCTGGTCACTGCCGCTCCCGACCTAGTTGCTCTGGACTTGGCTGCTGCTGCTCCGGGCCTGGCCGCTCCCAGCCTGGCAGCCGCTGCTCCGGGCCTGGCCGCACCTGACCCGCCTGCTCCCCCGGGCCTGGCCGCTCCCAGCCTGACAGCCTGGGCCTGCCACTTTTTAAAAAGAGTAGTTTTGTCCATGGGTGGGTTTTGTGTGTGTGTGTGTGTGTGTGTGTGTGTGTGTGTGTATGTGTGTGTGTGTGTGTTTGTTTGTTTTAATATTTTTAAATTGATTTCAGAGAGGGAGAGGAAGCGATAGATAGAAACATCAATGATGAGCAATAATCATTGATTGGCTGCCTCCTACATCCCCCTACTGGGGATGATAGGTTGACACTCAACCACTGATCCACACCAGCCTGGCTGCCCATGTTCTTTAGATGAACTTTCCTCACATGTGAAACATATATAACCCACCTCCAAGGGTAAGAGTGAGGACTGGACGTTTTGTAAAATGCCTAGAATATTGCCTGGCAGAGAGGGATGTCACCTATAACCCTAAGCTAACCCCGTACGTGACCCATCAGCAAGTCCTTCAGAATATACCAGACTCAGACCCCTTTATCCACCTCCTCAAGTTCCCTGACCCTCGTCCAAACCACCACCACCTCTTGCCTGGGTTAGCACACTGGTCCCCTCACGGGTTTCCTGGTTTTGCTCTGTCCCCTGAATTAACTGCCTGTAAGTGCATCAATGTACAGGCAGACCTCACAGGTATTGTGGGTTTGGTTCCAGGCCACCATGATAAAGCGAAGATCACGATGAAGCAAGTCACACACATGTTTTGGCTTCCCAGGGCATATAAAAGTTATGTTTCCGCTACAGTCCATCAAGTGTGCATTAGTGTTATGTCTAAAAAACAACACCTCTTAATTTAAAATACATGGTTGCTGAAAATTGCTAACCATCCCCTGAGCCTTTAGCAAGTCATAACCCTTTTGCCTGTGGAGGGTCTTGCCTGGATGGCTGCTGACGGAGCAGGAGGGTGGGCTACTGCAGACTGGGATGGCAGTGGCAATTTCTCAATAGAAAACAACTAGAGGTGCGATGCACGAAGATTTGTGCAAGAATGGGCCTTCCTTCCCCTGGCTGCCAGCATCACCTTCACTCTGGCCAGAGCTGCCTTTCTGCCTTCCCATGCTGCCCAGAGGCATGGAGCAGCTGGGGCGGTGTGGAGCACCTGTGTCGCGCCCAAACGCCCCCACTCCCCTGCTGCTCAGTGCCTGCATATGCAAATTAAATTAGCATCTTTGTTGGGTTAATTTGCATACACACTCCTGATTGGCTGGTGGGCATTGTGAAGGCACGGTCAATTTGCATCTTTCTTTTTTATTAGTGTAGAGGAGCCTGCCACATCCATTGACGCTCCCTCTCACGAACAATTTCTCTGTGGCATGTGATGCTGTGGGGTACCATTTTACCCTCAGTAGAACTTCTTTCCAAGCTGGACAGCGGGCAGTAGGGGCAGTAGGGAACCCCCAGGAGGTGGGGCCTGGAGTCATCCTCTCTCCCCAAAGGAGGGTTTACAGAGCCTGTTGCTGGAAAACTGGAAATCCAGCCACCTGGGTCCAGTCTGCCGGGTGGCTTTCTCCCACTGCAGCTCCTGGTTCGCCTGGAACTCCTGTCCCGGGGATGGACAGAGGGTCTTACTCTGGGCCAGGAAGGTCACCTAAGGTGGAGGCCACCTTCCCTTGGCCTGCTGCTGAGCGTCTTCTCTTCCGAGGCCCCAGAGCCTGTGTTGTGTGACACCTCTTTCAAAAGTCATTCTGAAGGCTATCTGCCCCTCCCCTCCCCTGAGCCTCACTCCCCACACACACACACCCAGAGGGCTGGGCCCAGAGCAGCTGTGGCTTCACTTCTCTCTGGCTTCCTGGTGCCCCTTCCAGGTAGGGCCCAGCATGCCCCACCTGACATGGGACAACAGGCAGCCTCCCTTACCAAAACTAAGTAACAAAGTGGCTTCTCCAGCTGGCAGGTGCTACAGAGTGTCTTTTCTTGGTGGTTTTAAGACATCAGCTGGAGATGGAAATATGGAGTATGCGGGGCAAGGAGGGAAGCCAGGCAGAGACGGGTAGACACAGCACTCAGAAAAAGCCACGTTTATTCCAGTGCTGTGGTTGGGGGGAAGGGTAAGGAGGAGAGAGCTTTAGCCGCAACCTTAAGATCTCCTAGGCGGAGCTATGAACCAGCTGCAGGCCATGCCAGTCACTAACCGTCTGAGCTCTGGGCGAGCAGAGAGGCTCCCTGCTCAGGCCTTTCCGTCCTTCGACTGGGACACGCGGGTCTCTGGGGGGGCCCGGTGGAACCACTCAAACCAGGAGCCGTCATAGATGGCCACGTCGGGCTTGCCGAGGAGGTAGGCGGCTAGGGCAATGTGGCAGGCGGTGACACCCTTGCGGCAGGTAGCAATGAGGGGCTTGGCGAGGTCCACCTTCTTGGCCTCGAACATAGCTCGGATCATCTCTGGGCTCTTCTCAAAGCCGTCCTCCGTCAGGAAGTCCATGAACGGCATGTTGAGCGAGCCTCGGATGTGGCCCGATTCCAGTCCTGGGCAGGGGCAGAGGGCGAGGGGAAGGGCAGGGTTAGGAAGGCATGGGGGTGGGGCAAGTGGGGCCTGGAGTCCAAAACCATTGGAGGCTATCAGGACAGGGCGCTTCCCAAACACATGGAACGTCTTTGCCCTTCTCTGAGCTCACCTATATTCTTCTCTGAGCATTGGCTGTAGGCCCTACTACATTCAAAATGCCCTCTCCCTGCAAGCCTGCCTCAAGGTAGAAATTTCCAAAATCATACCTGCCTAAGAGGACAGGGAATGAGTCTCAGCTCTACCACTTATTAACCTTTGCCTTGGGTAAATCGAATCACTTTTCTGGGCCTCAGTTTTCTCATCTGTAAAATGGGCTCAGTGGTACAGCCCCGGCTCACAGGGTTTTTGAGAAGAGCAAGTGAAATAATGTGGATGCTATGTGCTGTGTCAACTGCTGAGAATGCAGAGGTGAAAGAAACTCAGCTCCGCTCTCTGGGAGTATGTATGGTCTAGCAAGGACGATAGATGTTAAACAGACACCCTCAGAATTCATTCATCTTAACACGGCTCCATTTTACAGGTGATTGTTGAGGTTGACTAAATAAACCGGTTTCCTAAGGGCACACAGAGAAGTAAGGGCAGACCCAGGATCGCAGTCACTGGGTTTTCCTGTTAAGCACACAGCTGTGGAAGGAGCATATGCCCTGGTCTTCGACAAGTTCAAATCCCAGCTCTGACACTTACCAGCAAGGTGGCCTTCAGCAAGTGACCTCACTTCTCTGAGCCTCAGTTTCCCCATGGGTAAATGGGAATGAGCAGAGTCATTGTAAGGACAGCAGCACTGACTACTGAGGCTGCCTCCCACCCTCAGTTGCTGTCGCTCCCACCACTTCACCACCCACCCTAGTGATCCTGGGCACACAGTAGGTGTGGTCATGCCAGCAAAGCCCCAGTCCTCTCCCCCAAGGACAAAGAGGATTCTGGAATTTGCTGGCACAACTCAAGAGTTTCTTTGATTAAATAGATGCCCAGCGTATAAAACTTCAGCAATTTCTTCCTGTGCTGATCTCCCCTTTAAAAAAAAAAAATTTATTTCATCTTTTAGTCTGGCAACTTTAATCTCGAGATTGGATGGTGCTGACCCTGCCAATGAGAAATATTTTACCTGTCGGCTCTGAGGGTGCTCTTTGCCAAGAAACCCACTTTAAGATGTTCAGCATCCTCGCAGTGGGCTGAAGTTAGTGCATTTAAGAGCACAAGCGCCTGCTGAGTTCTGAATGCTGATTTTCCTTCTGAAACAGCTTCATTGTTTCCCTCTGATTATGTAAGAGGCACCTCTTGGAAGTGAAGAAGGCAGAGGATGGGGCCCCTCTCAGCTCTGCCAGCAGGGGCTCAGGGTGTGTCTGAGGAATTTAAATGAGCAGGAACTGCCTGTCCTGCCCACACCTATATGCGTGTGTACATGCGTGCAGAGGGGAAGAGTGAACCCAGCCCAGAGCACCTTGGAGAACAGGCAGCTGTGATGGGCCCAGAAGCTCCTGCTGCTTTTTCCAGGTTCAACTCCAGCTGCAGGCTCAGCTTTCCCAACCACCAAGCTCACAACCTCTGGCTTCAAGCCCCCAATGGACAACCTCAAGAACCTTATCCTCTTGGCTCTAATGGGGAGTCCGGGCTCAGAGAGGTGAGGGAACTTACCCCAGGACACACAGCACAGGGGTGTGAAGGCACACCGTGCTCTTTGACCACCCGGGCCTTCCTGGAAGAGGAGGCTGAGGTGGGGGGATGGATGAGACGACCCCTCATTTTCCTCAGCTGCTCAGAGGTCTGGGACTCTGTGCTCCAGCTCTGGCCACGAAGATGCCAGTCAAGTTGGTGAGGCTAATGGTAGGAGTGGGTTTTCAAGGCCAGGAAACCTGTTTGGCTCTTTCTTCCTAAAGGCACTAAGAAATTCGGTGCAAGTAGCGCCAGTGGATAGCCCCCAACCTAGGCCCCTGGGAGGCATCTTAGCACCCTCCCACACCCCACCCCAGCCCCCAGACTCCCAAGGGAGAGAGGCAGAGGGGCCACAGGATCCCGTAGCCACAGCACACAGTGAGGGCTTTTTCCTCCGTCTGTGTTTGCTGGCACACAGTGGTCCGGGAAACAGCCCCGCTTTATCCCTGGGCACACGGTAGGTGTGGTCATGCCAGACTGCAGACTGGGGCCAAGCCTTGGCCACGCTGCCTCTTTAGGGAGATCTCTGCTCCCACCTGCAAAGCGGGACCAATTCCGACCGCCTCCTGCCTCCCTGGGCAGGGCTGCTGTAGCGTCTATAAAGGCTCTGCATGCCGAAGCCGGTTTGGCTCAGTGGTAGAGCGTCGGTCTGCGGACTGAAAGGTCCCAGGTTCGATTCCGGTCAAGGGCATGTACATTGGTTGCGGGCACATCCCCGATAGGGGGTGTGCAAGAGGCAGCTGGTCGATGTTTCTCTCTCATCGACGTTTCTAGCTCTCTATTCCTCTCCCTTCCTCTCTGTAAGAAAAATCAATAAAATATATTTATAAAGGCTCTGCAAATACAGTGCTCACTAGGTCAATATCCTCCCTCTTCAGCCTTACCCCACCCCTGGGTTTATAAAGACGGAGCTGGCTCAGTTCCCACCTGATTCCCCTTCACCTCAGGCTTCTCTAAGGTGAGCAGTGTCCTTTCATCGGGGTTCAGAGGTGAAGGGACTTGCTCAAGGCCACGTGCAAGGGCCACAGGCGTCTGGCTCTCCCCTCGCTCCCCTCACAAACAGGACCAGAGGTACTGGGGGCACAAAACCTAGGCCCGAGGGGGCATGGCTTGCCTAGGTTTTGCAAGAAGTGGCTGTCGAGTTTCTGAGGCCTTGCTTCCTCCCGGCTCCTCCTGGGACACTCCTTCCAGGGCTGCCCGGGGCCCGCCACCCACGTTCCCCCGGGTGTTACATCCGGACTGCCGGGCCCACGCGCTGCCTCCCTGATCCACCCCAAGTTGGCGACCATGAATTCAGCGGAGCCTCGTGTGCCTTTGTGTCCCCAAAACGCCCTGTACGGAAGGAAGGCCAGCAAAGCCACTTAGGAAGTAAGGGAGGGAAGGGCTTCGTCCTCCATGCCTTTCCAGGCGGCCTTAGCCTCTGTAGTTCCTCCTCACCCTCCTCAAAACACCCTCCCAGCCACTGCTGCTTTTAAAGGAATACGCCCCCAGGTGGGCAGGGCTGGCATTACGCTTCTCCTTTTACAATAAAGGAACCCAGAGAAGCTGAGCAATTAGACTGAGGTCCCACCCTGTTCCTGACCTCAACTTAGACCCACGCTCCCCAGGCCTCCAGATGGGAACTGTGGGAGGTGAGAATAGGGCCACAGGGCAGGGGGCAGGGCTTGGAAATTCCAGACTTCCAAGAGGCATCACATGCAGCAGGCGGTTTCCCCTCTCTGTGCCTCAGTCTCCTCATCTCTAAAATGGGTCTGGCATTTCTAAATGGGTCTGGCATCCCTTCCCTGATTCTCACAGAGCTTGGGGCAAGCTGGAAAGCAGCTGGGGAACAACTCCACCAGTCTCCCTTCCCCTACACGCCTCCCACTCAGGCAGCTTAAGTCCCAAGGAGAGAAGGCATCTTGAACCAAGGCCATGAGGGCGTTGCCGGAACGCTGTGCCAGGAGTCTCTAGAAGGTGCCAAATGAACTTGAATCTTCAACTCTGGACCTTCAGAGAGCAAGCTGGGCAAAAAAAACACAGGACCAGGAAAAAGCCCAGGACAGGGACGCGGAACGCTGCGTTCTCCTGACTCATCCACGAACCAGCCTCGTGGCCTTGGCCCCGCCCTCCCTCAGGGTACCTCAGTCTCCTTCTGTCTGATGAGGTGCCTTTCAGGCCCTCCAGCTCAGAGTGTTGGAAACGGCTTTCTGAGTTCTCTTCCTCGCACAGACAGGAAGAGACATTTCTCAACAATTTGGGCAACATGCTGCAGGGGAGTTAGATTCTGCAGAGGAACCCTGACCAAGGGCAGAACCAGGGCCCCAGGAGGTGCCAGGCACCCTGAGGGCTCAGGCCAGCCTGGGCCATGAGAGGCCCCAAGAGCACTGAGGTCCAGGGCGCCAGCAGGGGAGATGGCAAGGCCTCTGAGGTCTATGAGGCGGGTTCTAGAACTCTGTTTCCTCTCCCGAGACAATCCCCTCCCCCTGGAGTCCAGAACCTTCCACAGGAGAGGGAGCACTCATGTGCCATCTCCCTGCTGATGCCTAGGGAGGGGGCTCCCTCCTGACCCTGCAAGGCGGGGGTGGGCAGAAAGAGCAATGCATCCTGGTTCAGGCCCCTGGTTTGAAGCGTGCAGGCAGCACTGGATTCCGATCTTCACTTGGCCGTGTCACTGAGCAAGTAACTCAATATCCTGGCATCGCCGTTGCCTCCCCTCTCAGACAGGGACATGAAGCCTCGTTGGATGAGATAATGTGATGTCGAGTGCTTAGCAGATGAAGCGTTGTAGCTCTGCAGACAGGCTGCAGCTGTCTGGAAAGGTCAGGGGGCCTGGGAGAGCTGGAGGGGGTGGTGTGGGGTGGGGTGAGGGGGCCGGGAGGACATTGCTGGCGTCCATAAGGGTTTCTGAGGAACAGAGGCCCTGAGACCTAGGTGTCCTTGAGAGGCCTCCGTACAGTGATTCGTGCCTTTGGGCATGTGGGGAGCTAGTGCCTGGTATGGGTGTGGGCAGATATGTCACCAGCCACCCCTGCTGATGCCACCCTGTTACAGGTGCTAGGGGCCTGTTGGCACAGAACTATGGGACCACACATGGAGGTCTTCATGCATCAGAGGGAAAAAAGCCTTTAGGTTCGGCTCTGTCCTCTCATTTCACAGATGGAAAAACTGAGGCCCATCTAGGAGGTCCTGAGGGCAAAACCCGCAGAGGGTCCCAGCCATCCTTCTCCCCCACCCTTCTCCCATCGGGCATTCTTCTCCAGGGACCACCCCGCCCGCTGGGGCACCTACCTACGGCATCCGGCTCGGGCTCGGTGCCCAGGTACCGCCCCTGGGCCCGCGAATCCACCAGCTGGAACCTCTTGGACTCAAGGTTCTCCAGCACCTGCTCGTAGGTCTTGAGCAGGGAGCGGTCCAGGGTGGCCTTGAAGACGGCGGGCTCCGGGCGGGAGGGCTCGGACGTCACCGGGTGGCCCTCCTTCAGCCAGTTCCGGAAGCCGCCGTTGAGCACGGACACGGTGCGGTGGCCGAACACGCGGAACATCCACCACACGCGGGGCGCGTAGAAGCTGCCCAGGTCGTCGCCGTCGTACACCACCACGTGGGTGTCGTTGCCGATGCCCAGGCGGCCCACGTAGTCCGCGAAGCCCGCCTCGCTGGGCAGCATCATCTCGTAGGGGGATGCCCGGTCCCTGCACTCCTCCATGTCAAAGAAGGAGGCGCCGGGCACGTGGCGCTCCCGGTACTCCCGGCGCGCGTCCCTGGTGCCCGGCGGGTACCAGGACGCGTCCAGCACCCGCAGGCCGGGCCCCAGCTTCCCGGCGCGCACGGACTCGGCCAGCCACCGGGTGGAGACCAGCGCCCGGTAGAGCACCTGGTGGACCATGGCTCCGGCTCGGCGCGTCACCTGGCGCGGGTGGGGACCGGGAGAGAGACGGGCGTGAGGACCCTGTGGTGGGCAGCGCGGCGGGTGGGGCCTGGGAGGAGCTGGAACCCTTCAGGGTGGGGCGTTCGCAGCCCCACAGCGGGCCGGGGGTGCAGGGGGATAGGTGGGCAGATCCCCTAAGGAAAGCCTCCTCGGCCCGGGGTCCCCATCACGAAAGGGGGTGGGGGGTGGGGTAGCTGGCCCTAGAAGCTACAATACTTGCCCTCAGGACCCAGCCGAGAAGAACGGCGGACAGATGCCCAGGATGGGGGAGATGGCATCTTGGGCTTAGAGCCCCCGTCCCAGGAAGGGCAGGGGAATGGCTCGCGGGGGAGGGTCCGCCGGAGCCCCGCACTCTCCCCGCCCCCCTAACCCGCCTCGGGTCTCCAAAAGCCTTCCTGCGGTCTCCGGGCAGCCCGGGCCAGCCTGCCCCCCAGGATGCCCGAGTCCAGCCCCGGGTCGGTGCCCTCTTGCCCAGCTGGGTTAGGGCTCCGGGGGCATCGCGCCCGCCCTCGCCAGGGGACCTCGCCCTAACCGGCGGCCCGATCCCTCACCCGCCGCCGCACTTACTCGCCCTCGCCGCCGCCCGGGCTCCCGCCCCTGCCCGCCAGAGGAGTTGTCGGTTCAAACCCGGGGCCGGCGCCTCCCCGCCGGCACCTCCCCTCCGGGCACCTCCCCGCCGGCCTGCACCATCCGCCGCCGCCCGCGGGGGGGATGCGCGCCACTCGCTCCGGCTCCGCGCGCCCCGCCTCCCCGCGGCGCCGCCCCTGCCCGCTCCCCCGCGCGCGGCGGCGCCTCGGTCCCCCCAAACCCCGCCGGGAGCGCCGGGGGGCATCGGGGTGGCGCGGGGTGGGCCTCGGCGGCGCGGGCGTCCCCCAGACCCGGCCGATGGGAGGCGCGGGCAGAGGCGGCTCCGAGTGGCCGGGGCGGGGGGCTGTGCCCAGTCTCCGCCTCCCTCCGGCCGCAGGTGGGTGTCGGGAGGAGGGGACGGCAGCGGGTGCGGGGAGGGGGCACCCCGCGGCTGGGGCTATGGCCGATCCGGAAGCCCAAGAGCCCGAACCCCGGGTAATTTTTACTGCGATGACGCGTTTGATTGCTTGGGGGGAGGCCGGTCTTCGGGGTGCACGGAGCGGGGGTCCCTGCGCGGCCTGATCGGAGGAGGAGGGGATTGCAGTCTGGAAGGAAGGGCGCTCCGTGGGTTTGCCCTAAGAATGGCTGGCTGTGTGCAGCGGCTTGGGGCGCCCTGCAGGGTGGGGCGAAGTGAGTGGCCCTGGCTGGGGGAGGGGGAACACCTGGTGCCGCCAGGAAGGACCGGAGGGAGGGAGGAGGGACTCATAAAGCCTGACAGATATGCTAGGGAGAGGCCAACCGGCCCAGGGGTGCCTAGAGGAGAAACTTAGCAAGGAACTTGCTGGCGTGAAATGAAAGTAACTTTTGTCAGGGCCTGTGTGGGGCGGCGCTTTTTGGGAGATGTTCCTTAGTTCCCATAATCGCCCCGCGGCGAAGGCCAGAACTTATTTAAAGAGCAGAGAGAGGAGCTGGGCTGGCTGCCCCGGTCACTCGCGTGGAGGCCAGGCTGTGTCAGATCCGGAGCCCCACGTGGCACCAGCCGCCTTTCCTTACCTTGCCAATCTGCAGGCCTTAAACTTAAATATATATATATATATATATATATATATATATATATATATATATATATATATATATATAAAATTGACTTTTCAAAGAGAGGAAGAGAGAGGGATAGAGAATTTAGAAACATTGATGAGAGAGAAACATTGATCATCTGCCTCCTGCACACCCTCCACCAGGGATGTGCCCTAAACGAAGGTACATGCCCTCAGTCCTACACACTATCCACTGAGCCAAACCGGTTAGGACTCCAGGCTTTAAACTTTTAAATATAATTGCCTTTGTTTTCTCATTTAACTGTAAGTTTATGTACTTTCATCTTTAACAACCAGTTGGCATCATTCCTGAGACCCTAACAACTGGTGAGGCCTCACTGCCCAATACTTAGCTTTGGCATATGCGGTTACAGATACCTGGAATGCTTTTCTCATCCCCTTTGAAAGTGTTGTTTTGTGCTGAAAGAATTATATTCTCTCAGGAAGCTGCAAAAAGCCATACTTGCAGGAGCATTTATCCAGCGAATCCTCTGAACTTTGTGCTTTGCAGCTGGGGTCCCAGGGAGGACAAGGCTGAGAAGTCTTTGAATGCCAGTCTGATTGGAGCCCTGATCTTGGGGGGGGGGGGGTACCCAGAGGGTGGCTTGGGGCTCACACTCCCCCTGGTGCAGCTGGAGATGGGCCTGGGGCCAGCCTGTATGTCCTGGAGCCCTTCACTCCCAGACACCCCCACCTACACTGGTCCCTGCTGCCAAGCACGCGGGAACCTGATCCTGCCCTTCTGTGACACGGGCAGCCTGCTCTCCCAGACCCTCCACCTCCCAGTTTTTTTTTTGTTTTTTTTTTTTTAAGAACTGCCAATCCAGCAGGCAGCATGGGGCGGGATGACTTCAAACCTCTGAAGTCCCACCTGTGAGCCCAGCCAGCATGGCTCAGTGGTTGAGCATTGACCTATGAAGAGGAGGTCAGGGTTCGATTCCCAGTTCAGGGCACATGTTTGGGTTTTGGGCTCTATCCCAGTCAGGGGCATGCAGCAGGCAGTCAATCAGCGATTCTCTCTCATCATTAATGTTTCTATCTCTCCTCTCCCTTCCTCTCTAAAATGAATAAAAATGCATTTTTTTTAAAAAGGGCCACCTATGAGAGTAACTTTGAAAAACAAAAGCCGTTTGGAATGATTATTAATGCCAGCATATGCGGTGCATCACCACGGCTTTCTGCACTCATTATTTAATCTTTGCTAAAAGAGGTGGGTTTGGAAAGCCCTTTATGGGAAATGGCAACAGGCCAGGGAGCTTAACATGCGCCTTCACATTGCCAACCTGTTAGCACACTGTGGACCAGCGGTGTTATTACTTGCTTTACCCAGTGGCCAGGTAAGTTTCTATGGAACGAGTACAAAACAAAGTTTTACATAAATGTTAAAGGCTCGCTTTAAAATTAAATACCCGTTGCACGTTGAAGTCACTTATGACATGTTCTTATAAGCAACTATCTTTCTAAAGTATGGTTGGCCACAAGCCTTAGAACACAAAGCGCGAGAATTCTCGTGTTCCGTCCGCAATGTGTTAAGCTGCAGCGTGAACTTGGCACTGGCTCTCAGGTGAGAGTGGGGGGATCTGACTCCCAAACCATGGTTCTTTTCTTTCTGAATGTACCCTTGAAGCAAAGAGCCCCAAGAATGGTGAGGAAGGTGGGGGAGGCAGGGGCTGCTGTGGTTCTTAAGAAGGGGCCCAAGGCAAACCTCAACATCATTGAGCTGTGTAAGCCACAGGTTCTGGGGTGATCCCTTCACCAAAGCCCCCTGAAAAGGTCAAACCAGTTTGGATGTCCCCCTCCTCCAGGAAGCCTTCCCACACCTTCCATTCCAGGCCCCTCTGTGCTCCCGCTGAACTTCCTTCAGCCTTTCCTTAATTATACTTACCGCAAGCCGTCCTGGGGCCTGCCTTTATCTCAGGACCTGGCCCAGTCAAGAGTTTCTTTGTATCCAGCACAGGGCCTGTGGACAACGTGGTTCTTTTCTTTCATTTTTTTTTTTCTTTTTTTAATATATTTTATTGATTTTTTTTTTTTTTTTTTTTTTTTTTTTTTTTTTTTTTTAACAGAGAGGAAGGGAGAGAGTTAGAAACATAAATGAGAAACATCAATCAGCTGCCTCTTGCACTCCGCCTTCTCGGGATGTGCCCGCAACCAAGGTACATGCCCTTGACTGGAATCGAACCCAGAACCTTTCAGTCCACAGGCCGACGCTTTATTCACTGAGCCAAACCAGTTTCAGCTACAACATGGTTCCTAAACATCAGCCTGCAGTGAGACTGTGGGAGGGGGTCAGTGAGGCCTGGATTCCCTCGTGGGACTGCCTAGTGTGCAGCCTGGTCACTGCTGCTCAAGTTAGGGCACTTCTAGGACCTCAGCAGGCCCCTCATGAGACAGGGAAGATAATACCAAACCTCTTGAGAGACTCACTCAACAAATCACCTAGAGCAGGGTGGGGAACATTCAGCCTGCCGGGCCAGAAATCATTTGGTCTGGCCCAGCCAAGGCATTAGGGGCCAGTAACTTAAATGTTTGACCACTATAGTAGGCTGATCTTTAAGTTGATAACTTTTGTTAATGTAAAAACAAAAAACATTGAAGCCAGTAAAGAATTTTTTGCGAGTTTACATGAGAGCTGCCCCGCCAAACTGTCAACATATACAGACCCTCAAGGAATTGAGATAATGCTCGGGAGAATGTAGCTTTACATTTATATTTATACATTGCAATCAAAAGAGGGACATAGGTGGGTTACATGAAATTCATTGGTGATAGATTAAGGAAGAGGGATAAAGCAAAGGGAGGGGGGCAGAGAAAGCCCTGGAATTGGATAAAAAGTAAAACGAAGGACACTTACTTCGGTGGGAGCTGGAACATGATAACGAAGGAATTTGAGGTATCTGTCCCGGCGCCCACCACATTTGGTTGTGCCCCAGGGGCTCCGGAAAAAGGGAAGTTACAAGTTACCCAGACATTTCAAGGATACCGTTATTCCTAGATGCAAAAAGACAGGCTCAGTTTAGGTAAAGGTTGACCTTGTCAGTGAAGATACCGGCCTAGGACGTAACTGCCCACCATCACTGCATTTAGTTCAAGTTTAATTTCAGACCATCCTTTGTGGTGACTCTAGGTCTCTGAGTTTGCAAGCCCACCATGCAGGCCTCCCTTGAGCTGTCAGGTCAGCAAGTGGCCCCTTCCCTCCCCACTCTGGATAGCCTCGAATGATGTTATAAATATCCCAATGGGCCTTGGCAGAAGAAAGGTTTCCACCCCTGATCTAGAGCCCATTCGGTGACCCACCTTGTGCTAAGGAAGCGATACTCAACCTTCCTAACGCCACTACCTTTAATTCAGTTCCTCATGTTGTGGTGACCCCCATCCATAAAGTTATTTTTTGTTGCTACTTCATAACAGTAATTTTGCTTCTGTTATGAATCGTAATGTAAACATCTGTGTGGGACTGCCTAGTGTGGAGCCTGGTTACTACTGCTCAACAGGTTGACTGGGTTTTCAACGAGAACCACTGCTGCAGAGCAGTGTTTCCCAAAGTGTGGTACGCGTACCCCCAGGGGTATGGGAAGAGTTTGGTGGGGGTATGCATTGCACCGGAGTTTGGTGGGGATATGCACTGCACCGTGCTTAGCTGCGCCTAATTCTACCGTTCTCATGAGTATGAGGAGTACTCAGCGTTACAAAAATTATAAGACCTCGTGGCATTAGGAAGGTTGAGAACCGTTGTTCTAAGGTGTTGTGAGGGTGAAACGGTCCTCACAGCTGAGGCCGGTTTGGCTCAATGGATAGAGCGTTGGCCTGGGGACTGAAGGGTCCCAGGTCCGATTTTGGTCAAGGGCATGTACCTTGGTTGTGGGCACATCCCCAGTAGGGGGTGTGCAAGAGGCAGCTGATCGATGACTCATCAATGTTTCTAACTCTCTATCTCTCTCCCTTCCTCTTTGTACAAAATCAATAAAAATATATTTTTTAAAAAAGAGAAAGAAAAAGAAACGGTCCCCACAGCCGGACCCAGTGGGCTCCCGCTACTCCTCCTACTAGGCTGCTTGTGTAAATGCTGAGTGAATGTGTTTCTCCAGGGACCGTCCTTGCTGGGTGCACCTTCGGGAGGGCCTAAGGCTTGGGCCTTCTCCCAATGTGCCTCCCAGCCCCACGCAGCAAGCAGCAGCGAGGGGCCCTTCTGGCCCTTTCTAGGGGTCATGGTCATCGCTGTGCTGGTTATAGATCCAAGCGGGGGAGGGGAGGGAAGGCTGCGGTGACCCAAGTCTGCACCTGGGTTCACCCGCCGCTGATTTTCAGAAGTCCCTGGACTCTGCCCTCCAGCGGCGGCTCCACCTCCCTTCCCGGCCCAGCCCCTGCCCCAGGCCCAGCCTCAGAGGCACAGGGCGTTTCCTGCCCTGGGGCCGGCCCTTCCTAGATTTCCTCCTGACTTTCCCCTCTGTTTCCCAGGCCCGCAGTCCCAGTGCCTCCGCCGCCGCCGCCATGGCCCGCCCGCAGCTCTTCCGCGCGCTGGTGTCGGCGCAGTGGGTGGCCGAGGCGCTGCGCTCCCCGCGCGCCGGGCAGGGGCCGCCGCTGCAGCTGCTGGACGCCTCCTGGTACCTCCCCAAGCTGGGCCGCGACGCGCGCCGCGAGTTCGAGGAGCGGCACATCCCCGGGGCCGCCTTCTTCGACATCGACCAGTGCAGCGACCAAACGTCGCCCTACGACCACATGCTGCCCGGCGCCGCGCACTTCGCCGAGTACGCGGGCCAGCTGGGCGTGGGCGCGGGCACCCACGTGGTGGTGTACGACGCCAGCGACCAGGGCCTGTACTCCGCGCCCCGCGTCTGGTGGATGTTCCGCGCCTTCGGCCACGCCGCCGTGTCGCTGCTGGACGGCGGCCTCCGCAACTGGCTGCGCCAGGGCCTGCCGCTGAGCTCGGGCAAGAGCCGGCCCGAGCCCGCCGAGTTCCGCGCCAAGCTGGACCCCGCCTTCGTCAAGACCTACGAGGACATCAAGGAGAACCTGGAGTCCCGGCGCTTCCAGGTGGTGGACGCCCGCGCCGCCGGCCGCTTCCAGGGCACGGAGCCCGAGCCCCGAGATGGTAGGTAACGGGGTGGCCCAAGGGTCTGGGGGGTGTCCCCACCGGGGAGAGGGGTCAGCGCCCGCGGGGCACCGCCCTGGACTGTAAAGGACCCCGCGTGGGGTGGGGGCCCAAGGTGTGGTTTCTAGTCGCTCCCTCTGGGAGCCCCGCCGACTTCATTCCTCACCTGAGGACAAGGGACGCTTGGGGCAACGACTCCCCCAAGTTTGTTGGGGTCCCAGGGTGTGTATATGTGAAAACCCAATGCTATGGATGGGAGGGGGTCACTGCATAGGAGAGGTGGGGAGCAAGCCCGGTTTGAGAAAAACCCCAAAGAAATGGCGCCTAGTCAGGTCTAGGCCAGCTCTGAGGGTGATGGGGTTGGGATAGAGGAGGCTGAGACACCCCCCTCCCCCCAATCCCCTGAGCGCCAGGGGACAGGGCTGGCAGAGGGCAGGAGAGGGGGCACTAAATAGAGGGTGGCTGCTGGCAGCAGTTGGGGCAGCATCTTCTGGGTGGGGTTCCATTCTCCAAGCAAGGAGCCTTCAGGGAGCCCATGTGAAGCAGGGAAGGGTCTCCACAAAGCAGGCGAGTCAGCGGCCCTTGTGTGAGCTTTTTCATGATGCCTCAAGGTGTCCGCTGTCGCTGGAGAGCAGAGGGAGTGGAGCCGTAGAATGGCGACCTGGCTGTGGGTGTCAGGACTTGAACTCCTGGATCCCGCGCATTTAATGTCCGAGAGCAGTGACTCCCCAGCATCTCTCCCGCGCCTGCTTCAGGGAGGGGGTGAGGAACTTGCCACTGGCTCTGGGATGCTCTCCCGAATGGCACCCCCAGGCCCTCGGATCCGGGGCGGGACTTCTCGGAGCCGGCCGAGCAGCTGGGACTCACCCTATCCCAGCCGTGTTTGGGATGGCTCAAGGGCAAGGACATCCCCGTCCCCAGTCAGCCTGGAGCTCACCCAGGAACTGGCACAGAGTCCAGGCCTTAGAGTTGTGGTCGGCAAATCAAGGCTCTCGAGCCACATGTGGCTCTTTGGCCCCTTGGGTGTGGCTCTTCCACAAAATACCACGTGTGGGCGTGCGGGTACAGTGCGATTGAAGGAGTGCCCTAATTAAGTGAATAGCAATGTACCTACCTATATAGTTTAGTTCATATAGTTTAAGTTTAAAAAAATTTGGCTCTCAAAAGAAATTTCCACCGAGGTACTGTTGATATTTGGCTCTGTTGACTAACCACTGCTGACCACTGCCTTAGAGTATTAAATTCATAAGGTCCCTGCCTCGTTGCTGACATCCAGCCACTTACAAAGCCATACAGGCCCGGCCTAATAAGAAGGCCATCTGGAACCTGTTGGCCCTTCGGCTCAGCCCCCAGGAGTGGAGGCGGGGACCGAGGAGTGAAGCCACATAGGACAGCGAGCCAGAGCCCTGCCCTGGATGGCACTGGCTGTGTAACCCCTGGCAGCCACCATCATCTCTGACCTGTGATTTCTGCCTGTGTACAGTGGCAGCAAAATGGGGAACTTCAAAGATGGGGGTCAGGGTCAACTGTCACGTGGCAGCTCTTGTGTTGGCAGACACAGATACACGCCGGAAACAGGCAGTGATCTAGTTACGGTGCTTACCTGGCTGTGGCTCTTATCCGGGTGCTTCACACTCACCTCAGCCAAGCTTGCTCATCCGGGAAACGGGACAGGAGATACAGCCAGCAGGCCTGATGGCAGGGTGACCCAGCTGGTATGTGTGTGGTGCCAGGAGTGAGCTCCTGGAGCCGGTACACTTAATGTCAGTGAGCAGCGCAGCGCTAAGCCCGTGCAAAAGGTCACTGTCTCCATCCCTCCCGTCCCTTGCCCGAGACCCCGCCAAGTGCGCTTAGAATTGGCCACGTTGTCCCGGCTGGGAGGGGAGCCTGCTTTGCTTGGTGTGGGATTCGAGGCGCAGGGACAGCACTATTCTGACCGGGCTTGGCAGTTTGCTGTGCTTCTCTGGATCCAAGTTAGTCTCTACGGAATGTCTCTGGCTGAGCCCAGTTCTGCATCCGTTAGCGGAGCTGCTGGCCCCCTCCAGCCTCACGGGGGGCTCCAGTCTGGCTATCCGTGTGGCCCTGAGAAGAGATAGCGGCTGCGGTCAGCACCTCCCTGGAGGAGTGTCATTCCACTGCAGGGGGTAAACTGAGGCAGAAGCCACCCTAGAGCTCCCACCTGCCTCAGTTTCCCCTTGGGCCGTAGCCTCCCCACTGTCTAGGCTTTTTGCCATGACGACCTTTAACCCCTCCAAGCACCATGCTATTCCCTGGCCCCTAGGAGCGCTTCTCCATGGGATTCTTCCCGTTCCCACAGCCCAGACCCCTCTACCTGGCTGAATCCGACTCACCCTTCAGGGACTTCTCAGAGAAGCTTCTCTGACCACCCCAACCAGGCAGTGCTGCCTGATGGTTAGAGCACAGGCTCTGGGCCTCTGCCCCTACTCACTTGGGCAAGTTAGTCTGTGTGCCTCAGTCTCCTCCTCTACAAAAGAGATGGTGGTAATTTCTTTCCCACAGAGTTTGGGGGGGCGGGGAGGGGAATTAAAGGAGAAAATACAGCGGAGGGGCTCAGAGCAGTGCCAGGCCCAAAGTGAGCGGTCAGTGATGCCAGCTGTTATCTTATACAGTATGCATTTTGGCAGCACTCATCATACTTGTCACTGTTTAGCTATTGTGTGCCTGCTCTGCCGGATCTGAACTCCTTGGCTGCGGGCACTCCCTGACCTAGAGGCAGGGGCCTTGTTTCTCTCCATTGCCTGAGGGCACATAGTCAGTCTTCAGGAAACCCGGGCAGTGTGGCTCTGGTGGCCTCTGAGTCTTGGGCTCGGATTCCCGCCAGCAGTTGGCTGGAGGCACGAGCTCGGGCAGTCCTGAACCTCAGCCTCTCCGCCTGTGAAATGGGAGTGCCCGTGAGTCGCACCCGGGCTCCCAGTTGTGCGGACCACGCGAGATGATGCCCATCGGGGGTGTAGCGCCAGGGCGGCGTGGGGCCATTCACACGCCCTTGTGTCTGTCCCCTCCTGCTGCAGGCATCGAGCCTGGCCACATCCCCGGCACCGTGAACATCCCCTTCACGGACTTCATGACCAAGGAGGGCCTGGAGAAGACGCCCGAGGAGATCCGCCGCATGTTCCAGGACAAGAAGGTGGACCTGTCCCGGCCGCTGGTGGCCACGTGCGGCTCCGGCGTCACAGCCTGCCACGTGGCGCTGGGGGCCTACCTCTGCGGCAAGCCGGACGTGGCCATCTACGACGGCTCCTGGGTGGAGTGGTACATGCGGGCCCAGCCCGAGGAGGTCATCTCCGAGGGCCGGGGGAAGACCCGCTGAGACGGGCGGACGGGACACCGGAAGCTCAGGGGCCGCCCGGCCGCCGCGGTGCCAGCCTGATTGTTCTCAACATTTCTTCCTCCAGCTCCGGGGACACACGGGTGCCACCCCAGAGGCCAGGACTTCTTCTGGCTTGTGGGCTGGTGGGAAGTGGTGGTGGACACAGGGCGAGGGGAGCCACCCATATGCAGAGGAGCTGGGCCCCACCTCCCTTCTGTTTTACTTTTGAGGAAATAAAACAGCCAAGTGCTAAGTGCTTCTCACTCCGGGGCTGCCTCGGTTTCCCAAGGTTTCCACACGCCCAGCAGCAAGGGGAGCTCCACGGAGCCCGAGGGTCTTGGGGGCCTGTCCCCGCCCCTGGGAGTTGCTGGGGACAAGGGCCAAATGCCCCCAACAAAGCACCCCCCACCCTCCAATGCTGGGACTCTCCCTTCCGGCTCCTGCGCTGTTCCAGGTGAATGCTGCCATGAGGTGTCTGAGGCTCCCCTCAGAGCCCCAGGGGTGAGGGTGCCTCTCATTTCCAGATAGAGGGGGGTCCACAGGCGACCAGGAGGCTTCCCCCGCCGAGGGGGCCGCCCCGGCCCCTCGGGATGCACTGGAGGAGGGCCGAATTTGGCCAAGTTGGAGGAGAATATAATTTTAGACTCAGTCTCTGGAGCTGCCAGAGGGTGGGCAGACCCAGGGGTCGGTCCTTTCTGCCCACCAAGAACCTCTTCCCCAGGCTTCCCCTGGGGAGCCACTCTGTTCTCCGCCCTCTGTGTCTTCTGTGCAGAGGTGGACAGAGGGGTGTGAGATCCCCAAGGCTTCCCATCAGCACCTGGGTCACCCTCCCCATCTACAAGCCCCCGAGGCACGTCAGTAGCAAAGGGCCAGTGTCAGCCAGTATTGGGGGAACCCTAGAAGGAGGGGAAAAAAGCCAGCAGGCCATGACTTTCCCAAGGAAGTCCCAGCCTCACTGAGCCTCAGCTTCCTACCTGTGAGATGGGAATAACGCGCTTCAGAAGAAGGGGTTTCAGACCAGGAGTCCCGTCTTTCCAGCTCAGGGTTGCTCATCTTCCGCTCTGTGGCCTTTGGGTCGGATCACCCCTGGTCCTGGGGCTGTGGGATGGTTGGCAGCATGTCTGGCCACTACCCACAAGATGCCAGTGGGCCCCTCAGTTGTGACAACCAAAGCCATCTCCAGACATGCCCGGATGTAGGAGCAGAGGACACTGACCCCAATGATGAGAGAGAATCATTGGTTGGCTGTCTCCTGCATGACCCCTACTGGGGATGGCGCTTGCAACCCGGGCATGTGCTCTTGACTGGAATCGAACCCGGGACCCTTCAGTCCGCAGGCTGACATTCTATCCACTGAGCCAAACTGGCTAGGGCGATTTCTTCATCTTGAAAATGGCAGCGAGAGTACCTTCTTAGAGCAATATGGGGATTGAGTGAGAGAACCATAGAAACTGGTGCCGGACACAGAGCAAACACGGACAGTTACTAGTTGTTAAAAGACGTTTACTTACGCAGCATGGTGCGTGCCTCCCTTACTCCGGCCCTGGGGCAGAGGAAGAGCAAGGAATGTGAGAACTGGGTTCCTGCCTGGAAAAGCGAGTTAAAATCCTCAGGGTAGGAGCCTCTCCAATGGGCCTTTGCCTGCAGTGGTTTTCCAGATCTCAACATCAGGGGAGAATGGAGTGTAACTTGGGGTTTGGAAACACGCGTGACACGCTCATGTGAGATGGCCAAGTGTCTCCCCTCAGCTCCACGGGGAGACATCCTGAGATGTGGGATACAGCAAGGGAGTTTGGTTAGGTCCCCCCATCCCCGCCCCCTTACCCCCAGCAAGGAGCCCAGGCTGAGCCAGGGCATTCTCTTCCTGGGAAGGTCCTCATGGGTCTCAAGGTTTCAGAACTTGGGTTGAACTTGACCGCTGGTGAGCCCTGAGCTCCCCCTGCCTCTGGCAAGCCTGAACTCCGGAACAAGGAGTCACTCGCCGCAGAGGCCCGCCTCCTTGGCACCCAGGTACCGCGGGCAAGAACTTGCCACACCACATAACAGCGATGATGAAATGTGTGCCCGCTTGGCAAATATTTGCTGAGCACCCGCTCTGTGCCAGGCCGTTGGAAGTGTCCCAGCCTCGTCCAACCAGGTGTGCTGGGACACGGCCATTCCCTGGGTCACCTCCTTGAGGGGTTGTGGCCTGAGGAAGCCCCCGCCCCACACTGGAGGGCCCCAGGTCTGCCTCCTAGACCTCTCTGGCCCGGGCCTCTGTCGTCATCGTCTCTGAAAAATGGGAGCAAACTCAGCCCTGAAGTGTCTGTGATGTGGGTATGATGGCAAATAAGATAAAGCTGGAACCGATGTAAGGTGCCCTCCTGCTGGGATCACCCAGCTGTGGACGCAGAGCGGAGCTTCACCCTTAGCGCCTGGCGCATGGTCTTCTGGAGGAGATGACGTTTCCAGGTTAACGGACACTTGATCACTGTAAGCACCGAAATATTTTTTAAAAAATATGTATTTTATTGATTTTTCACAAAGAGGAAGGGAGAGGGATAGAGAGCTAGAAACATCGATGAGAGGGAATCATTGACCAGCTGCCTCCTGCACACGCCCAACCAGGGATGTGCCCGCCACTAATATACATGCCCTTGACAGGAATCGAACTTGGGACCTTTCAGTCTGCAGTCTGATGCTCTATCCACTGAGCCAAACTGGTTAGGGCATGCACCAAAATCTTTAACGCATTCAGCTGTGAGGGCACGGAGCACAGTACAGAGGCCGCTGAGCTCCAAGGCTCTGTTTCTCCACATTATTGCACAGCGAGGCCCTCAGGGACTGTCTGTCCTGAACTAAATGTCTCCGACTGATGTGCCTTCCGGGGCTCCCGTCCTCGCAACCGTCTCAGGTCGGCCCTGCTGATGCCCCCAGAGCCCCTGCCTGCTTCTAGGTGGGCCTGCTCTCGATGATGCCACCCATCCCAGTGTCTTCACCACTGTCTGGAGCTGGGACTGGAGTCTGGGCCTGCAGTCTCTGGCTGGACTCAATCCCTGTGTCCACTGCCTGCTCCTCAACCCACGTTCCCTGCCACCAGTCCTGGCAGCTCTCCAAGGCTGTCTCCTCCCGCCCCCTGTCTTGTCCCTAGCCAGTCAGCACTAAGATCTCTGGATTTCCACCTCTATTCCTACCGCCTTGGTCCCGGTCCCCTGCCCATCATGCCCAAGATGCTCACAGACCCAGCCTGTCCCACCCTCCATTTCAGTCCACCCTGAAGGACAGGCCTTGTGCCAGGATCTGCGGCAATGGAGGATGAAGGCAGACCCTTGGGGGGTGGGGGGAGGGGGAGCCGGTGGCTGGGGTCTCAGAGGCCCCTCTGCCAAGGCTGACAGCTCTTTTAGGAATTCCTGGACTGTGACTCCTCCCTCCATGTAAAGATACAGCAGGCGGATAGGGTTCAAAGCACAGCCCCTGGAGGCATCGGGCCCTCCTGCTCCCCGGCTTTGGTGTGGGCAGCTGCCTCAACTTCCTCATCTGTGACCTGGGGGTAACCCAGCACTTGCCTCAAAGAATCAGATTCATACAAAGCACCGAGACCAGAGCCCGCACAGTAACAATGAATTATTACTGTGACGAATGTCCTGTCCTGCTCCCACTCCTGTTCCCTCCCCCCCTCCCCCACGCCGGCCCGAATGACCCTGTGGGTAACATCTTATTCATAGTGCTCCTCCTGGCCTCAGCTGAGGGAATATTAATAGTAACAGATTATAACCCATAGAATCTAATAGGAATCCGATAGTCCATTCTGATATAAATGAATGAATGAACGAATGAATGAGAAAGAAAATATCTCCCTTAGAGAATAGAATGCCACCTAATAAATGCAGAAGGCATGTTGAAAATAGAAAAATCACAATTTGGCAATCTGCATAGTCATACTTGTTTATGGCAAGAATCATCAACACATCCTCCAATTATTGAGACAAATAAGTTTGATGGAAATCAGGATGTTTTTGCAACTTTTCTCTAAGCCTGAAATTACTTCAGAACAGAATGCTATTTTTTTTTAATCATAGGATTTTTAAAAAATATATTTTATTGATTTTTTACAGAGAGGAAGAGAGAGGGATAGAGAGTTAGAAACATTGATGAGAGAGAATCATCAATCAGCTGCCTCTTGCACACCCCCTACTGGGGATATGCCCGCAACCATGGTACATGCCCTTGACCGGAATCGAACCTGGGATCTTTCAGTCTGCAGGCTGTCTGAGCCAAACCTGTTTCGGCCAGAATGCTATTTTCTTTAATTTAATTTATTTATTTTTTTATTTTTTAGAAAAATTTTTTAATTGATTTCAGAGAAGAAGGGAGAGGGAGAAATAGAAACATCAATGATGAGAGAGAATCATTGATTGGCTGCCTCCTGCACACCTCCTATTGGGGATCAAGCCCAAAACCTGGGCAAATGCCCTGATCTCGTTTCTTTTTTATTTTATTTTTATCTATCTATCTATCTATCTATCTATTTATTTATTTATTTATTTTAAATAAATCTTTATTGCTCAGATTATTACAATTGCCCCCCCCCCCCCGCCCTCATAGATCCCTTCCACCAGGTTCCTGCCACACCCTCTGCCCTTAATTTTTAAACACGGGATTTTTTTACTCCATGTCAGCCGAGGCTGCTCACTGCTCCCACGTTCTAAACCAAGGTGCTGGATTATCTGAAGTAGTTCTTCCAGCCTAGGTGGCTAAGAGCCAGCTTAGAAACTTAGGAGATCACACGCCTCCTGCCTACAGCAGAGATGCGAGGGAGGCCAGCGGGAGCAGCTGGCTTTCTCTGGAAGCAGAGTTTTCTCTGGAAGCAGAGTTTTCTCTGGAAGCAGATAGGCTTTCTCTGGAAGCAGATAGGCTTTCTCTGGAAGCAGACAGGCTTTCTCTGGAAGCAGACAGGATTTCTCTGGAAGCAGACAGGCTTTCTCTGGAAGCAGACAGGCTTTCTCTGGAAGTAGGGTTGAACAAAAACAGACCTGGAGACAGGAAAGTATTGATCAGATTATCAAACCTCAGAGGGAAGGTAGGGGATTGAAGGGGTAAGTGGGAGAGATCAACCTAAGCATGCATGTAAGCCTAATCAGTGGTCACAGACAACAGGGAGGTGGGGGCATTCTTGGGGAGGGGCTTGGAATGAGAATGGGGAGGGGGTGAGGACAAATATGTGATATCTTAATCAATAAAGAAAAATTTTTAATGTATTTTTATTGATTTTTTACAGAGAGGAAGGGAGAGGGATAGAGAGCTAGAAACGTTGATGAGAGAGAAACATCGACCAGCTGCCTCTTGCACATCCCTTACTGGGGATGTGCCCGCAACCAATGTACATGCCCTTGACCGGAATCGAACCTGGGACCTTTCAGTCCGCAGACCGATGTTCTACCGCTGAGCCAAACCGGTTTCGGCAAAAAAAAAATTTTTTAAAGAAGCAGGGTTGGGTGCTGTGGCACTTTACCTCTCCTGCCTTGGGGGACTGGGATGGGGGAGTGCCCTTTCCTCCTCTGCAGACTGAGTGAGAATGTTAGGGGTAAAAATAGAATACTGGGGACCAGCTATGGTTATAGGAAATATTAATCATGCTCTGAAAACCCTGGTTGCCTTGGGTTGGCTAAAGAAAGGGCATTCTGACCTGGCTGGGAGTTGGACACCCCCAGACCTGTTTGTCAACCTTGGAATGTGGTCCATGCTCATCCAAGAACTGCCTGTTACCATGGAAGGATTAACAACCTTGTTGCCCAAACAATGGAGTCCTCCCACCCATAGCCTCCTATATATTTCCCCATGCCTGCAATCCCTACTCTCCAGGTAATCCTAGACCTACCCTATATAAGTAGCTGGTTTATGGGGGAAGGGGGGGGGGAGAAGAGGAGAGGAGGAAGGGGTACAGCAGCTCCTGTGTTGGATGGCCATGGCCCTGGGCTCAGCCCCAAGATGATCTAAGTTGCAAATCTTAGTTGCTACTTAGTTGCAGAGCAGATTCCTGTGGGTGACCTGCTGCTCTCCCACGCTGCCAGCAGTACTGGGAAAAATGTTCATGTATGACTCAACCCTGTCTCTGCTTCATGGGCAGCACCGACCCATCGACTGTCCGGTTATAAGAGGGGTTCAAGGAGGCCGTTTGTGGAGCTAGACCTGTGTGTCCTGGATTCTGGGATTTTGTGGGTCGGGAGGGACCCAGGCCCGGGAGAGAGAGAGATAATCCACAAAAATGCTTGGTGCAGACTCTCTGGCGGCAGGGTGAGGGTTCAAGAGGCCCAGGGGGTGGTTAATAGAACCCTGGCTGTGTGTGATTCCTGTTTCAAGCTGTGGAAGGACAGCCGCAGGAGCCAGAAGGACGTGTGCGTGGAATAGTGGGATCCCCGGAGGAGGCTGGTTAGAGCTATTAGCATTCCCAACTTAGAAATGAAGTTCAGAGAGGGTAAGTGACGCTCCCAAGCCACCCAGCTAGCAAGCCACAAAGCGTGGGCTGGCATCCTTGCCTGGGAGCCTTTGTCCCATAATGCACCTCTCTCGGCTTACTTTCAAGCCCAATTCAGAGCCATATTCGAAAGTATCTGGCCCTAACTGGTTTGGCTCAGTGGATAGAGCATCGACCTGTGGACTCAAGGGTCCCAGGTTCGATTCTGGCCAAGAACATGTACCTTGGTTGCGGGCACATACCCAGTAGAGAGTGTGCAGAGGCAGCTGATTGGTGTTCTCATCTGTGTTTCTGACTCTCTATCCCTCTCCCTTCCTCTCTGTAAAAAAATCAATAAAATATATATTTTTTAAAAAGCATCTGCTCTTCCCACAAGGGAACAGCAGGGGGCAGTGTAACCAGCGGAAGTTTGGCTCGCCTCCAGGATAGCCATTACCCCAGAAAGCATCTAAGGAATGTTTGCCTTGATCCTCTAAACGGAGAAGAACAGCAAACAGCTCTGAGGAACGTCAGTCCCTGTGTGGTTACAAACAGGACTGCCTGGGATTCTGAGTTTTGTCCAAGCCTCTTGCACGCACTGCCCCACACCGAGGCCCCCTCCAGACCAGGGGCCCCCTGACGACTTTCTTTGTCTCTCTGTTTCAGTGTCTGGCACCTAGTTGTGGCTCAGCAAATAGGGATGGCACTGAATGGTGGCTGTGTGTGGGACAGAGGGGTCAGGAGTCCTTTTCCAGCAGTGGGGGTACCCCCCCTCCCCAATCCCTGCCACCGAAACATGGCTTCCTCCAGACAAAACTCAGCCACAGGCAAGATGTGGTGGCATCTGTCAGCTCTATGTAAGGGCCATGGTTCTTAGCCAAGCCCTCATTGGTGCAGTTGCTGCTTCAGGTGGGAATATTTCAGATACTTGCCAAGGGACACCAGTATCCAGGAATTGGGGAGTGGGATGGGGACTCTGGGAAAGGAGGAGGCAAGACTAGCTCAGTCAAAGCTCCCCCCTCTACTGGGAAACCAAAGATGCTGGCTCAGCCTCCGCGTACACCCCTGGGCCACCATCTGCAGGGCAGCTCCCGTGTTGGATGGCAGTGAGCTCTGGCACGGGGCTCAGCCCCAAGATGACCTAAGTTGCAACGCTGACCAGGTCACTCCCTGCCTACAACACTTTAAGTTGGTTTTTAAAAGCATTTCCTGCTCTAGCTTGGTCGCAGCTATCAACGGCAGAGGGCGCTCTGATGGCCAGGGGCCCTGCTGGTCTTTTGAGACCCGTTTGTACCCCGCTTCACTCACTCATTCATTCGTTGGTCTGTCCATTCAATGTACTATGACCGGGGACCATGCCAGGTGTTTTACAGACACGTGATACGTCAGTCTCCACAACCTCGCTCTAGAACTACTATAACTCCCAACTCCCAAAAGAGAAAACAGGTCCAGAGAGGACTTGCTCTGGAACATGCTGGCGAGTCCTTGGGAAACAGCCCAGCAGCGGCGACCTATCCCTGCCAGGAGGAAAGGCCCGAAGGAGAAAATAGAGCGTTGGGTGGTGAGAGAGCCTTTCAGCACAGGGCCGGGCTGCCCAGGATGAGGGGCCTGTGTGTGTGTGTGTGTGTGTGTGTGTGTGTGTGTGTGACACTGGGATGGATGAGGGGAGCCTCCATGCCTGCCGACTCAATCTAAGACCAGCACTGCATCCTGGGAAAGGAGAGGAAGTTAAGGAGGACCGCTTCCTCTTCAGCCCTGGTGCCTCCCTGGCCCCAGATGGCGTTAGGAGCTGCCCCTCTGCCCCCGTCCTGCAGTACCCACCATGCCAGTCCCACCCCTGAGTTAGCCGGCTCAGGGGTGGGACTGGCATGGGACCCACACAATCAACCCCTTCTTCCCTAGCATGGTACCTCATCCTACCAAAGTCGGGATGGAACCCTGTTCTCCAGACTTTGATCCAGTGCCCCATCCACTTAAAATATATATATATATATATATATATATATATATATATATATATATATATATATATATGTATATGTATGTATATATATATATAATTGATTTTTTACAAAGAGGAAGGGAGAGGGATAGAGAGTTAGAAACATCGATGGGAGAGGAACATCGATCAGCTGCCTCTTGCACACCTTCTACCGGGATGTGCCCGCAACCAAGGTACATGCCCTTGACCGGAATCGAACGTGGGACCTTTCAGTCCTCAGGCTGATGCTCTATCCACTGAGCCAAACCGGTTAGGGCCCCATCCACTTTTCCTCCCTAGACATCTTGCCCAAGGAGTGCTGACAATCCATGGCAGGCAGGGAAGTGGGAGAGGGGCCTCGCTGGTTGAAGTGCACTTGGAAACCACGTGTGTTCGTGCCAGCCTGCCAGGCACTAGCAGTGAGCCAGGGAGGGCGCCTCACTTGAATCCTCATCTGCGTAATGGGTCCAGTAATGACAGCCTCACAGGGCTGCTGAGAGTTTCAGGGAATAACAGGAAGCATCTGGAATACAGCGGGTGCTCAACCAACTTTGAGCAGCGACCTATGAACCAGGAGGTCCCGGTTCAATTCTTGGCCAGGTTGTGGGACTGGCATGCAGGAGGCAACTGATCAGTTATTCTCATCTCTCTCTCCCTCTCCCTTCCTCTTTGAAATCAATAAAAAATATATTTTAAAAAGCACATAGGGAAAGAACCAGCTCCCCTCCCTTCCCCAATACTCCCTCCCACCCCCACTCCCCACAACACACACTCAAAGGCAATATTAGAAAACCCATACAGGGAGTAGTATGGGGATTCTGCGAGGAAAACATTTATTCCCCATATTTATCATCTATGGACAAATGAGAATCAATAATGTGGAGAACAAATGGGAGGATTGCTGATTTGGGGTTATCACCCGCTATTTCCCCAGGGACCCTTAAACTTGATCTTTCCCCAAACACACAGTCGTCTGGCCAATGAGCTTCTTCAAGAGACCCGGTTTGTGGGTCTCCCAGGAAGGGCAAAGTAGGGCAGGGCTGGGGGGCGGGGGGGAGGCAAAAGGCTGGTATCCGGAGACCCTCACCCTGGACGCGCCAGCTCCGGGCGGCTTGGACTACAACTCCCGGCATGCCCCGCGCGCGCGGTGCCTCCCGCCTCCAGTCCCCGGGAGCCGGGAGGATGCAGAAGCCGCTGCCAGCAATGAGGATGGAGGCCGGGGAGGCAGCGCCGCCGGCGGGGGCGGGCGGCCGCGCCGCGGGCGGCTGGAGCAAGTGGGTGCGGCTCAACGTGGGGGGCACGGTGTTCCTGACCACCCGGCAGACGCTGTGCCGGGAGCAGAAGTCCTTCCTCAGCCGCCTGTGCCAGGGGGAAGAGCTGCAGTCCGACCGGGTGAGGCCCTCGGTGGGCGGAGTGGGCCGGGGAGGCGGCGGGGCGCGGGGTAGGGAGAGGTAGGGGGGCAGCTTGCTGGAATCGGGGCTGCCCGGCCTGGCACGCCCGCCGGGCGGGCTGGGAAGCCGGCAGGTTTTGTTTCCCAAGAGCCGGAGGCGGGAAGACCGGGCTGGAGGAAGTGGATCCAGGTTGAGGACTGTGCCCATTGCCTTGGAAACCGCACCACGCCAGGCAACGGCCATTTGGAGCTTAGAGAGCTGCCCTGGGCGCCCTCCCCAGGAGGCTGGTGGATCAGGGTCCGCCTTCCCCGCTCCTCTGGAGCGTTGGGGACAGGCAGGCACGCAGGGCCTTCAGTCCCCCCAAACGGGACTTTCTGCCTGGGGACGGAGTGCCTGCGGCTGCTAATCCCGGCCTCTGGGGAAGAAGGAGAGGCCTGGGTGTGCAGGGAGCTGGGGGAGAAGGCCCCGGCTGCCCTCTGAGCTGGGCTTCGTCTGGGAGCGGAGCTTGCCTGGCAGGCACCACGTCTGGGGGTCCATTCGCTCTTGTGTGACCTGCATCGGATCCTTCCTGTGCCAGGCTCAGCCCCCTGTCTGTGGCCGGAGGAGGCTGGTTGGAGATGGCCCCTAAGGCCCCTTTCTACCCCCTCTCCTGACCATCCGATGCTGTGACCTTGGGCCAGTCCCTCACCTCCTGATACTCCTCGCTCTCTGTAGGGTTGTGCTGCTGCCCGCCCGCCTCGCTGCAGGCTGAGGGTGTGCGGTGAGGTAGTGGCTCCTCTGGAAACAGAGTAGGGCTGGCTTCGGGGGAACAGCCACTAAGAGGGACGATCACTGAGCCCTCCTTTGGCTTGGGTGCCACGGAGACCTCACTGGATGCTCACTCGTTACAGAGGAGAGGAGCGAGGCTCAGAGAGGCCAGAATCCCTGTCCTGAGGTCACACAGCCAGAAAAAGGCAGAGGCGGGATCCAGACTCTCGGCTCCATCATGCTCTCTCATTCCAGGGAAGAGCAGACTCTACGCTCTCACCCCTTCCCTCCCTCCCACCCTTCCCTGGGCCCGAAGTGAGGGGTGGGCAGGGGGAGGCCTCACACTTCTCCCACCATAGCCTGTGCCCTCACCACTCTAGGATGAGACCGGGGCCTACCTCATCGACCGGGACCCCACCTACTTCGGGCCCATCCTGAACTTCCTCCGGCATGGCAAGCTGGTGCTGGACAAGGACATGGCCGAGGAGGGTGAGTTGGTCCAGGGGCGGTCAAAAGCCATGCCTCCCAGCCCCCAGCGAATGCTGCTTTCTTCTGTGCTCCCTGCCTCTTCCCATTCATGCCAGGGCCGAATCCCAGGGGCTCTGCCAGGCTGACCAGCCTGAGCTGCCACTGGGGAGGTGACAGGAATGCCCAGGCAGAGGTCAGAGGGAGCCGGCGAGGCTGGCAGCCTTTATTGTGGGCAGGGATGCCCTTTCTCCTGGTTCCTGGGTGTGAACGGGCTGAAGCTGGGCAGGGTGATCGGGTATCTCCGATGTCTGGCGAGCGAGGGCTTGCCTGCCGGCAGCAGGTGGGTGGAGCGGCAACATCAGTGCTGGCTGTGGGCGGAGATGGGGGAGCCGTGCCTGGGGGGTGGCCTCCTGGCACAGTCAGTGCCACATCAACTCTTTGTTGGGGCACAGGGTGTGGCTCCGGGTCAGCTGACCTGGCCAGGCCAGCCTGGACATGTCACTTTTCCTTTCTGAGTCTCCACCTGTATGTGACATGTACATGGAATCCACACAGGTGGAAGCATATTTTCCAACAGCGAATGCCACGAGTCCCTGTGCGTGTAGCCCGTTGGTATCTGGCACAGTTGGTATCTGGCACCCTCTTCCCTGGTGCGTCCCCAGGGGCCAGGACTTCACAGTCAAAGCCCCCCATGGACACTGGCTCCGCTGGGCCCCTAGCTCCAGGAGCAGGTGCCAGGGCGTGGCCTGGGCCGGGAGCAGCTCCAAGGGGAGGGGAGTCAGCACTCCGGCTGCCTCACAGCCAACACCTGTTTACGTTCAGGTTCTGGGTTTCTCCGTGTCTGGCCACTCCCAGCGCCTTCAGACAGGGTGAGGGCCCCACGTGGGCGCTGGGGAACCTGGGAGGAGACGTGTTAGCCGTGTGACACCGGCACAGTCACTTATCCTTGTGTGCCTGCGTGCCGCATCTGTGACTGACACGGGGTGACAGCAGCGCCCACCTGGCTGAGCTGCTGCGAGGAGGAAGGGAGCTAAAACAAGTGCGTCACCCAGCGCAGCATCTGGCACCAGAGGGCCGGTGACGCAATGGTTGCTGTCCGTCCCCTGCAGGCCCCCACGCGGGCACTGATGTAGCGCCACTTGCTGCCCGCTTGCTCTGTGTGAGGTGCTGTGTGGGCACCGGGGGCAGCAGGGAGCCCAAGAGGCCAGTCAAGGAAGCAAACAGAAGGGTCCCTGCCCCGAAGGGGGTTAGGGGAGTGCAGAGGCCAGGGGCTATTCCACGTCACTGGAGAGGTGACTGCTTAGTCTCTAAGACTCAGTTTCCTGAACGGAATGGGGACGATAATGCCTGCTTCCTTGTGTCCCCAGGGATGTGGTGAGCACGGGAGGGGCTTTGCAGATTGGGAAGTGTGGGACGGGGGCAGGCATGCACATGCTTAGTGACCGTGCACTTCCAGGGGGCCCTGCAGTCCGAAGAGCCTGAGTGGGAATCTCAGCCCTGCCGCTCAGAGCCTCCGGGGTCTTAGACCAGCTGCTTCTCGTCCTGGCTCTCAGATCTCCCGTTTCTTCCGTGGGGCAATGGAAGCGCCTACTCTTAGTTCTGAGAACCAACTACAAGAAGGAGTGGGAAATGCTGAGCAGAGTGCCTGGCACTGGGCATCATGGCACGGGGTCAGCCAGGGCCCCCTCTCTGTGGCGTGCCAGGGCCCAGTCCCAGCAAGCCTGCTGCCTTTTTTTTTTTTTTACAGAGAGGAAGGGAGAGGGATAGTTAGAAACATCGATGAGAGAGAAACATCCATCAGCTGCCTCCTGCACACCCCCCCACTGGGGATGTGTCTGCAACCAAGGTACATGCCCTTGACCAGAATTGAACCTGGGACCTTTTAGTCCGCAGGCTGGCGCTCTATCCACTGAGCCAAACCGGTTTTGGCAGAGCCTGCTGCCTCTGGACAACCCAGAGCAGCCCCCACCCAGATCAGGGGACGGGCAGGCACCCCCCGGTCGCCACGCTCGGCCCAGCAGAGATGGCGGGCTGCTGAGCGGCAGTATCTCGCTCCTTCCACAGAGAGCGTGGGATACAAGGAAGGAGATGTCCTCTCTTGCTTGACCCCTGACCTCGAGAGATGCTCGTCACCCTCGTGTGACTGGAGCAGGAGGTAGGTGTGGAGGAGCAGGGGACCCGGGAAGAGTGGGAGCAGCGGGCGTGACCCGGGCCGGCTTTGTCTGTCAGGGGTCCTGGAGGAAGCCGAGTTCTACAACATCGGCCCGCTGATCCGCATCATCAAGGACCGGATGGAGGAGAAGGACTACCCCGTCACACAGGTCAGGGGCAGGGAGCGGCGGGGCTGCCCCCGTGGCCAGAGCGGTTGGTGACGGGGAGAGAGAGGCAGGCGGAAGGAGGGGGGAGCGGAACAGAGTTTGCCTCGGGGAGTCCCAGCGGGCCTGTCAGGGAGGGGAGTTGCCCAGCTCCCACACTGCCCAGCCGAGCCCCAGACTGGGAGCCAAACACTGGCTCTTCCCTGCCCGGATCTGTCCACTGTGTGGCCTGGGGCCGCGCATGCCCTCTCTAGAGCTTGGATCCCTCTGGGGGGAATACTGAGATGCTGAGAATTGCCCACCCCTTCCCTTCTTCGGGCAAAATGAGGCCAGTGTGGAGGTACAGGGGCCCTTTGGGGGACGGCACCTATTTCGTGAGATCAACTGGTCCCCTGGGGAGCACAGCCCAGCACAGCGTGGAGCTGGCATTTCTGAGCGTGGACCCTGGGCCTCCGTGGCCAGTCAGTAGGGGGAGCTGTGAGATGCTCAGCCCACTCTGGCGGCGAGGCACCCTTTCCTGGGGCCCACATTGAAGGGGGAGGCTCCGTGCGTGTCTCCTGGAAGGCCTGCCTCAGTTAATGACCCAGAATGTCCCTCAGGCCCATCCCTTCCCTCTTGTATCACAGTTCTGGCTCTGCCCCTCTTTAGCTGGGTGACCTTGGGCTAGTAACTGACCCCCTCTGAGCCTTCATGAGAATTCCATGAGTCATAGAGGGTTTGGAAGGATTGAGATCACGAATGTGGCTCCCATCTTCCCATCCTGCCTCTCCCTGCCTCCTCGGGGATGTGGTGAGGGAGGACAGAAGAGACTGGGGATGCAGGGGCTCACCCCCTCCTGGCTGCCCTCCATGTTGCCCTTCTTCTGCCTGCAGGTCCCGCCCAAGCACGTGTACCGCGTGCTGCAGTGCCAGGAGGAGGAGCTCACGCAGATGGTCTCCACCATGTCTGATGGCTGGCGCTTCGAGCAGGTGGGCAGAGGGTGGGGGACCGTGCCCAGGGCCTCCCAGGCTCCAGGCAAAGTAGGCCCCTCCCTTCCTGTAACCCCAGTCTTGGGTCTCATACTGTTGCCCCCCCGGGAGGGTCCTCTTAAGTTACAAGATCAGCCCGGCCGGTGTGGCTCAATGGTTAGGGGGGGGGGGGGTTCTTAGTTCGATTCCCGGTCAGGGCACATGCCCGGGTTGCTGGCTCAATCCCCAATAGGGGACGTGGGGGAGGCAGCCGATCCATGGTTCTCTCTCATCACTGATGTTTCTATCTCTCCCTCTCCCTCCTCTGTCTGAACTCAATAAAAACATATTGAAAGTAAACACAACCAGGATAGGCCACCGTTGGCAGCAGATGGACCAGAACGAGACAGGGTAGAATGCCACCTGCTGCCGGCATTTCTGGGCGTCCTCCGTGCTCACGGCGACCGGGGGCTGGTCTCCACCGTGGCGTGAGCGAGCCTCCGGCCCCCAAGTGGCAGCTCAGGCAGGAGTTGAGGTCCACAGAGGGGAGCAGAGTCCACCGGGGGCTGACATGCCCCGTCACAGCCGTCTGTGCGTTCAGAGAAGCCCACAGCCGTGGCTTGGCCTGAGGCATTTATGTAACCTCTCGTTCCTCCCAGGCCAGAGGCAGGCTTCCCAACCTAGCGGTGCTGGCCTAGTCAGACAGCAGAGGTCTCGCCTGTCTCAGGTTCCAGGGGAACGGAGCCAGCGCTAGCCCGGGGTCAGGCTGACCCGTGGAGGAGGAGAGGGTTTGGCTGGCCCTCTGTCCACACCCACACGCACGCTGCCCGGGGGAGGGTGGAGCAGGGAGCAGGCTGGCCCCCCGGGGGTGGCCGGGTCGTGTGGAGGAAGGAGCCCCCTGCAGGAGCCAGAGGCCTGAGCCACCTTTAGGCCTTCCCAGGGACATGCAGTGTGACTGGGCAGGTCGCCTCTCCACCCCGTGCCTCAGTTTCCTAACCTGGGATGTAGCGCTGTCGTGAGATGAGAAGGACTGCTGATCAAGTCCCTCGTGCAGAGTGGACTCGAGCCACTGGGAGGAGCTGGCATCGTGCAAATAGTCAGACGTGTTTACGTCCGTGAGACTCTAGAGAGGCCAGAGGGCCTCAGGTGCTGACTCCTGGCCACTCGTCCTGGCTGGGGGCCTGTCAGCAGGGCACCCCCTTCCCAAGCCTCGCTCTGCTGCTGAAGGAGGGTCCCGGGCGGAGGGAGGCCTGTCGGTGCGGGACCTTTGTCAGCCGGAGAGTAGGGCTGCCCTTGCGAGCCTCCGGGAGTCCTTGGGCACTGCCTGTGTCCTCAGAGGCTGAGCCAGCAGGCCAGGGGCGATAGGTCTGGCCTAAGCAGTGGGCATCCTGTCCTGCCTCTGCTTCCAAGAGGGAACAGAAGGTTCTGTGGGCTCCCTCCTGCCCACCTGGTCCCGGGGCTGTGCCAGCCTCATCTGGTGCAGGAGGGCAGCCTGCCCATTGCAGACCTGCTTTTAGGAGGTGGCCTGCTAGGTCTGGGCTGGGCCGGGCCTGGAGCAGCAGTGCTGCCACTGCCTTCCTCCAGGGACAGGCCCAGCCCGGCAGGGCGGCTGGTCTGAAAGCACACCGGGCGCAGAGAGGGCGGGCAGGGGAGGGGAGGAGATGGACTCGCAGCCCAGAGCTGCTCTGGAAATCCCGGAAACAAACCCAGGGATGCGTCTGAGCAGAGCAGCCAGCTCAGGACACAAGTTGTTTTTTTTTTAATCCTCACCTGAGGGTGTATTTTCTCATTCTTATTAGAGAGTGTGGGAGGGAGGGGGAAAAGAGAGAGAAATATTGATGTGAAAGAGACACATCCATTGGTTGCCTTCCGCATGCGCCCCAACCAGGGGCTGGGGGTTGCACCTGCAACCGAGGTACTTGCCCTTGACTTGGAATCGAACCCAACACCATTTCGGTCTGCTGGCTGGCTGGTGCGCTAACCACTGAGCGAATTGGCCAGGGCATACCTTGGTCTCTTGACAAGTGCCTATGCCCACCTCCTCCCTCCGCACTGTCCCCCGCTGGACTGATCCTCTCTCTCTCTCCCCCCCCCCCACCCATGGCCACCCTGCAGCTGGTGAACATCGGCTCCTCCTACAACTACAGCGGGGAGGACCAGGCCGAGTTCCTGTGCGTGGTGTCCAAGGAGCTCCACAGCTCCCCCCACGGGCTGAGCTCCGAGTCCAGCCGCAAGACCAAGGTGAGCCCCAGCCTCCCCGCTTCCCCCCTGCCCCCTGCCCCCCACGTGGCCACCCCTGCTTCTTCTCTCTCCCTCCCGCCGCACACGCATCACCCCCTCATAGTCCACGCCATCCATCCCATGCCACCCTCGGTCCTGTCTGCTCATGCTGGTCGCCCAGGCCCAGGCTGGGGAGCAGTGAGATGGGACCATCCCAAGGCCGCGCGCGGCAAGAGTGACTTAGATGCCACTTGAATGGTGGCCACGGGGGGGAGAGGGAGGGTGCCCTGGACCAGGCGTCTGGCATGGCGTGCCTCGCTCTGTGTCATCCGGGACAGTCCCATCCCCCCGGCACTTTCTCTGTGCTGTCTGAGAATGGAGGGGGGGCAGGCCACATCTTCTCTGTGGCGCCGTCAAGCTCAGAGCGTCCGGGATCCCAAGGGCCCGTTTATCCCCAGGGGCAGGCCAGTGTCCCCAGCCGGCCTGGGCCGGGGTGGGGAAGCCCAGTCTCTTAGCCGGGCCCCTTTCCCAGGCTCCTGTGTTCCCACCCTGGCCTCTGACGCCGCCTCAGCAGCCACCCTGGACCCCCCGCTGGTCACAAGCCTCGGGCGCCTTCTCTAGGGCCAGTAGGACAGGCAGCAAGCCGGGCGGGGAGGGAGGCCATTCCCTCTGGGGTCTGTCCCTGTGCTTTGGAGACGTATGAGCTCTGGCTTCCTGTCTGTCTGTCTGCCTTCCCTGGCCCGGGACTTCCCTCGCCCACCACCCCGCTCTGGCCGGCGGCTGGTGCTGCCCTGCCGGGGTGCACAGTGAGCCTCCCGCTCCTGCCCCGGGGCCCGTGCCTGTTGCTGGCAGCCCAGAACGGGGTGGTGTCCGCCTTGGATCTCCCACGGCCTCATTTCAACCGGGGCTGCCCTCCTAAAACAAAGCCTTCCCAGGCGTCCCCCAAGGACACCCCAGCCACAGTGCCATCCAGTCTTACGCCCTCTCCGGCCCCTTCTCCCCCTGCCCAGCCTGCGCCCTGTGCCAGCAGCCAGACTGGCCTCCTTCCTGAGCTGGTTTCTCCCAGGCTGCCCAGGGGCCTGGCCAGTTGCCCAGCTTCTTTGCTGTAGCCCTCCCCCTCTCCTGGCCCGTCCAGCCCACTGCCCGCCCTGCGCTGGGGCCCGTGGGGACAGCCGCCTGCAGGCCCCGCGCTAGCTCTCCACTCTTTCTTCCCTGGGTCCGCCGGCTGGTCCACAGAGCGCGGAGGAGCAGCTGGAGGAGGAGCAGCAGCAGGAGGAGGAGGAGGTGGAGGTGGAACAGGTGCAGGTGGAGGCAGATACACAGGAGAAAGGTGCAGCCAACCCCCGAGGAGAATGATTGCTCACACAAGCCGGAGCCTCCCGCCTGCTCCCTGCTGGAGCCAGCGCAGAACTGGGGGGGCCGAGGGCTGCTGTGAGGGGGTGGGGGGACGGGCCGCCAGGGTTAGCTCAGCCGCCTCGCCTGGCACCTCACCTGCATAACCATCCCTTCTCTCACTTTCTCTTTGCAGCCCAGTCATCTCAGGATCTCGCTAACCTTTTCTCCCTCCCACCACCGCCTCCTCCTCCTCCTCCTCCTCCGCTTCCCGCTGGAGGTCCTGCCTCATCTTCATCCACCTCTTCCTCCTCCTGGATCTCTGCACCCTGCCTCTTCCCTCTCTGCCCCTGTCCGGGCTTCCTCTCTGCCTGCTCACGCCTCCATCCCGGGGCCGCCCTGATCCCAGCCTCCCGCGCCCTCCACCCAGGCGCCCCAGCCTTGCATCTCAGAGCATCCTGCCTGCCGCCTCCTGCATCCCTCCCGGCAGCTCCTGCCTCCTGGCCTGGGGAGGAGGGGTGCAGCCGCACCTCCTCGGGGCCCACCAGCACCACCGGGCACCTCTGAGGCTGGGCCCCCCCGGCCCCAGCGCCTTCCCTCCTCGCCTCCTCCTCACCTTTCCTCCTTGCAGGTTCCCGTCTGCACCCCTCAGACCCGAGGCTGCACGGGCAGGGAGGGCCTCAGCCCCTCGCCCACCCCCAGGGCGCCACCCCCGGTCGGTAGCCTGGTGGAGCTGGAGGGAGGGCAGAAGCCAGGAGGGTGCTCAGATCTTGTTCCTTGGACGTGGGCCAAACTTCTGGCGGATTTCTCTCCCCTCCCCAAAGTACCTCAGCTGATCTTGGCCTTGGATAGGAGGCCGTGAGAGAAGAAGGAAGCTAGGGTTGGACGCGGTGCCATCGGCGCCAGAGCAGGCTGGGCAGGAGGGGGATGTAAGCCAGATGCCCTGGCCCCCCGCTGCACACGAGCTCCTGCCCCACAGCCTCGGGGCCTGGGTTCCCGTCTCTGCGGGGAGGGAAGGACAGGCCACCCTTGGGTTCCCTTGGCCCGTGAGGAGCCGGCCAGAGCCGGCTGCAGGGATCGGCGTGCGGCCGGAAAAGCCCCCACTCAGCCTGTCCGCCTGCTCCGTGACTCAGGGCCATCACTGCTTCTCTAAAGTGGGGACAGAGGGCTGCTTTCTGACCCGCCGCTTTTGGCCTTGAGCCCCTGGCCAGAGTCCTGGCAGAAACTGGCCCCCTGGGTAGGCAGCCACCACCAGCCCAGAATGGGGCTTGGGGCTCCCAGACAGGGAGCTGGGTCCCCCCCTCTTCTCCTCCTCCTGGGCTCTGTCTGAATCCACCTTCTCCGGCCTCAGCCGCCTCCCCGCTCCCAGAAGGGACCCTGTGACTCACCTACCTCTTTCTCTCCCCCTCTCTCCCCTCCCCTCCCTCCATCTCAATCTCCTTTCTGTCCTCCTGGTCCCCCCGACCCCGTCACCCTCCTCACCGCCCCTCTCCCCTTTCCCGGTGTTCTGACCACCCCACACCCGCCCCCCTGCCTTTCCCTCTTATTTTCTAGCTGTTACAAGCCAGAGGCACCCGGATGTGAGGCCCCAGATCACCTCCAGGCACTTGGGGTTCCGATCCGAAGTCCTTTATTTTTGTACCACAGGGTGGGCCCCCAGTTCCAGGTGGAGGAAGTGCTCTTCCCACTGCCACCTCTGCCTACACCTGTGGGGCCGTGACCTCCCCCTGCCCCCCCGGTGGGCCCTGGCACCCCTGGGCAGAGCCGCCTGCCTGTGTGGCGCTGTCCGGCTGTGTCTCCCAGGCCCCTACGGCCCTTCCCCCGAGACCCCCAGCTGCATGGCGGATACAGTCCCTCCCGGCCCGGTCACGTCACCTCCTTGAGCCTTAGCTTTCCCATCTGTCAAATGGGTTCACTCCCCCCCACCTACCTCACAGGGTTGTTGTGAGGTGCAGGGACTCAGAAAGCCCTCCCTCGGGGAGGAGGTGCCAGGCCCAGGGCGGCCCCCTCACCCTCCCCTCCAGGGGAAGGACAGTGTGGCTCCAGATGAGGTTCGGTGTTGGTGGGGGATGGAGGGGGGTGTTTGCCTTCAGCCTTCCCCTGGACCGCTCCCACCCTCCATACTGCTGTGGTCAGAGCCACGGCCAGGAGCAGGCAGGCCACTGAGGACCCAGGGAGACGGGAAGGGGGCCGCTCCCCCATCAGGGCCTCTGTCTGCCTCCCAGCGGGGTACCTCCCAGCTGTGTCTGCACCACCGTGTAATAAAACCTGAGGAAACAGCGGCCTGGCTGCCTCGCTCTTTCTCGGGTTCACTTTTGGGGGCCGGGGCTAAACTCAAGGTGGGATGATGACCCCAAGGCTTTTTCCTAAAACCCGGGACCCTGCCCTACTGTGTCACTTCCCATAGGGTAGGGGACTCATGGGGGATCCTCTGCCCAGTCTTGCCTTGCTGGCGCCCACCCCTCTCTGGGCTCCCTTTTCCTCATCAACAACCAGGGGCCAGGCCAGGCCAGCTGGGCTGCTGAGGGACAGGGAGCTGGGCGCCAGGAGACTACCTGCCTCCCACTTCCCAGCCTCAGCCGCGGTTCAGATGGCCCTCTGCTGGCTGGCTTCAGCTGCTGCTCGTGGGCACCCCTGCTCCATCCCGGCCCCCAGGACACCCCTGCTCCATCCCAGCCCCCAGGACACCCCTCTCCATCCTGGCCCCCAGGACACCCCTGCTCCCTGCTGTGACAGCTCTTGGTCGTCTCTACCCCTCCCTGTTGCTCCATCCTCTGCCCCAGGTCCCAGGAAATAGAAACACCCAGGCACCTGCCCCATCTTCTCTTAGAGCCTAGACTCTGGCTTCTCTTTCCCACTCTGCCCAGCCCAGCCTCCCACTCGCTCCGTGGCGGCCACAGCCATTTTTGTTGGGATTTGTTTATCTTCCATCATTGAAACTTTGTAGCCTTAGCAGAGGCCAGGGCAGGTGGAAAGCTTGGCCTCCTCCTGCCTGCCAAATGCGGAGGAAAAGAACGAGTTGGTGTCCCCCACTCCTGCTGGCCAGCTTTCCCTCCCTAGCCCTGAGGTTAGTGCCTAGGGCCCCATTCAATCTGCAAAACAGCCTTGGATCAGAGGTTTTATTCCAGGCAGCTGAGCTCGCCTCCAGCTGAGTGGGCAGTAGAGGCCCAGACGCAGGGAGGTGGGCGGCGAGAACCGGGACCCAGGCTCCACCCCCTTTGGCTCACGGTGGCAGCTGGCCTGCTTGGCGGTCTCCGCTCTGAGGCCCCTCCCCGGGGGCACCTTCCACCCCCACCTCTCAAGTTAGGCTGAGGTGTCACAGTCTGGAATCTGCTCTCTGGAGTGGGTGCCCCCAAGCAGCCTCTGTACTGGAGGGGGTGGGGTGGGGTACAGGGCTCAGACACTCCTACTGGGACCCGGACGCCACATCCTCACTGCTGAGCAGTTCCCCAAGTTCTCAGGGGAGACGGGGCAGGGAGGGAATCGGGAGGCCTGGTGACCGTGCCAGGCTCTCGGAAAGCACTGACCAGCTGCGGGCGCTCCTCCCTGCTTGTGCTCTCTGGGGTGATGCCAGGGAGCAGGCTGGGAGGCAAGATGCCACTCTGGCTTCCACAAGGCCCGCTGCCCAGAGTACTTGTTCCCCGCCTGAGGGGTGCCCTGGCCCCGAGTACAAGAGGTGGTGCCAGCTCTGCAGGGGGCAGCTCCTCAGGTCAGCACCTGCTGGATCCAGCCGATCACACCTGTGATGCGGGTGTAGACGCCAAAGTAGTTGGGCCGGCCGCAGCCCAGGCCCCAGCTGACCAGCCCCGCCAGGAACCAGCGGCCACTGGGCTCCCTGCACACCAGCGGGCCGCCTGAGTCACCCTGAGAGGGGAGAGGAGAGACAGGGCTGCATCAGGGCAGGGTGCCTGCTCCCAGGGCCGGGGGCTGGCTGCTGGGGGTTTCTGAGTGACAGTAAGACTATGTAGTCGTGGCATTCCCTCTTGAAGCCTCGGTTTCCCTGGACCTTGGCCTGGCCTCCAGCGTGTCCTGGCTGGCCTGAAGCTGGGGGTGTGTCCACATGCCCCGTCCACCTCTGCCTCCTTCTGGGGGCTCCTAGTCCTCTCTCCCGTGTCACCTCGGGCAAACTGCCTTGCGGTGGGCGGCGAGGAGCAGAACTGGGTTTGAGCCTCAGGCCTGCCTGCCCATCACAGTCTCTTCTGATCTGTGGCCTACAACCTGGGGCAAGTCCCTCAACCTCCTTGAGCCTCGGTTTTGTCATCTGTAAAGTGGGGACAGCCATCGCCACCTTGCTGGGGCAAGCTGATGTAAGCACAGGGCCAGACCCTGGGGGACGTGGGTGGTGTCGGGGGCTCCCCTCCCCCTGGCCCCCCAGCCCCGGGAGTCACCTGGCAGGCGTCCTTCTTGCCCTTGTGGTAGCCGGCGCACAGCATGCGGGGCGTCACCTGGTAGCGGTAGGCCTCGCTGCACAGGTCCTGCGTGATCAGCTGTACGTCCACCTTCTGCAGGCCGTTGCTGGTGGGCCCTGCCCGGCACACGCGGGGTCAAGGCCACAGGGCAGAGGTTAGAGGATCCAAGGCGCCCAGGAGTCCCCACCTTTCCTCCCACTGTTCCCTTCACATCCCGGGAGCCTTCTCCCGCCCTGCCCACCTCTCACCTCCGCCCACGGTTACTCCAAGCTCCTCCCGTGTGGCCCACGGGCACAGAGCCCCTGCCCAGAGCCTGTCCGGACGGGTGTCTCCTCCAGCTCTTCCTCCCTTCTGCCTCCTGCTTGAGCCCCATGTCGCCTCCCCTCTGCTCAGTGACAGCCCCGGGGAGTCTCCAGAGCACACGTCTGACCCTCCACACGCCCTCTGACCTCTCGGCACCTGCCGCTCCAGCCCAGCCCTTCTCGGTGAGGCTCAGGGCTGTGTGGAACCCCAGGCAGCTCCAACGAGCACGGGGCCTGGTCTCCCTTGGAGACCTGTTCGCCTGGGGAGGGCGGCCACCAGTGTTTCTCTCCATGCCCTCGGGTGGGCCTAAAGCACAGGCAAGGTCCTCACAGCTCCCTGCCCTCAGGTCCTCCTCACCCAGCTCCCTGCCCTCAGGTCCTTCTCGCCCAGCTCCCTGCCCTCAGTCCTCACCCAGCTCCCTGCCTGCCCTCCGCTGGCTTCGCTGCCTTCCTGGGCCAGGCCCTGCCGCTCACGCTCCTCCCTCAGCCCAGCCCCTCTCCTGGTCGCCGCCTCGGGCTGCCTGCACCTGCCCACCCAGGTCAGCTCCTAGCACTCTCCCCAGTGAACGCTCTTTCCCTCTTCACACCCCTCAGCCATCTCCATCGCTGGCATGGCGCATGGCGCATGGCGTAGCTGCTCCTAAATGAGCCGTGGGAGGAGACGGGTGAATGGACGAGCGAGGGAGCGGCCTTCACTGTACCTCTGCTCTCCATCGTCCTCTGGGGAAGTCGCCCTTCACCCGGGCCTGTTTGCTCATTTATGAGTGATTCCGACAGTGCTGCCCCCACATTGTAAACCCCTGTACCCCTTCTGAGAGCCACCGCCATGGAGGGCAGGGCGTGGCTGGGACTCTGCCAGCCCGGGCCTGGTTCTCAGAGCTGAGAGGGCCTCCAGGACAGCTGCCCCGTCAGGTCAGGCAGGGAGGGGAGGGACCCCTGTGCCCGAGAGGCTGTGGCAGGAACAGCATGGGCTCCGGGGCCAGGCAGTCCTGGGACCCAGTCTCGGCTCCAGCCCTCCCTGGCTGTGTGTCTTTGGCAACAGTGAAATGTCTCTGAGCCTCGGTTTCCCCATCCATAAAATGGGGCCGTACTACTCACCCTAGAGTTATGGCATGGATTAAATTAAATCCTGTTCCCCTAAAATCAAACCTTAGTTAAAATCCTCTCCTGCCTTGCCCCCCAACACACATACACACACGTGTACACACACACCTCCACGTTCCCACTCCAAGCAGCAGAGGATGGAGCTTGCCTGTGGGCTGCGAGGCCCTGGCCTGTCTCTCTACCCCACACAGAACCGAGATCACCTCCCATGACATCGAATCTCCTCAAAGCCCTTCCAGGAGGAGGGGGAGGACAGGAGGGCAGAGCCCACGGGCAGTGAAAGAGTTTTGTTCTGTGAACTCCTGGGACTTGCAGTCCTCAGGGGTGGAGCCCTGGGCCCCTCGCCCCGCCCCCTCTAGGCTAGACACTGGGGGAGGCCCACTCCGAAGGCCCGCTCACCCCCCTCTCGAAGGGCGCCCCAGCCCGTGATCCAGCAGTGCAGGCCCGGCTCGAAGAAGTGGGAGCGCGCGGGCAGGCAGACGGGGCGCACGGCGGCGGAGCGCACGGCGGGCTGGTCCAGCTGCAGCAGGGCCACGTCGTAGTCGTGGCTGTCCTCCTCGTGGTACGGGTGCAGCAGCAGGCGGCTCACCTTGAAGGACACCTCGCCCGGCCAGCGCGAGCTCTGCCACACCTTGCCCAGGAACACCGTCCACAGCGCCGGGGAGGCCATGCTGGGGGCAGGGGTGGGGGTGGGGGTGTCCGCTCAGCAGTAGCTGGCTTCACTCCTCCTCCCCCAGACATGGCCCCCACACCCGTCCCCTGCTGCTCTGTGCGGCCAGGCAGCTGGAGGCTGGTGCAGTGTTCACTGTCCTCTCTGAGGCCCACCTGCTTGGGTTCCTGTGTGCCTCTCTAAGCCTCAGTCTCCTTATCTGTGAAATGGGAACAGCATCTTCTACTCAGGTTTTCAGGGAGAGGGGGATGTAGTAAGACTGTATGTAAAAATATTAACATTGTGTTGGGGTCTGGCCGACGTGGCTCAGAGGTCACGGTTTGATTCCTGATCAGGGCATTTGCCCAGGTTGTGGGCTTTCTCCCCAGCGGGGGGCGCACAGAAGGCAGCCGATCCATGGTTCTCTCTCATCATTGATGTTTCCAGCTCTCTGTTCCTCTCCCTTCCTCTCTGACATCAATAAAACAAAACAAAACACACGCGGGCAGCTGACAGGGGCCTCTCCTTTTATCTGTGCTTTGTAGGCGGGGCTGCTGGGATCCCTGAGACTTGTCAGTTTTCCTGGGTGTGTGTGTGTGTGTCTGTGTGTGTGTGTGTGTGTCTGTGTGTCTGTGTGTGTGTGTGTCTGTGTGTGTGTGTGTCTGTGTGTGTGTGTCTGTGTGTGTGTGTCTGTGTGTGTGTCTCTGTGTGTCTCTGTGTGTCTGTGTGTGTCTGTGTGTGTGTGTCTGTGTGTGTGTGTGTCTGTGTGTGTGTGTGTCTGTCTGTGTGTGTCTGTCTGTGTGTGTGTCTGTGTGTGTGTGTGTGTGTGTCTGTGTGTGTCTGTCTGTGTGTGTGTCTGTCTGTGTGTGTGTGTCTGTGTGTGTGTCTGTGTGTGTGTGTCTGTCTGTGTGTGTGTGTGTGTGTGTGTGTGTGTAGGGGTTGCAGACTGGGCCTCTCAGACCCCTGGAGGCCAGGTCTGTCTTTACCTTTTGGGCAGAGGGGAGCGAGGGGTGGAGTGAGAGAGTGTGGTGGTCGGACTGCACTGGGGAAGGGCCCCCTGGAACCTGGGCCGCGGATGCGGAGGGAGAGGCTCTGGGCTGTGGGGCCCCATGTGGACGGGCGGTGGTGAGGGTTCGCCCGGAGCACAGAGACTTCTGAGCAGCTCTGACGTGGGAGGAGGGACACCTGTGGAGCCAAGTCCTTGGCGGAGGACTGAGTAGCCCCAGGGCGGAAGAGGGGGTGTGGGGAGCGGAGTCCAGGGCTGGCCGTGCTGGGGAGGGGTCTGGGGCCCAGAAGATAGGTCCAGGGTGAAAGGGGGACATTGTACGCCCACACCATGCACGCGGGGAAGATGTCTGTGAAGCTGGGTGAGCTTTACCCAGGTGAGCACCTGGAGGAGAGGGGTCTGCTCTCTGCTGTACCCCAGTTGTCAGTCGCCACCCCTGGCGCCAACAGGAGCACAACACATTGCTGAGTGGATGCATCAGTGAGTGAGTGAGTGAGTGAATGGCTGACCCAACTTAAAATAAGATGCCAGGCCGACCAGTGTGACTCAGATGCTGAGCATCGACCTATGAACCGGAAGGTCATGGGTGTATTCCCGGTCAGGGCACATGCCTGGGTTGCAGGTTTAATCCGAGTAGGGGGTGGCTGGAGGCAGCCGATCAATGACTCTCTCTCATCACTGACATTTCTCTCTCTCTCTCCCTCTCCCTTTCTCCCTGAAATCAACAAAAATATATTTAAAAAACAAAACAAGATGCTGAAAGGAATGCACAGAGAGGCTGAGCAACCTGTCTAGGGCCACACAGCATGTTTGCGGGGGAGCCAGGACTGAACCCAAGTGTGGAAACAGCCATTTGGGGGGGCTCCTCACCGGCTTTTGCTTTGTGTGCTTAGAGCGTGGGGACCCCGGGCCTCCTTGCATGGCCTCCCCTGGTCCCCCCCTTACGCCTCGTCCCCACGCCGCCCCCCTCACCTGTCCTCCTGGAAGCAGTGGGCGGCTGTTATCACCCAGCGGTCCGCGATGAGGGCCCCCCCACAGATGTGGCGGCCCCGGACCTGGAGGCTGGCCTGCCACGGCCACTCCCCCTCTGAGGACACGGCCCCGCCCACAATGCGGCCAGAGGGGCCCTGGAGGCCACAGTCTGGGGGGAGGGGGCAGGGGGCAGGCCAGGGAGGCAGAGACAGAGAAGGGGGAGGGAGAGCAGAGGGAATCACGAAGAGAAAGAAGAAGGGCAGAGTGAGGGGCAGAGGTGGGGGAGAGAGACACACGTGGTGAGCTTTAGCTCCTGCTGCCAGTGTGGGCACCTCCCGCCCTCCCACGCTCTAGGGCCCAGTGGGTGGACAGGGCCCTCTGCCCCCCCCCCCCCCCGCGCCCTCGGGCCCCGGGCAGGAGGCTCACCGCAGTGCAGCTCGTCAGAGCCGTCCCTGCAGTCGGGCCGCCCGTCGCACTGCGGGTTGGGCTTCTTCACGCAGCTCCGGTCCTCGCACTGGAAGGTGAACGTGCCACAGGGCACCCCTGGATAGAGGGGGTGGGGGCAGGGCACAGAGGATGGGTCCCCGAGCCCAAGGGAGCCTCCAACCGAGGCCCAGGGAGTCGAAGCCTGGAAGAGCCAGGAGGTGCGTGCTGAAGGTCCTCCTGAGCCAATGAAGGCTCCCTGCCTGCACTCCCCGCCCTCGGGGCTCCCCATGCTGCTGGACGCAGTGGCCAGAGGGCTTTGGGCAGAGGGAGCTGCCCACCATGTCTTCCTGCTCACAGACCGTCCCCAGAGGGCAGGGGTCATGTCTCTGTTATCTTTTCCTCCCTCTGCCTCACCTACCCCTGGGCAGTCTGCAAGTGCTGGGTGGCCAGTTGGATGGATGGGTGGATGGATAAACCAACAGACGCAGGTAGGAGATTGGGAAGGCCAGCAAATGGGTGTATTGGTGGTCCAGCAGGGAGAGTGACAAGCAGCTGGAAGGATGGATGGCTGAGTGGATGTGAAGACCATTGGCTAGACAGGCAGTGGGAGAGAGCAGTGGACGGATGCATGGATGGAGGATGGGACAGTGAGCATGCAGATAGTTGGGCAAACAAATAAATGGATTGATGGTTCGGTGGAGAGCGGGGTGGTTGGGAAGCCAATGGTGGATAAATGGATGGATATACACCCAAGTTCTCGCTGGAGAGATCGGAAGATGGATGGAGGGACGGATGGAGGGACGGATGGACATGCAGGCATACATACAGATGAGTTGGTGAGTATTGAGACAAGAGAGCAGAAACCTTTGCCAAAGAAGCGAGCGGAAGGGCTGGGCTATCTGGCTGAGACCCATTCTTTGGTTTCCCTCTAGACGCCTGGTCACACGCCAGCCTACCTTCCTGGCACTGCTCTTCATCACTTCCGTTGAGACAGTCTGGCTGCCCATCACAGACCCTGGACAGGGAGACGCACGTGCTGTCCTCTTGGCACTGGAATGTGGCTCTGCACACTGCGGGAACACGAGGGGCCGGTAGGGGGCGCCGGAGGGACAGCGGGGCTTTGCTTGCCTCTAGCACATGGATCGCACCTCACAATGGCAAACCTCCCTCAGCTCCTTTATACTGGAGCGAGATGCCAGGTGTGATACCCTATTTCACTGATGAAAACAGGAGTGAAGTGACGTGTCCAAGGTCAGTTGGCTCAGCCGGAACGCGAAGCCAGATGTTCTGGTTACAAATGAGGCAGCGTCCCCAGCACCCAGGCAGGATCACCCCAGAGAAAGGCACACACCCTTCCCTCCGCGTCTCTGCCCGCACGTTGAAAACTTTAACGGGACAGGGAGGAGGGAGGAGGGGGGTCTGGGGGATCAGACCAGAGCAGGTGACCCTGATGGGGAGGATCCGAAACCAGGATCAGAGGAAGAGGTGTTACCCCAAGAGGCTTGGAGGCTGCCAGGCCCTGAGCTCCTCTGCAGGGCTGGGCAATGCCAATGAGAGCTGGCAATTCCAGTCTGAACCCCTGAAGGGGAGGGTGAGAACCCATTCAAGGAGGGCGATGGGCGGCTCTCCCCTGGGCCACCCAGGGTCTGCCTGCCCCTGCTCGGTTCCTTCCTGGCTGGCTGGCTGGGACGGGCTGGGGGTGATGGCCTCGTGGGGAGAAGCCCTGAGCTGGGAGTCAGGAGGCCTGGTCCCAGGGTGTCCCCCCCACGGCCCCATGGGGAGGCTGCTTCCCCACGCTGTGCCCCCACCTTGCCATCCCCACTCAGAGAGGGAACCCCCCTCCCTGGACGCTATATCGAGAACTGCACGTGGGGGCCTCTACTCGAAAGAGCGTCTCAGCCCAGCGCAGAGGAGGCGGGGAGAGGGGAGGGTGCGGCAGGCCAACTGCTCACCGCAGTTTCTCTCGTCCAGGCCGTTGGGGCAGTCCTTGACCCCGTCGCAGGCGGGCACACAGAGCCCGTTCACGGAGCAGAGGAACTCCCCGGGGCACGCTGCGGGGGAGAGGGGATCCCATTAGGATGTGTCCTCGGGAACACACGTGTAGACGCAGCCTCTGTGTGCCTCTCTGTACCCACATGCTGTGTGCATGGCCCATGGGGAACCCATGTTCAGCCTCACACACGCAGCACACACTCAGGTATGAATGAGTGTGCATACCTTGTGCACGCACGCCACTGTTTTGCTTGCACACACAAAGCTGCATATGAATGGACACACACGTTCACACACACACACACATGCACACACATATTCCCTATGCCTAGCCTCTAGGCACCCACAGGGATGGCAGAGGCCGGAGGAGGTGGCCGGGCCAGAGGGGGGAGGGGGGCGGACTGCTCGTACTCACGGTCCGACTGGTTGTACAGGCCGTAGTGCACCTGCACGCCGGGCCCGGTGAGCGAGATCTGGGAGGTGAAGTTGATGGTGATGCCGGTGCTGGCCACCACGGGGATCCGCTCGGCGTAGGGCTGCAGGGTGCGCAGGCCGCACAGCCTGGGTGACAGAAGACAAGCTCAGGGCCCCGGGGTCTGTGCGGAGGAAGGCACGGCCTGGGCCTGTGCAGATGGGGCAAGGGCGAGGCAGCCAGAGAGGGAGGGGGAGCTGCACCCCTCCTCTGTCTTGCTTGTTCCCTTGGGCGGCCTCTCCCTCCCAGAATCACTTCACAAAGCAGCCTGGCCAGCTCGCTCCTGCTCAGAACCGCAATGGCTCCAGCGCCTGCAGGACGCCATTCGGTCTGGACTTCAGTCCCCGCGACCTCGCCAGCTAGCGTCCCCCTCGGAGCCTCACTTTCCTCCCTTATGAAACAAGGCCCTTTGGTCTCTTTGACTTGAAATCTAACAAAGGGCTCCATCGTCGCCAAAACCCATTTGGCTCAGTGGATAGAGCGTCGGCCTGCGGACTGAAAGGTCCCAGGTTCGATTCTGGTCAAGGGCATGTACCTTGGTTGCGGGCACATCCCCAGTGGGGGGTGTGCAGGAGGCTGTTGATCGATGTCTCTCTCTCATCGATGTTTCTAACTCTCTATCCCTCCCCCTTCCTCTCTGTAAAAAATCAATAAAAATTATTTTTTAAAAGGGGGGGATGTGCCAGTAGAAGTCCTGGCTGTTCCCTCCCTGTGGACAGGAGAGGGCAGCCCCCTTGTGCTCCGGGAGGTGGCGGGTGGAGGAAGGAGGCAGCCCTCCCGCTCAGGCCCTGTCCCTCCCACAGAGATGCCTGCACAGCCCTCTGGTCCCCCGGGACCCTCTGGGCACGAGGAGGGACCGTCCTGCTCTGGGGCCGCTCGCGCAGTGCTGATGGGATGCGTGGTCACCCCGGGGGAACCATCCCCCAGCCATGGAGCACCCCCACACCCCCTGCCCCCGCCAAGGGGTCACTGCTGACCCCTCCCTGCCAAGAAGATGCTCTCGTTTCCACAGAACCTCCCAGAGAGGCAGCGTTCTCCCGGGAAGAGGCGGGAACCCCGGCATCTGCACAGTGGGGTGCAGGGGGCTCACCCACATGGAGCCTGGGTGGCCCTCGCCTCACACGAGGGTGCACTTTCACGGAGTGAAAGAAATCACACCCAGAGCAGCAGGACCCTCCCGGAGAGCAGCGCGGGGTCCCTGCCTCCCCAGGGGGGCACCCTCACGGGACAGAGGGGAGGCTGCTGGGAGCTCCCCGACAGGGAAGGGGGTCCCCTTGCAGAGCATGTAGGAACGCCTTCCCAGATGTGGGGAACACAGCCAGACACGGTGGGAAGATGGCGGAGAGGGCAAAAGTGCCCCAGCAGGGAAGGTGGGAGGAAGTCAAGAGAGCAGTGGGGAGGCCCCAAAGCATGCTGGGAACATCCCACGGAGCAGGTCACGTCCCAGGCACCGGGCACTTCCTCAGAACTTCCAGACCAAGCTAAGCCCTTCCGTGCATCACCCAGTTATTTCATCATGAGCCAGGGAGGACAGGCTGGGGCCGGGGCTGGGGCTGGGGCTCTCTCACTCCTCCCTCAGCGGCTGCCTCACTGCACAGGGAGCTGAGGGTTTGATGCCACATCGCCCTGTGAGGGAGAAGTAGTTCCCAAGATGAGAACCCAGCCCCCTGGGGACCCAGGAGGACATACCAGCCTGCCCAGGGGGAGGTGGGCCCCCCTACCCTCACTGCAATGCCAGCTTCTGGGCTGAGCCCTCACGTTCCCCGTGTCTCCCCAACAGTCCTGGCCTCAGGTGCAGCCTGCCTACACGTGGCCACAGTGACCATGTCCTCGTCCCCACCCCAACAAATCACTCTCAAAGTGAGGTCTGGGGTCCCCTGAGGATTCCAGAGAAAAACTCATTTTCATAGCCAGGCTCAGATGTCATTTGCCGTCCTAACTGTCTCTCATGAGAACACGGAGGAATTTTCCAGAGACTGCATGGTGTGTGATATTAAACCGGTTAAACACAGAAGCCAGTGTGGGATTCAGAGTGGTCCGGCCAGCCAGTGAGTAAAGAAAGTTGCAAAAGTGTGAAGTGGTGTTATTTTTTTCACCGAATGCTATTGGTTTGGAAAATATAATTTTTTAAAATAAGATATGCTAACATGTAATGGGTTTATCATTATTTTAAATGGATTGGTAACTATGTGATTTCCCCCAGTTTTAATTTATAATTCTGAGAATGCAGATTATGTAACTTGTGTACAAACACTCTGGGGTGCTCAGTAATTTTACAAAGTGTCAAGCGGTCCGAGGTGGAAAAGTTGGAAACCACTTCTCTGCATCTGATCGCCACAGCCAAGGGGGCAGCCAGACTGGCGTCAGGCACCACCAGGGGGCACCCTCGAGCAAGCCTGGCCCTTCTTGACCTTTTAAACCAAAGGAAACAAAAGGATTTTGTTGTTTTTAAGGAGGATAAACAAATGTTTCATAGATTGTTATCCACAGAGAACGCCCGGGAGCGGACAGGGGCCAGGGCCTGGGAAATACTGGGTGGGGGGCAGGGATGAGGAGTCAAGGGCATCCCTGACCCTCTCAGAGTTCAGGGACATGGGTCGCTGTCTGCACACAGTCCAGGGGACTGTGCAGACCCCAAGGCACTAGAGCCGGGATGAAGGGAATGGAAACAGCTCAATCTAGAATGCTGCATGGTCTCTCCTGCAGACAGGATGTGTCCTCCACGAGAGAATTCCAGAATCCGCTCCTGGCTCAGCTGGTGCCCAGGAACCTGCCCAACTGGGGCAGCATTTGGCTCCCACTCTGGAGACCTGGGGGCTGAGGGACGGAATTCCTGAGCAGCCTCTTGGTTGCCAGGTGGCCAGACAGGCTGCAAACAGTTCCTCAGTCTGGTCACTCAGCTTGGAGATGATCAATTTAGTCTACGCAGCGCTAGTTTTGTCAAATTCAGGTGCTAGCTAACTTCACGTCATTATCTAAATTCTTGCTTCTCCTAAAACATAAGCCCCAGAAGCACTGGCAGGCCTTTGAGGCCACCAGAGTTAGGGAGTTAGGCAGGCACATGTGGCCTGCTACCATCCATGTCCCCCGCTCCCCTTACCCCCCGCCCCCAAGCACCTGCCCCAGGGCCTACACACTCGCCGGCCCTTTGCACACCTGCGTTTCTGGTTCCTGCTCAGAGCCTTCTGGGGGAGGGTATGCACCTCTAGCTTCCAGATCCTTCCACCCACCCACTGGATGCCACATCCTCCCCACAAGCCTCTCCAGGGAGCACCAACACCTGAAGGCTGGGGAGCCCCCTCTTCTCTCAGCCACAAAGCTGGAAGGCACAGGGCCAGCCCTGCTTTTTCACCTCCCTGTCTCAGCTGGTAAGCAGACCCCCTGTCCATCATCTTACACATCAGCAGCTCCACACGGGGAGGAATTCAAGAAAGATTGGATGGGCGGATAGAATGGTGGGCGGATGGAAGGATGAGTGGGTGGAAAGGATGGATGGATGGATGGAGGATGGATGGGTAGAAGATGGATGGATGGATGGGTAGAGGATGGATGGATGGTAGAAGGAAGGAAGAAAAATGGATAGATAGATGAATGACTGAGCAGGTGGAAGAAAGTAAGGGTGGAGTGGATAGCTGGGTAGATGCATGAAAGTGGAGTAGAGGGAGGGAGGAAGAAAAGGAGAGAGGAAGGAAAGAGGAGGGAGGGAGGGAGGGAAGAAGGAAGGAAGGAAGAAGGAAGGAAGGAAGGAAGCCAAGAAGGAAGGAAGGAAGGAAGAAAGGAAGAAGGAGGGAGGAAGGAAGGAAGAAGGAAGGGAGGGAGAAGAGATGAGGGAGGGAGGAGGGAGGGAGGGGGTAGGAAGGGAGAAAGAGGGAGCAGCGAGGGAGAGAGAGGGAGGGAAGGAGGATGCATTTCCCGCAGGTTCGTTGTTGGGAAGGAGGTCGGAGAGGACAAGTAGGAAGAAGCGGCCCTGTGACCTGGTCCATGGCTCAGTCTTACGTCTGTGGCCCAGGTGATGCTATCTCCGTGCAGGGTGTGCTACGGAATAACGAGAAAAGGACTTCTCTGAAAGCCAGCTGCTGACGCTGTCAGACCGTGAGTTCATCTGGGGACCAGCTGGGGCTCTGCCCCCTCGCTGCCAGCGCCAGCGCAGGCGCTCAGCTCACCGGGCAGTGCCCGGGGCCTCGTGGTCGCGGCCAGTGCTGGCCGCCCAGGGGAGCAGAAGGGCCCCCCCGGCCAGCGGCCCTGCCTGCCCGTCAGGAGGAGAGGCAGACAGACGCGTTGGACAGATAGGAGCAGTGACATCACAGGGGAGGAAGCTGGCGCGCAGGTTCCCGGAAAGGGGGAAGCCGGACTGCGGCGACGGTGACGCCCAGCCAGAGTGGGTTCTGTGAAACCAAGCAGCCGGCGGCCGGACCTGGGGCGGCCCCTCCCTGCCCGGCCTTCAGGCCCCTCCCCAGGGCATAGACCTCAGCCAGAGTCAGGTGGGCACCAGAGAGGCTGGGTAAAAGGAAGGGGTGGGGGACTAGAAAGCGCTCAGGGGAGTGAGGAGACGGTGCCCAAGGATGCCCAGACTGTGGAAAGCCCAGGCCAGCCTTGGCTCCTCAGATGCTGAGGGATAAGAGGACACCTCTTCCCGCCCCTTCCTGTGTCCCTCCCCGCCCGTGGTCACTCTGGGCCCAGGACTGTGCCTCCCCTTCCTACAGGCCCTGCCTGGAATCCACACCCTGCCCTAGGCCGCTCACGCCTCCACCGCCCACACACGCAGATTTTCCAACAAGTGCTCATTCGAAGAATTTCCCAGCAGCTACACAGGGCGATCGTTATCAGAGGAGATCACAGTCAGAGGAAGCAGCCTGTCCGGAGCTCACGGTTCGGAGGTACGCCTCTGCCTTCCCATCCACGCTCCCGTGAACAGAAGCCACAGAAGCCGGGGGCAGGGGGACACGCGTCTCCACGTGGGGACCCTGGGCCCTTACCGAGGTCTGAGGAGACAGAGATGGGACTCTGCAGGCTGCTCTCGGAACAGGCGAGAGCCACAGAGACTGGATTGGTGGGAAATTCCTTGGCCGGGAGAGCGAACAGCTGGCACAGCTGCTCAGAGGCTCCGCGGGAGGAACCTGCCCGAGCATGAGTGCTTATGTGTGCACATGTACACCCATGGGTGCACAGACACGGGCACACGTATGCACACCCACACACAAGTGTGGATCGGGCCACCTTGCTCAACCCAGGCTGCTCCAGGCACAGCTGGGTGGCTTCGGGGAGAGGACTCAGCCCTCTGGGCCTCAGGGGCCTCAGTGGCCCAGGAAGGCAGCACGGGGACCTGCTTTCTCCCCATGGTGTGGGGGCTGAAGGAACTGGCTCCGAAACCCTTTGGCTAGGGGCCTGCTCAGCACAATCAACAACCGGTTATTAGCTCATGGTCCGTGCCTTCTGGGGCTTTCTCTGAGCCTGCAGGAGCCAGCGTCCTCCATCCATGACCTCCATGGTCTTCCCTGGGTGGAGCTCTGGTTCATGCCCATTTCCCAGGTGAGTGACCTGAGGCTGGGAGAGGGGAGTCCTTGCCGAGCGGGAAGGAGCGGAGCCTGGATTCGAACCCTGTTCTGCCTGGTTTCCACACCTAAGCTCTTTTCATAGCAACATTCCACTAGGAACTAATAAACGCAATAAACTCTGTCTAATAAAGAGGGAACATGCTAATTGACCCTCACGCTGTTGCAAAGATGGCAGCGCCCACAACCAATAAGGAGGGAATATGCTAATTGACTGCCACGCCCTCAAAGGCGGCGGTGCCCACAGCCACAAGATGGCAGCGCCCAGTCCCCTCAGCTTTGCAACGTGTCTGCCTCCAGAGTCCCCCAGTCCCTTCAGGCCCCCAGCTGTCCAGGGCCACCTGAGGCACAGGCAAGCCTCTGATGGCAGCTACCCAGCTACCCAGGGCTGCCCGAGGCTCAGGTAACCAGGGCCGGCCAAAGCTTCCGCTGCTGGCAGTGGCAGCAGCAGAGGTGTGATGGGAGTCACTTTCCCCTGATTGCCAGGTCACCCCCCACCCCTGGGAGCTCCCAGACTGTGAGAGGCTGAGCTGAGGACCACCCCCCCTCTCCAGTGCATGAATTTTCATGCACCAGGCCTCTAGTAGATACATATAAAACATGGGGGCCTAGTCTCTAGTTTTACAGGCGAGAAAGGAGGTGTCCCCAGAGTTCCAGGCAGAAACCATGCGGCCTCCATGAGAAGGGGAGAGGTTTAGGAAGAGAGCGGAAATGGATGGGGATGCGGAGCCCTGTCAGGCCTCCCCCTCTCTCCTCCCCCCACCCCACCCCACCTGGCTGCACCCTGAAGGCAAAAAGACAAGGAGGACAGGAGGCAGGACAGTGGAGCCCTCCCAGCAGGGGTGACAGCACCCCAGGAATGGAAACCACCTCACTCTAACCAGGGTCAGCATCCCGGGTGTCTGATGGCACGTGTGTGGAGACCTTTGGGAGGCTGGGGGGCAGGCCGGGGCAGGGACTGGGCCAAGGGGTGCGGCCACAGGCCTGAGCAGCCCGCCCCGGCTGTTCTCCCAGACTGTTCCTCTGAGGTCTGGGGCTCGGGCTCCGGGGCGGGGGGTGCTGTGGGGAGAGGCAGGGTGCCGGGGGGGGTACCTCCGGTTCTGGATCGTCCACTGGCCCTGGGTGCACGGCAGGTCGTACTTCTGCCTCCGCAGTGCATAGGCGTCGAACCAGAGGGCCAAGCCGTAGTCGAGGGAGGGCACCTGTGACGGAGGAGCTGGTCACCAGGAGGCCCGCGGGCTGTGGCTGACCTGGCGGCCCCCCTTCTAGGATGACGGAGAGAGAAAGAGGCTGCCGCACGGAGTGCTGGCCGGGGCCGAAGTCCGCCCGTCACTCAGCAAACAGGTGCTGCGGTGGCCACACCCACCAGCCCCTCCCAGCAGGGGTCCCAGCAGTCCTAAGGGTGCTCCAGGCAGCCGGTGGGCGGGCGGGGGGTCGGGGGGCTCACCATGAGGTGCCAGGAGCAGTGGGTGTTGGGCGAGTAGTAGCTGGGGAAGTACGGGGTGCTGAGGATGCCCCGGCTCTCCAGCTGGCTCTCCAGGGTCAGGTTCACCTCGCAGGCTGGCCCAGAGAACAGCAGTTACACGGGGTCCCTCGGCCCCGTCCCACCACCACCTCCCCACTGCCACCCAACAGGAAAGCCCAGTGGCAGAGTGTGACTGTGTGACCTTGGGCCTCAGCTACCTCATCTGTGAAATGGGGACAATGACAGGACATTCCTCCTAGGGTGGTTGGAAGGGTTAAACAGACACAAAACACTCAAGCCGCCCGGGATGTAGTAAATGCTCAGCTAACGTTAGCTGTTGACATTGACAGTTACGTGCAAGCATGTCAAACTCCCGGCTGGGGGGGCCACATGCCTCGTGTACAGGCCTGACAGGGCTCCACACCCCCACCCATTTCCTCTCTCTTCCTAAAGGAGGCATGCGGGCCCCCAGACCCACTCTCCAGGTGGGTGCCAAGGGAAGAGGGATGGGGAGGGGCCAAGGAGAGGAGCCAGTGCCAGGATGAGAGAAGGAGAGGAGGGAGAGAGAGGATGAGCTCAGGAAAGAACATCAGAGGCAGGAGAGAAGGGGGTGGAGGGGGGGGGAATGAGAGCTGAGCTGGCCTCTCTGGGGAGCGTGACAGGGAAGATGGGGGGCGTGGACGGTGAATAGGGGCGGGAAGAGGGGTGGGCTGCGAGCGGGAAGGCAGGGTGGACAGCAGAGACTCTTCCAGAACCTTCCCTCTCCCTCATCCCACACCGACGAAGAAGGCGAAGGGCACGCCCAGGGGGTTTGGTTTCTGCCCCCTCCCCCCACCCTCCGGGGACCTGAGCCCTCACGCTGGAAGGCCACGGATTGCACGGAGAGCGCGAAGGGGTCGTAGTAGCTGTGCAGGCCCTTCTTCCAGACCACCGCCATGACGGCGCCCGACGCCAGGACCTCCACCACCGGCTCCTGGCGGCTGCAGCCGTAGACCCTGGGGGACAGAGGAAGGTGGGCTGGGGGAGCTGGGCAGGGCATCGGCCGTGCAGCCAGCCTGTTGTGGGTTCACAGACAAGTCGCTGACCCACTCTAGCCCAGGGGGCTGCTTGGAGACCCCGTAAGAGTCAGGCCAGCATCGCAGGTGAGAAAGGCCAGAAGGAGCTTTGCATCAACTCTGCCACAGAGTCCCCTCTGCCCCCTGCGCATCCCCACAGCCTCTGAGTGCCCAGCCTGTGCCAGCAGGGAGACCAGATGGCACCTGTGGGAGCCATAGCCTCGAGCTGGCCACACCCTGCTCTGGGCTGGGACGGAGAGGAGGTGGGCATACGGCCCCCAGGGCACCCCAGATGCCGCCCGGAGTTTGGTGCCCGGGTGCACATGGTAAATGATGGGATCGTATATATGCACCCCTATGTTCATAGCAGCACAATCTACAATAGCCAGAATCTGGAAACAGCCGAGGTGCCCGTCAGCTGATGATTGGATCCAAAAACTTTGGTACATCTACACAATGGAATACTATGCTGCCATAAAAAAGAAGGAATTCTCATCATTTGCAGCAACCTGGATGGAATTGGAGAACATCATGCTGAGTGAAATAAGCCAATCAATGAAAGAGAAACACCACATGACCCCACTCATTTGTGGATAATAAAGATCATTATAAACTGATGAACCAAAAGATAGATATAGAGACAGTAAAGCAACAAGCAGATTGTCAAATTACAACGGGGAGGGGAGGAGGGTCTGGGGGAGACAATAAATCAACCCAAGGACTTGTATACCTGCATATAAGTACAACCAATGGACATAAAACTCTGGGGAGGGAGGGGATACATGGGAGGGAAGGAGGGGGGCAAAAAAAAAATCAATAAAATATGTAAAATAAATAAATTAATTAATTAAAAAAAAAAAAAAAAGAAAAAAAAAAAAAAAAAAAAAAAAAAAAAAAAAAAAAAATGATGGGATCGTAGAATTCTAGGCTCTTCAGATCTGAATGTCAGCCCTGCAGAAGCTCTCAGAGGTTATTGGAGTCAGCTGCTCGGTCTGTGGGTGGGGCAGCTGAGGCTTAGGCCCCATGGCAGGTTCAAAGGCAAGGTCAAGGTGCGCTGGGCACTGCCTGTGACAGGGCCTGGGTTCCCTCCCAGTAGGTATGCCCTGGTCTGCCATCTCATCAACCTCTGTCAGACTACCCCTTGCCTCCGACAGAACCCTCTGAGCCATTGCTAATTCATAGACCAATTGTCAGGCAGCTGCTGACCATTCCCCCAGAGTGGGCCTGCCCCCACCCAGCCGCAAGGCACATGCTGGCCGTGGACTTGCCCGGAGGGAGGGGCACCGGGGGGAACTGCAGGCATCTCCACAAGTGCCTGTGTGAGAGCCAGACACAGCCTCCAACCCAGAGAGGAGTGAGGAGTCCCACGGCAGGGTCCAGGAGGGTCCTGGGCCGGAGGGTCCTGGGAGGGGCTCTCGCCAGGGAGGGAGATGGCACAGCCGCCCCAGGTCCTCGTCCCTCCTGCTTTCCCACCTGGTTTGCTCTCACTGCTGGGTGCCCCCTCCCTCCCCCACACCACGCCCTCCTCGCCCTCCCCTGCTCACTTCCCCCAGAAGTGGGAGATAAGAATGTTGGGTCAAGAGGGACCTGGAGGTCACCCTTGAGGGGGGCTCCAGCTTTCAGTGTTGGGGTGTCTTCTCTTTCCTTTGGTTCACTTGGCAGCAGAGCCTTGTTGTAACCAAAATGCCTCCGGCCAGGAGACCCCGAATGGGCGAGGGTCTGCTTTGTCTTCCATCACCGCTAACGTCCCGCCCACGCTCCGGGGCGCACATGTGAGGACCCCCAAACTCCTCTGTCATTGTAGCCTTCTCCTAGGGCCTGAGGTGGAGTGAGTCACCTGCCCGGGAGGCTCAGTGGGCAGGGACAGAGCCAGCCCAGCAGCTGGGGGGAGAGGGGGCAGTACAGGGAGAAGCCCTAGGGGAAGTCCTGAAAGTCAGATGTGGCCTGGCCGCCCTGCCCTGCCCCGAGCCCTCCCGGAACCGCCCACGCACGCCCAGGCTCAGGGCCCTGCAGCCGGCCAGCTGGGAGGAAGCGGCACCAGCTCGCCCTCCAGCGCTGCCCAGATCTGCACACGCAGGCCCACCCCGCCTCCTGGAAGCAGGGCAGAGGAGGCAGCAGCCTGGCGCCCAGCGTCTTCTCCACCTGCCCGAGCCTTGTAGGCCAACACCCACCTCCATCCTGTGGGCAGGTGACCAGGCTCCCCGAGACCAAGGTCACTCCCAGCCCTTGTCTGGCCTTCCCGTCCTCCACTACCTGCCCTCTGCCCTCATCACTTCCGTATTTTTAAAGAAGTATATATTTTGTATTGATTCCAGAGAGGAAGGGAGAGAGAGAGAAACAATGCTAAGAGAGAACAATGGATCGGCTGCCTCCTGCACACCTTCTACTGGGGATCCAGCCTGCCACCTGGACATGTGCCCAAACCCAGGACCTTACAATCCATAGGCCAATGCTCTAGCCACTGAGCCAAACCGGCTAGGGTGCCCTGGTCACCTCTGCACTCCACGCCACGCCCTGTGCCCCACAGCCCCCTGTGCTCCTCTGCTCAGAGATGCCACAGCCTCCCACGGGCTGACGTTGAACTTGCTCTTGGCACTCAGTGCCCTTGGTGCTTTGCCCCATCTGGACAGCATCACCGTGTGTGAGGATCTTGGCACAGACGGGCTGATTTAAACCCTCACAATAGCCCTGCAAGGTAAGCACGATTGTGCTCCCATTTCACAGGTGAGGAAACTGAGGCTCAGAGAGGCAAAACGACTTGCCATTTGGGCACGCAGCTAGGAAGCAACAGCCTGGGAGTTGGAAGAGTCAGAAGCTTTCTTCTAACAAGCCACATGGCCTCCCAGACTGACCTCAGGGGTCATCTAGTCCAACGGTTTTGCTACAAATGGGGAAACTGGCAGGGGAAGACCCCTGGTTTGACAAGCCACAGCCATTTCCAACTTCCTCTCCCCGTCTCCCTCTGGGCTGGCCTGGCTGTCTCCCTGACAGTGAACCTGAGATCACACAGCCCCTGGTCTCAGAATGCTCAGGATGACTTTTGACCTCACATGGCCACTTCCTTCCTCCACACACCCCCCATCTCCACCCCCTCCCCCACCCCTACGCCCCCAGGAACTCACGAGGTGATGAGCCTCCTTTCCAGCGGCCCCGCCACGTCGTACATGGCCAGCCGGTCCCGGCAGTCGGCCAGCGTCCACTCGAGCCTGAGCTTGAGCATGAGGTCCGCAGGGCCCTGCAGGTGCCACAGGCAGCTGGAGGCCAGGGCGTCGGGCCCCTGCAGCTGGAGGACCTGGCCCCGGCCCACGTAGCTGTAGCGGTAGCAGCCTGGAGGGGGAGAGGGACAGACCCCGGACCTCTAGCAGCGGGAGGGGAGCCAGCCCCGGCAGGTCCTCACGGGGAAGAGCCGCTGGATGGGGGTCAGCCCGGAGGTGCTGTGTCCCATCTCTCTGTTCCCTGTGCCTTTATCTCTTCTCCTCACGCACGCGTTCATATGTGGGCTCATTCATTCATTCATTCATTCATTCATTCATTCGTTTAGCGCTCCCTCGGCTCCCTCTCCGAGCTGGCTGAGTGTCGGGGCTCTGCCTGGAGCACCAGGAACAACAGAAACAAAGACCAGTAGTGATGCTGAGACCAGTTTGGCTCAGTGGATAGAGCATCGGTCTGCGGACTGAAAGGTCCCAGGTTCGATTCCGGTCAAGGGCATGTACCTTGGTTGCGGGCACATCCCAGGTAGGGGGCGTGCAGGAGGCAGCTGATCAGTGATTCTCTCTCATTGATGTTTCTAGCTCTCTATCACTCTCCCTTCCTCTCTGTAAATAAAATAAAATAAAATAAAATAAAATAAAATAAAATAAAATAAAATAAAATAAAATAAAATAAATTTTTAAAAAGACCAGCGGTGATAGCTGAGGAGGTGAGGGCTCTGGTGGCCTCTGAGGCGGGGCGCCCTGGGGGCCACAGCGGGAGGCCCAGGCGGGCAGGGCAGAGTCAGGCTTGGATCACAGACTCTCCGGCCGCTGGGAGCCACGTGGAGGAGGCTGGAGACCAGCGAGGCGGCTGCATCAGAGAACCGGGTGAGGGCTCCATTTCAGGGGAGAGAGGGGAGAGTGTGCCAGGGGGACTGGGCGGCTCGGGATAGAAGAAGCGAGCTCCAGCTAATGACAACGAAGAAGGAGAAGGAGAGTGTTGCACGGGCACGGGTCTGAGAGAGGCTGGAACCCAGCCGAAGGCTGTGCGCACACCACCTCATCGGAAGCCAGAGCGAAATAGTTCCTGTCGTTGCCCATTTCACAGAGCCCAACAGACAGGCCAGGTGCGCCTGACCTCTGCCCCGTCTTCTCTGGGCCTTGGCTGTCTCCTCTGTGGAATAAGGACAATGGCATCACTTGGCAGGATGGGCACAAAGCTTAGGAGTGATGCACGCTTGAGTGCTCGGCACAGTCCCTGGCACACAGCAGGTGCTCGGTATATGCAGTGGCTGTTCTTAAGTTGGTTGTGGGGAGAGGGCCAAGGTGAAACTGGAGCGAGTCCTGTGACTGCCCTGACTGGTTTAGCTCAGTGGATAGAGCGTCGGCCTGTGGACTGAAGGGTCCCAGGTTCGATTCCAGTCAAGGGCATGTACCTTAATTGTGGGCACATCCCCAGTAGGAGGTGTGCAGGAGGCAGCTGATTGATGTTTCTAACTCTCTCTCCCTCTACCTTTCTCTCTGTAAAAAAAATCAATAAAATATATATTTTTAAAAAGTCCTGTGACGTTTCACCTTTCAGCTGGCTCCACTTGAGGCTCAGACGGCATGGTCTGTCTCATTGGCTTCCCTCCCTTCACACCTCCTCCGTCACACGGACACACCCACTGCACCTCCTCTCTCACATTAATCCCTGAGTTTTGTCTGCGGTCAGAACCACCTACACCAAGCATGTCAAACTCGCGGCCCATGGGCTGCATGCCTCGTTTATTTAGCCCGTGTCAGCCTTTGAGTTTGACATGCTTGACCTACACCGTTCAGTCATTCACTGGGAACCTCCTCTGTTTGATTGAGGCACCAAGGAGCAGCAGGGAGCCAACCAATCTCGTCCATGGAGCATGCATATCGTGTTTAACCCTCACACGAGCCTGTGAAGCAGGGAGGCTGTGTGACCTGGCAGGGAGCAGAAGGGATGTGGGCTTGAGGCCCAGCTGCGGGAGTCAGCCTGAGTTGCAGGGAGTCCTCTCTGAGCCCCAGCCCCAGTCCCAGCACCCCCTCTCCTAGACGGGGTGACTCTGGGCCAGTCGCTAAGCCACTCTGAGTTCTGTCAACAGACACAGCATAGCCCTGGTCCCAGCTCTGTCTCTGAGTGGTTCTGACAGACAGGAAGGCAATGGCGGTGGCTGCTTTGCTAGGAAATGCTGCTCGGCTCCCGGCCCTGACCCCTGGCCATCCTGCCCGCCGTGGGGAGCTGAACTTCCCCCGGGAGAGACTTCTGCCATTTGCCAGGGAAGGGACAGGGCCAGCGACACCTGCCTCAGCTGGGGAAGGCACTGGCTGTCCCTAGGTGTTTGTCTTCCTCAAATCTTGCTCCAAGCTGATGCTTTGCTTTTGCCATTTTTTTTAGGCTAATTACACGGAGAGGCAAGTGCTGGTCTCTGATGATAATCCAACACCCTGAGGGAGGGAGCCTGGTGCCTCTGGGCGTGGAAGGAAGCCCAGGAGCCTGCCTCACACTCCTCCTCACCCCGCCATGCTCACACGGCTCCTTCTGCCCAGCTGCCCTTCCCCTTCTCAGCCTGACAGATTCCTGTGGGGCTCACCGCCCCCTCCTCCAGGAAGGCTTCCAGGACCCCTCCCCCCCAGACAGGAGCAGCCCCCCTCTCCTTCCAGAGGCACGTCTCATCCTCTGTTTGGATGGTGGCCCTATCCCCAGGGTAGAGTGATCCCCTTGTCCACTGCCCGGGGCTTCTGCTCGGGCGCTGGCACCTTCGCTGTGACTGTCTGTGAGTCTGTCTGCTCCTGGGGCTCTGAGCTCCTCCGAGGGCAGGGCTGAGGACATGGCCACCTGGGGTCCCAGCTCAGGTGTGGGGCCAGCATGGAAAAAGTGCTCAAAAGCCTGTTTACAGGATTCCAACGTCATCCCCATCCCACTGGACTGTGTTCCCCGAGGGCTGGGCTCCAGACACTCATGCAACCAAACAAGGGAAACTGCCAGAAACCTGGGGGCTCCAGGACCCCTGGCACCGGCAAGGGCAACAGGAAGGCCCATCCCAGACCAAGGGTCCACACTACAAAAGTCCCAATGCAGTGTAAGATACATGGATGGATGGATGGATGGATGGATGCATGGATGGATGGATGGAATAGACAGATCCTAGATAATAGTGATAGATAGATAGATAGATAGATAGATAGATAGATAGATAGATAGATGATAAAATAAAAGGATGATGGCTAATAGGTTACAGATACATGATAGACCCATGGTCGGCCAACAGTGGCTCGCGAGCCACATGCGGCTCTTTGGCCTCTTGAGTGTGGCTCTTCCACAAAATACCATGGCCTGGGCGAGTCTATTTTGAAGAGATGGCGCTAGAAGAAGTTTAAGGTTAAAAAATTTGACTCTCCAAAGAAATGTCATTCGTTGTACTGTTGATATTTGGCTCTGTTGACTAATGAGTTTGCCGACCACTGTGATAGACAAATGACAGATGATAGAGAGGTAGAGATAGGTGATAGACAGGAAATAGATAGATAGATAGATAGATAGATAGACAGACATAGATAGGATAGACAGATGATAGATAACAGATAGATGATAGATGATAGACAAGTAGTAGAAGATAGGTAGAGAGATATAGATGATGGATAATAGATAGATGATAAATGATAGACCCACTAAGTGAACCTCTGACCTAGAGGTCAGGGAGGCCCTCAGCCGGGCAGAACTGGAGCGTATTGGGGCTGAGGCTGAGGACGGGGCCCAGCGCTGCCCCTCCAGGACCTGCGGGTCTCCTGGACCACGGCGTGGAGGACGCCCCTGGCCTGGGCAGCTCATGGCCCCACCTCTGCCTTACCTCCCGAGGCTCAGCAGAGGACAGTACAGCCTCTTGGAAAAAGCGAGGTGAGGAGCAATAGGGCAGGGAGGGCGGGGCGGAGGGAGCTGAGGGGTGGAGGGAGCATCCTTGAATTCGGCAGAAATGCCTCCAGGAGACCAAGTTTTAAGCCCAAGTGGCCGACACACCTTGAGTTGGCAGGATTATTTTCTACCATCAGTGCAAGCAGTGGCTGGTGGGCAAACGGAACTCAGTGATAGAAAAGGGGAGTCACAGCCTCACATCCACACACATGCACACTTGTGTACAACACACATACACACACACTCACACGTCTTTACACATGCACAGCTCCTCCTCCCCTTCCCCACAGGCCTCAGGACCCAGCCCGCCGGGGCACCCCTGGGTGACTCTAAGCCAGGCCCCTGCCCCCGCCACAGGAGCCACGCGGTCCCCTGACACGTGGCCGAGCCAAGCAAACACCAGCTCAGAAGTGGAGAAGCGGAGTGGCATACCCAGAGTGGAATTCAGCAAAATTATGTCTTTTACGCTGGCTTCTGTTAAAAGGAAACGGACACACACATAAATGAAGACAAATCATAAGTCAGTGAAATGAAAATCAAAACAGAAGAGACCCTCTGAGGCAGCCTAGCTGAGGTTTCCCCTGCCTGCCAGCCCTCCCCGACCCGGGCCTGGTCCTGGCTCCCGGGGGCCCCCGTGGGCAGCCTTCCCAGTACTGACCCAGGATCACCAGGCCCTCAGGGTCCACCTCGTACTCTGCCCTGTAGGGAGCGGGGGCCGAGGCGTTGGCTGCGGACAGCAGCTCCTCCACCAGCAGCGCCTGCACCATCTCGGGGCTCAGCATGGGCTGGCGGTGCTCGGGGACTTGGAGGATGAGCCAGAAGAAGCAGGTGAGAGGTCCCTCCCTGAGGCGGGCAAAGGGAGAGGTGCTGGGGCCGGGGGCCTGCCGTCCCCCCTGGCCAGCCCCCTGCTCTGGAGAGGCCACACCAGCTGGGGCTCCTGTGTGCTGGCACTGACCACCCCCCAGTCATGGCCCTCCATCTTCACAGCGCGGCCCCCTACCGCCCCAGCAGGTATTCCCCTCACCCCCATTCTGCAGGTGAGGAAACCGAGGCCACAGACCGTGGTAGAGGTGGCACAACCAGAATGAGGGGACGGGCTGGGCTACCCCCTGGCCTCACCCAATACGGCCAGGCCCTCGGTGAACACATCGTAGCCATTGCCTAGGCCAGCGGTCGGCAAACTCATTTGTCCACAGAGCCAAATATCAACAGGACAACGAATGAAATTTCTTTGGAGAGCCCCATTTTTAAAACTTACACTTCTTCTGACAGCCACTCCTTCAACATAGATTCGCCCAGGCCGTGGTGTTTTGTGGAAGAGCCACACTCAAGAAGCCAAAGAGCCGCATGTGGCTCGCGAGCCGCAGTTTGCCGACCACGGGGCTAGGGAATCCCTACCCCACCTCTGTGCCATTTTATAGATGTGGAAACCAAGGCAGTGAAGGAAGGTCACACACAGGAAGCCAAGTTGCCTCTCCATGCCTTGGTTTCCCCATTAAAACAAACAAAAAGGAGGGCATGGCAACAGAAGCCAACTCCTCTCCTCTCCTTTGAGTTGGAGGTTCTAGCGGGGGCGGGTCCGGGGGGCCAGACACTCACCCGAAGGAGTAGACAGAGCTGGAGTTGTAGTAAGCGCCCAGGCGGGTGCTGGTGACGAGGGCCTTGAGCTAAAGGAGGGGAAACGGTGGCCCCTGGTGAGCCTCTGCAGAAGCCCCTCCGACCTCAGTGCAGCCCCGCTGGACAGGGAGCCTGCAGGGTACACACAGAAGCCAGCGCCATAGAGGGGAGGGGAGAAGCGGCCCCTGACAGCCCTCGCACTGCCTTTCCCGAGGCCTCGCCCCTAACTTTCCCAGGGCTACGCCCCATGTCGGTGGCGCAGTCAGGATTTAGTCCAAGTGCATTGGACGCCAGAGTCCACTGACTCTCCCCCCACCCTACGCCGTCCCCTCCATCACGCCTGGAACAGGCCTCTGCTCCCCAGATGGACTGACCAGTGGGCTAGACGTGACCAGGCCCCTCCGTCCCCCTCTGGCCCCCGCGTCCCTTCCCTACCATCTCCTGGGCTTTGGCGGTTTCACTGCGGAAGGCACTGGACTCCCGGTGGGCGAGGTCCTGGGAGAACTGGCGATTGAGCACACGGAGGCTGCCGGAGTACACCTGGCTGACGGTCGCCTCTGGCTGGTACCCTGCCCGGGAGAAACCAGAGGTTAACCACGGCGCCTCGGGCAAGGCTCTGCCTCTCCCACGCCTTCTCCTCCCCCGGAACCTCAGCTCGGCCTCCAGGCCCCATCCTAATTCTCATCCTTGCCATTGTCATCATCAAGATCTATCGTTTGTTTAGTGACAATCTGGCCCCAAGGTGCCAGAGAGGAGAGAAGTGGATGGTGTCCCAAAAGCTGATGCAGTGCGGACATGATGACATAAAGGCCAGGGAACCCCATGGGTCCAGGTCAAGTTCATGGGTTACAACCTCTGTTCATCCACCAGGTTGTCTAGGTAGCACCTACTATGTGGGGGACACTGGTAAACAAAGACAGATATGTCTCCCATGAGGGTTAAGGGCCTTTGAGAAGCGGCACGAGGTGCAATTGAGGGAACATGACAAAGAAACCAGGCCTGGGTCAGAGGGACCCTCCAGCTGAGAGGGGAGGACTGGAGTGAAAATGGGGAAGAGGAGAGAGGAGGACGTAGAGTATGTGCAAAGGCCCTGAGGTAGAGGAATTGGAGGAAGAAGAGGGCCCAGGCCTGTTTGGCTGGCACAGTCAGATCGGGGCAGCAAGAGGCGGTGACATCAGCGCGGCAGGGTTTTGTCTTTACCAGATGAGCAAGGGACACCACGAAAGGTTTAAAATCAGGGATGGCCCCGTCAGATTCCCATTCTGCAAAGGCTTTTTGGTTGATGTGAAGAGGACAGATCCAATGTCCTGGGTTTATATTGCTATCTAGTCATGTATTCATTCACTCAACTAATATTTGGGGAGAACCTACTATGTGTGCCAAGACTGGCCTGGAGCACCTGAGAATAGACCAGTATATCAACAAAGAAGAGACACCCCTGTCCCAAAGAGCTGGTAGCCCAGCCACAAACAGCTGTACAAATGACAGATTCGTAAGTGGAAACCAGGGTGGCAGGGACAGTGGGAGGGGGGTGGGCGAGAGACCAGGGCAGGGGAGGGGGTCTGCAACATGAGGCCTGAGAAGAAAGGGATGGTGTCAGCCACTAGATGTTAATCTGTAGAAAGAGCCTTCCAGCCCTAACCAGTTTGGCTTCGTGGTAGAGTGTTGACTTACGGACTGAAGGGTCCCAGGTTCGATTCCGGTCAAGGGCATGTACCTTGGTTGCAGGCACATCCCCAGTAGGGAGTGTGCAGGAGGCAGCTGATTGATGTTTCTAACTCTCTATCCCTTTCCCTTCCTCTCTGTAAAAAATCAATAAAATATATTTTTTTAAAAAGAAAAGAGCCTTCCAGGCACCTGCACTAGCAGGTGCGGAGGCCCTGAGCCAGGGCTTATCTGTGTGTGAGAGTGAGCGTGAGGAGCTAGGAATGGCGGAGTGAGTTAAGGAAAAGCAGGAGGAGGCAAGGTGGATGAGGATTTGGCTCTCCTGAGTGAGACAGGAGCCCTGGAGGATGTTGAGCAGAGAACTTGGATTTGTGTTGAGAATAGGCTCTGGGGAGGCAAGAGCAGGAGCAGCGGAAGCTGCAGGAAGGGGTCCAGGTGAGAGCGATCCAGGTGAGAGCCCTCTGGGTAAGAGGCCATGGAGCCTGGGCCAGGCTGTGCAGGGAGGGGGAGGTGGGTGGAGTCTCGCTGTATTTTGGAGTTAGAGGTGACCGGGTGGGTGTGCTGGCAAGTTGAAAAGGAGCATTGCTGGGGCCCAGCCACCGCGGGGGAGCCAGGAGGCTTTAGAACAGGCAGGAAATGTTCACCTTGGGGACGGGCAGGAGGGTAAAGCGCATGGCTGCAGCTGGGAGGGCATCTAGGGGACTTCTCTTCTGACTCCTTCTATTTTGTCGTTGAAACAGGCAGCCACGTGGATGGAGGTGCAGGAGGTTTGAGAAGAAAGCACAACACCATCATCCAGCCCTAACCGGCTTGGCTCAGTGGGTAACACCATCACCCAGCCCTAACCAGTTTGGCCTGCAGACCGAGAGGTCCCAGGTTTGATTCCGGTCAAGGGCATGTACCTGGGTTGCGGGCACATCCCCAGTAGGAGATGTGCAGGAGGCAGCTGATCAATGTTTCTCTCTCCTTAGTGTTTCTGACTCTCTATTCCTCTCCCTTCCTCTCTGTAAAAAAAAAAAAAAAATAATAAAAATTTAAAAAATCAAATATATATAAAACATCACCCAGGGTAGCAGGAGAGGGAAGACCAGGGAGACACAGTTAGGCCACATCAGGGCCCCGGCCCATCTGCCTCAGGAAGCCAGTCCCTGCCCTCCCCTCTCCTGGGCCACTTTCAGGGTTAGCTTGCCGCTCACTTGGGGCTTATCCTAGCAGGTCCTGGGACATGGTCCATCTCCCCTTCCAGACGGGCAAGACCAGCTCTGACCCATCTCCCCACCCAGTGCCCAGTTCTTGGAGCGCTGCTGGCCAGGGCGGGAGGAATGGCTCAAACTTCTCCTCAAGTGCCTCCCCCCTCCCCCCGCAGCAATCCATTTGCTGAGCAGGGATTGGCTCCCCCCAGCTGAAACTTGGGGGGCACTCGGCCCCCTGGAGTACACTCTCAGGGGGTGGTTTTCTCCTGGAGCGTAACGAGAAGAAATTAGACTCATCTGCGAAGAAAGGCCATTGACAGGTGAGCTCCTGGCCCTGCACCTGACACTCCGTGGTTTACTCCAAAGACCAATTACCCCGCAGCCCGAGGCAGCCTCGGCAGCCCGTGCTGGCCTCCTGCCCGGGGCGGCACGCACACAGCACCCACTCCCCGCTGGCACTGCCTGATCCAGAGCAGAACTGCCATCCACCCTGAGCCACGCAGGCAGACTCACACCAGACCTGGGTTTCCTAACGGTGCCTGCCCCGAGGCTGGCTCCAGACTCCCACCACCTCAACCCCCAACCCCGTCTGGGGCTGGGCCCAGGCTGATCTCCCCATGACTGCTCCAAAGTGGGTCCCTGTTCCTTTCCTTATTTTCTTATTAATCCTCACCCGAGGATATTTTTCCATTGATTCTTTTTTTAAAAAAATATATTTTATTGATTTTTTACAGAGAGGAAGAGAGAGGGATAGAGAGTTAGAAACATCGATGAGAGAGAATCATCAATCAGCTGCCTCTTGCACACCCTCTACTGGGGATGTGCCGCAACTAGGGTACATGTCCTTGACCGGAATCGAACCCGGGACCTTTCAGTCCGCAGGCCGACGCTCTATCCACTGAGCCAAACTGATTTCGGTTCCATTGATTCTTTAGAGAGAGTAGAAGAGAGAGGGAAAGACAGAGAGAAACATCCATGTAAGAAAAACACATCGATTGGTTGCCTCCTGCACCTGCCCTGACCAGGGCCCAGGCCGGGGAGGAGCCTGCAAGAGGTATGTGCCCTTGACCAGAATCGAATCCAGGGTCCTTTGATCTGCAGGCTGATGCTCTATCTACTGAGCCACACCAGCTAGGGCAGGTCCCTCTTCCTTTCAATGGGCCTGAAATTCCACCAGGAGAGTCAGCCAATAAGAATACAATCTCACTTTCATAGAGCATTTAATGGGAAGTCTCTGACCATTTGTCCCTGCTATGCCATGCTTTATGGTGAGGCAGGACTATCTTCAGAGCCTGGCACAGAGCTGGTGTATAGGAGGTGCTCAGAAACCAAGGAAGGAAGGAAGGAAGGAAGGAAGGAAGGAAGGAAGGAAGGAAGGAAGGAAGGAAGGAAGGAAGGAAGGAAGGAAAGAAGGAAGGAAGTCTTTTACAGCGTGCATGGAGCATTTTCACAGGTACCACTTAACTTGATTCATTCATTATTTTCCATAGCCACGCCAAGAGTGGGAAGAATGAGGTACAGTCTTCATCAGCTTTAGAGAAAGACATAGTAGGTGCTCAAGAGTGTTTATTGAATGCATGCATGCATGAATAGATGAATGAATGAATGAATGAATGAATGAATGAAAAGGTGGACACATGGACCCGTTGCTTCCAAGGGACTGATTAAGGGCTGTGATACCAGAGAGGGAGGCCAAAATTCAGAACCTGGAAGAGGCTCTGCGCCACCTGCTCTGTGTGCTAAAATCCCCGTGTGCCTGAGCTGGGGTGTGAAAACCCTCTGTGTGTATACGGCCCCCTGGGTGCCCGAGTCCCATGTCCTCCTCCTCTTCACCCCATTCATGACAGAGGTGACAGAGCTGGGGTTCCTACCCTCGAGGAGCTCCCAGATGGGGCTCCAGTGAGCAGAGCATTCATGGGTGCCAGGAGCCCTGGGCACCTCTTGGCCTTCTTCAGCAGAGCCAGCTGGCTCAGAGCCCCCAGGTCAACCCCAGAGGGCTGCCGGCAGGGGAGACGATGTTTATACTCCTTTGGTTTGTTGGTTTGCAAGAACCAGCTGCTGAGAGAGCACTCCTTCCCTGGCTGTTGAGAACTGGGGGCGTTTGGCTTGAGCCCCAGGACCCAGAACATACTAGTAGGTGCAGCCACACTCCCGTCCCCCAGGACAGGAAGGCAGACAGAGAGGAAGTGCTGGCTGGACAGAGGTGAGGGCCTAGGTATTGCTGACCTAGAACCCTGGTCTGTTCTGCTGTTGCTCCCCACAACCACCCCCAGGTTCTTCCCCGGTGCCTCTCCAGGCAGGCCCATGCCGTTACCTAGAAAATACCAGAGCAGGAACCCCCCTGAAGCCAGCGCGACCAGGGCCAGCCACAGAGGCACCAGGCGGAGGTAGCCCCGGACTTTTCTCTTCCGGGAGGCCTGGAACATCCCCTCTGGCTCCGCCTCCTCGCCATCTCCTCCGTCGCCCTGCCCGCCAGCCGCCTGGGGGGCCTCCGCCACGGGCATCCTGGCAGGGAAACAGACCGGGGTTGAAAACGTCCTGCCATTCGCAAGGGAGCCTTTGCTGGATGCCACCGATGCACAGAGGGAAGGCAGCCAGCCCTGTGGAGTACGAGGATCGCATCGTCTGGCGGTCAGCACTGAGAGCGGGCACGGAGTGGCTCACCCAGCAGGTACGCGTGGCAGAGCTGGACCGGTCTGGCTCTGGAACCCTCGCCTTTGCATCAGCTTCTCTGGTCAGAGGGCAGGTGGAGGCTTCCGTGCCTGAACCCAGTCCCCAGAGCCTGTACCCACAGATGGAGCTGAGGGATACACACATGGGCACAACTCACCCGCCTACCTTCACCCAGGGGATGCTTTTCACTCCTCCTGGTTTTCCACAGCAGGGCTTCCCACATACCCACACAGTCACTCACCCAGCGCTCCCCCAGCAGCCTGAGGCCGTGCTGTGTTGGGCCAGCGATCTGCCCTTCAGAGTGCTGTTCCTTTTATCCCCCCTCCAGCTCCCAATTCTCTCAGCGGGGGAAGGAGGAGATGAAAACGAATATTCACTTAGTGTCTACAGATATCACCTCACGTAATCCTCTGGTCACCCAGGGGTGTGGGGACCATTGTCCCCAGGCATTCTCCTTCCCCAGGGCCACTCTCTGGGACACATTACATGGATTATCCCGCTTAAATGTCCCACCACCCGTCAAGGTTCTGCACCCATTGGACAGAGGAGGACATGGAGACCCGGAGTGTTTTAGCAGTAACTCAGTCCCGGGTTTCCCAGCCTGGCCTCATTTCTCCAATGGGATCTGAATATCTAGCACTCACCACTGACTCCATTTTATAGTGAAAAAAAACTGAAGCCCCGAGAGGCTAAGCCATTCGCCCGAGGTCACACAGCGGGTAAGTGGGGGATGGAGGGGGCAAGAGGGGTGTGTGTCCAGCTGTCTGACTCCCTGCTCCTTCACTGGGTGCTTCCTATAAATGGGCTGTTAGTGAACACATCATGATTCAGTTACGCAGCCACCCCATGTTTGCTGAGCTCATGTGCCGGAGGCCGGGCTGTGTGCTGGACCCCGTTCTCATGCTCTCGTGCCTGACAGCCCAGCAGGAGAGGGACAGCGGTGACAACTGCCCGCTGAGAGGATGAGCACACTGCTCCGGCCTTCCCCTGTCACACCATGGCCTCCCCATTGTTCCAAGGCCCGGTCCACCAGCAAAGCCTGCGGCCCTCCCTTCCAAATGCTCCCAGAGCCCAACCTCATCTTGGTGCCTCCACGGCTCCCACCATCACCCAGGCAACATCGCCTGGCACCCGGGCTCCTGCAATCGCCAGGTGTCTGGCCACCCTCAATAGGGCACACAACTGCCAGCGTGGCCCCTTCCCCAGGGGCCCCGCTCACAAGCCCTGCAGGGCTCCTGTCTACCCAGAACGGGACCCAAAGCCACATCTCAGCCCACGGGGGTCTATGTGCCTCGGCCCTGGCTCATCTTCCTGTTCTCCCTGCCCCCTGCTACAGCCCCACTCAGCTCCTTGCCAGACCATCAACATGCCAAGCACACACCAGACCATCAACATGCCAAGAGCACGCCAGACCATCAACATGCCAAGAGCACGCCAGACCATCAACATGTCAAGAGCATGCCAGACCATCAACATGCCAAGCACACACCAGACCATCAACATGCCAAGAGCACGCCAGTTGCTGCTTCCACCACCAGGAGCACCCTTCTTCCGTTTGCCTCATGGCCCACTGCTCCCTGACCTCCTTCAAGTCTTTGCTCCAATGTGACCTCGTCGGCGAGGCCTTCCCGACCGTGGCCCTCTCTCTGCGGCATGTCTTTGGGCCTGAATTCCATGAGCTGCTCACGTGTCCTTCGTCTCCTTGCGGGGAGCAGGGGCTCTGTTCTGCTCCCGCTGTGAGCCCCGCTCCGAGAGCAGAACTCGGCTTTCCGCAATCATTGCAGAATGAATGAACGCCAAGATCCCACCTCCTTCCCACACGGGGCCGGGCCAGCTTCTCCCGCCTCCTTTCCCCCCACTTCTCTTCCCTGTTGCACCTCAGTGACATCGGACTTCGCGGTTATCAGTTCTAATAATAACTATGGTAAAAACCGTACTGGTCGAGGGCTCTCGCCAGCTCTGGGTGAAGAGCAGAGCGCGGATTGGTTCTTGGAACACGGAAAGCTTTCCCACGCACCCTTCCTTCGGCAGGGCTGCCCACATCCTGCCCGGCCAGCTCTCTCACGGCTCTCACACCTCAGCTCAGCGCTCACCTCCTCCCAGAAGCTCTCCCAGAGTACCCCAGGAGAGCAGATGCAGTGTCCTGGGCCACCCCCATCCATCAATACTTCAGCTTGGGGGGGCATTCTCGCTGTCCCACTGACAGTGAGCTCAGGAAGGAGGGACCAGGTGTACCCCAATTGCCCCGACCTGGGAGTACCTGGACCCCACCTTGGAACCTGCTCTTTTCCCTCCTGCCCTTCTGACCATCGGAGGGTCCTCAATCTGCCCCCTGGAGTCTGAGCTCACGGGGGCCCAGCCGCACCTCCTCCTGCATGCCAGCCCCGTCCCAGGCAACACCGCAAGCCACAGTGCCCCTCAGCCTCCCGCAGCCAGGGATGCTCACCTTACTGTTTCTATTTAATGGATGGGGAAACTGAGGCATAGAGAGACAAAATTGCTCCCTCAAGGTCATGTAGCCAGGGCAGAGCAGAGCAGGGCAGGGCAGGGCAGAGCTGGAATCCTCATCTACCACCTCCCAGGGAGGCCCTTTGGGCCTAGAGCAACTCCCTGCTCTGAGGTGCTGTGACCACATGTTCCCAAATGTGGGGGTGTGGGGGAACGTCCCTTCCACACACACAAACAGCTTACACACAGTTGTACACAGATGGAAACACAGAGGCACACACACACTCCTTACTCTGACACAGATTCATAGACACACACACACACACACACACAGCCAGCTCCATTCAATGCTGAGCCCGGCGCTAAGGTCCCTGTGTAGTGGTGTGGGACTCTGGGCCTGCCTTCCCCACTGTACAGCCAGGTGGGGTACCTAGGTATGGAGCAGGCAGCACGTCCAGCCCTGCAGGGTAAAGGTGGGGTGCTCAGCCGGCAAATAAGGCCTCTCCCTGCCTTGTCCCTGTCCCGGAATCCAGCAGCCCCGCCTAAACCCGGGCCTCCCCCACCTGGAGCCGGCAGCTCCTCCACTGCCCTGTGCTGCCTGCACACCTGGCCTCGCTCTGCCTGGCCTCGCTCTGCCAGCCCCAGCTCATGGACCCCTCGCCAACTGCTCACCTGGTCACTCCCTGGCCCAGGAGGCCCTGCAGACCTGGCCTCACAGCAGGGCAGACGGCTCAAATTCCAGGAAGCTGGGCCCCACTCTCAGAGTGGACACTGTCCCCGGGTCACGCATAGATCCGGTCCCCTCTCTGGGAGGCCCCCCGCTTACCTCTGGGATTGGCAAGTGGGTGCCGGGCCTGCACGCAGACCTCACAGCCTCTGTTTGTCCAGGCCAAGGCCTCCCCGCCCCCACCTGGCCAGCGAGTGACGGATCAATGGCCCAGCGCCATGGCCGGGGAGTCTGGCCCTTGTCCTCTGTGGCCTGTGGCCCCAGGCGCCATGGGCCTGCGCTAGGCTCAGGACAGCACTGTGACTGCGCTCAGGTAAACAGTCCGGAGGCAGGAGGCAGGCAGTGCCCGCCCCAGCCCGCCCCGCCCCGCCCGTGGCACCTCGGAGGCCAGCGGGCAGGTGCAGGAGACCTGAGCTGTCTCCCGAGGCTTGTTGCCTGGTGACATTCCTGCCTGGTTACAGTCCCTGGTCCCCGAGAGCAGGAGGGGGTGGCAGGGACAGGGGGCTCTGCCGAGGGGCCTGTGTGGTGCACTCGGGGGCTCCCACGGGTCTCCATGCCTGGACAGGTGAGACCAGAAAAGCCAGCGGCCCGAGAGGGAGAAAAGGAGGCGGGGCCCACGTGCTCTGGGACAGGAGAGAAGAGAGGGGAGTGCAGGGTGGGGTTTGGGGCCGTTTTCTGCTCAGTAGGAAACTGTGTGAATGGCTCCCTCGTTCTGCAGAGCTGTGCTGCTGTTTGGGCGGCCACTGGCCCCAGGCGGCTGGCTCTCGAGCATCTGGGATGGGCCAGGCTGACCTGAGACGGAGATGCACACCAGGCTCAAAGCGGTGGTCCGAACGCAGAACGTAAAACACCTCAGAAAGGAGTTTTTGGCATTGGTTACATGTTGAAATGGTCACATGCTGACAATGTCGGGTTAAAGAAAATACACAGAGTGGCCAGATGATGGTGATCTCTGAACGCATAATAATCTGGCCACTCAGTGTATATCCTATATAATAAAAGGCTAATCTGCAATTTGTCCCATCCACCAGGAGTTCAACCAGCAGGCAGGCCCGCTAACTGCCCATGTCCTCTCTCCCTGGCCAGGCTGGCCGGACCCGGACCCCACCCATGCACAAATTCATGCACCAGGCCTCTAATAAATAAATAAATATATACTGAGTGGCCAGATTATTATGCCTTCAGAGATCATCAGAATCTGGCCACTCAGAGTATATTATGAAACTTCATTTCATCTGCGTGGCTTCCAATTCTTCAGTGTGACTACTAGAACATGGAAATCCCAAGGGTGGCCACAAGTAGAACATTGAAATTCACAAGTGCGAATTGCAGCGCCAGTGAGCAAAGCTGTGGAGGATGGTGGGTCTGACCCCGCGTGCTCCAAGCACAGGACGGGCGCCAGGGTTTTCTGGTGTGGACAGGCTGATCCGTGTTTGTCCCAAAGAGGAAGTTGCACATCTGAGACCCCGTGTGCCATGACCCGTGGGTCCCAGTGTGTGTGGGGGGGGGAGGGGAGGAGGTGTGCATGTGCCCCGTGTGTCTGCCTAGTCGGCATGTGCAAGGAGTTTCGGGTGAGGGTAAGGAAGGCTACCTGTACAACACCTACTGTGTGGTGCCTCACATGTGTCCCAACCATGTGCATGCTCCTGTGCAAAT